TCCCCACCACACAACCCATACATTATCGCAAATCTAGACATCGCCTCAGCACCACACATCACCCCTTCCAACCGCACCTGGTTCATCTTGGTGACCTGCCCGTACGCCCACACGCCCAGCAGCGCGAGCAGCCCCGCAGCGAGCAGCACCAGGAACACCGACTCGCCGCTCACGTACCCCACCGGCTCCAGCACCTCGACTGTGCGGTTGATGAGGAGAGAAGCATGGAGAGAGTCGCCCACGATATAGAAGGCTGCGAGAGCCAGCCCGAAGTCGCGCGGCTGGAGGGGAAGTGGGGGTGGGGGGAGGGAAGGCGGGGGGAAAGGGAGGGGGGGAAGGGAGGGGGGGAAGAGGAGGGGGAAGGGAGGGAGCGGGGGGAAGTGGGGAGGGGAGAGGGGGGAGAGATGGTGGTGGTGAGGATTGGAGGAACACCGACTCGCCGCTCACGTGCCCCACCGGCTCCAGCACCTCCACTGTGCGGTTGATGAGGAGAGACGCATGGAGGGAATCGCCGACTATGTAGAAGGCTGCGAGGGCCAGACCAAAGTCGCGCGGCTGGGGGGAGACGTGGTGGGAGAGGGGCGTAGGGAGAGGTAAGGGAGGGGGGAGGGAGGGGGGAGGGGGGAGGAAGGGAGGGAGGGAGGGAGGGAGGGAGGGAGGGAGGGAGGGAGGGAGGGAGGGAGGGAGGGAGGGAGGGAGGGAGGGAGGGAGGGAGGGAGGGAGGGAGGGAATGAGGGAGGGAGGGAGGGAGGGAGGGAGGGAGATGAGTGAGGGGAAGAGGAAGGAAGAGAGGTGGTGGTGGTGAGGGTTGGAGGAACACCAACTCGCTGCTGAGCTCACGCACCTCACGGGCTCTATCACATTGAACGTGGGGTTGATGAGGAGCGACGCGTGTAGGGGAGGGAGGGGAGGAGCAGGAGCGGAGTGGAGGAGGATGCGCAGATGTGTAACTGACGAGGTAAAAGACAGGCAGGGGGAACACAAGTTCCCAAGACAAGGAAGTGGGTTGGACATAGTGTTAAAGAAGAGGCGGAGAATGAGGGGGCGTGATGGAGTGTTGGGGGGGGGGGGGGGGGGGAGGGGGGGAGGGAAGTTGAGGGCGGTAGAGAGGGCAATGAGAGGGGAGAGCGAGGGGGCGAGGAGAAAGAAGGAGAGGGACGAAGGGTGCGGGGGAGCTTTGAAAACGACCAGGGGAGGGTAGGTGCTGAAGGGTGAAAAGAAAGAATCGATAAATGTCAAGAGAACGCACCTGAAGGTATCTCTCTGGAGTGAAGTGGAAGGAGAAGGAGGTCTGCACACCCGGGGGGATGGTGACGTTATACGACTGGAGAGCGCACAGGAAGGAGAGAGCACAGCACGCACACACAGGGGGGGAACAGAATGCGCGCGCATACAGGCACACGGGCGAGCACACAACACACACACGAGGGGGGGGCGGGGGGAACAATGCACGCATACACAGGCATACGGGCACACAAAGAAGGAAAACACAGCAGGAGAATGCAGTGACACAGGGAGGGGAAAACACAGAAGGAGCATACAGGGACACAGGAAGGGGAAAACACAGCAGGAGATTACTAATGAGTCGACTCAGAAAGAGGTCTGCATTCTTGAAGAGATGGTGACGTTGAATGACTGTACGCGCACACGGGGACACAGGGAGGCGAAACACACAACAAGCACCAGTCCATTGCCTCCTCGATACATTTTCATCCTCCAGTAGACACCTCTTGAGGCGCATCAAAATACAAAAACCAGTCCATTGCCTCAATCCCTTTCCCCCCCACTTCCAACCCCCCACCCGTCCCCTTCCCCCCACCCCCACCCCTCCCCTTTCTCCCCCCTCCACCCTCCCCTCCCCCCCCCCCCCCCCCTTCCACCCCTCCCCTTCCCCCACCCCCCCTCCCCCGCCAACACACCACCCACCCACTCCAACTCACGTCGGACGAGAAGTTTTGCACCACGTATCGGAAGTCGAATGGCACATAGATGTTGCCGGTGACGTTACCCATGAACACCGGGATCGGACCTGAAACCATGAACACACCATCAGCATCCGCACGGAGAGAAAAGGCCAACCGGTTAAACGTTTAGAATAAAATCAAAGCGGTTGCCTCTCAGAGGAGTTGACTGAAGCATGCTAAGGGTCGTTGGCATTAGATGTCACACAAAACTCAGAACCGGTCGTGTTTTCCGCATGATCTCATGCCTTGTGTCTACAGCTTGCAAATGCTCCAGTGAACAAAACTAACGGAATTCTTAACACACAAGTACCGCATCCAAGAATGCACTCGGAATACGTCGAATGAGGTTAACTGCAATTAAGGATCTCATGCAAAAGCTCAATTCAGATTGACGATAGGATCGAGGGAGGGACAAAAAGTTGCGAATTTTGACCGAATCGGAAGTCACCTCATTATAGGGCTACGGAGGAGAATGGAGAACGAGGGCGTACCGTTGTTGCTAATAGAGAAGAGCAGCTCGGCTTCCTGACCAGCGTGGATAACCGGCTCTGTACAGAGAAGATAAGAAACAAATGTTTGACAAAGAACATACTTTGCATGCTTGTTCGATACAGAAATCGTAGACGGACATGGATGAACAAGAACGTGACAGAATGCGTAAGATCCAGAACATGCGATACCGGAAATGGAAAAGCAAGGCGCCGTTGCTAAGTGTTAGGAGACAGGGTGACGATCAAACGCGACACGTACCCTTGTTGAAGAATTTTGGAAGAATGGAATTAACTTCGGCGCCATCAGCCGAGAGTCTATCATTAAGGCGCCTAAAAAAGGGTCAAACGCAACGCCTACCCTTGTTGAAGAATTTCGGAAGAATGGATTTGACTTCGACTCCATCGGCCGGCATAAGACGCGGTAGCTCTTCCTCCGCCTCCTCTTCCTCGGTCGCCACGATCTCCGATGCAGCCGCGTCAGCCGCTACGGAGTCAGCAGCGGCGTTCGCATCTTCATCGTCGTCTTCCTCAGCACGGACGGTGACTGGCGACAGAGATTTTAAAAAATGTCAGAGTTTTGAACGGTCAGGGATTGAGTCGGGAAGAAAGCGAGCAAGACGGACAGTGACTGGCGACAGAAAATTCTAGAAGACAGAGTTTTGAGTGGTCAGTAATTGAGTTAGGAAGGAAGCGCGCATGCGCGGACGGTGATTGACAACAGAGACTCAAGCGGTCAGATAACAGATCGAGAAGAACGCGATCACGCACGATGCGTCAGAGCGTACAATGGCATCGGACCATGATGCGCTATGTTATGCAAACGATCAGATCCAATGTCCATGCCATGTTCCTATGTTCATCGTGGCGGGACGGACATAGGAAAAAGAACGCCATTGACGAGTCTTGCTTAGGAAGGGAGGAGCGAACTACCTGCTGGCGAGAGGATTAAGAAGATCGCGAAGAGAACAAAAGAGAGCCGCCATATGGATCGTCGAGCCATGTCGAATCGCTAGGCGGGAAGACGAAAGGAATAGGTCAATGCCGAATCAGATCCGCACAAAAACTAGCAAGGCAAGATACTGCGACCAGCGAAACTAGATCCAGAAAAATTGTAGTCCCAAGGCTGATAAGGTAGAGGGAATGGAGGTGGGGGGAGATTTTTGATTTGGTTGAGCTGGATTTGCACAAACAACAATGGACTTGGGCGTGCAAGACCACGAGGTACCGCATCCTGCCGCTCTCAAAGCATTTTCACCATCTGCAACCTGATAATGTTGGCAACTAGGAACTTCAATAGTCCGCGGTGGGGGTGGGATTCCCGCCTGATAATTTGTCAAAAACGAGTGTTCCTAAATTGGATGGGCTTATGCCGTTCACGTTTGAGGAAACCCGTTTGAAACTTGTGAACACTTTGATACTGTAAAAAGCATAGTCGTATGAACTCCATACGAGATCATAACGAGCGGTATTGGACATTTCCGATCCGATGCTTCCCATAACGCTTGTGTAACGACCAACAACCTACACGCAACGCCCGAGGCACCATGGAGGATGTACAGGGCCGTGAACTGCGGCTGTTTCCAACAAGCTACTCGTCGCAACCAATCAACTGCCTTCGTGGAAAACCCCCAGGTTCCCTGGACCGCCTTTCGTTTCTGCCGTGCTTCGAGCAACCGCACGCCACGCCAACAGTGACCCACATTCACAACCTGCCCCTTCTCCTGGGGTACACTCCATCCTCGTCAACCTTATTACACTCCCGCTCACCGCACTAGAGTACAGAAAAAACCACCACCCATCCACCCTCCATCGGTGCCTTCCGACGCGGCGCGATGCAGTGCGCCCTTCCCCATTTGCGCTTCGCAGTCCGCATTTCGAGTTGGGTTGAGCAAGCATGCAATCACTGCCAAACGCTCTGTCCGTACAACCCACAAGTCACACAACTACGCAGGGGCGGTGTGAGGCGTGACCGTGACACAGCCTGCTTTGATGACTGTTTCAGAAGCTGAAGTTGAAATCACACGCAGCCAACAGCATTCGCCTCGCGTCACTTCCACGGGCTCCACTCTAGCTCACACCAACATTTCCTCCCCGTACATGGATGTACTACCGCCGACAGCATGTACATAACCCTCCACTCAGTCGATCACCTCTCTTATGTACCCACGCACTAGGAGGATAATCAGTTTCTACAGGCCAGGAGTCGTCTGAGCATCGAAACACACCAAAGCTTGTAAATTCCGTCTTCGATCCCAATAAGCGCGAGTCGCGCTTTATTCGCTACGCACTAGTTATCTGTTCCCATATTTCTTCTCGACGACGAATTTTTAGCTCTTTGAAGCCTTAGTAAGTCTTTTCCTTCCCTTCCTTGGACCTTTTCACTCGGTAGTTTCACCACTCCGTCGTTTAGGCCAAGTTCGCTTATTCTTCCAAATCTCCTCCCTTCGCCGTCAGAATGGCTGCGATTCACCAGACTCCGCCAACTCAACGAGACACACACTCATCGTCGAGTCGCCGACGCTCGCGTACCCTCTCAGCCGCGCGAATGCGTGCCTTCAACCAAACCCAACCAAACCTGCTCGTGGCTGCTCTTTTCTTACCCGCCTTGGCGCTCGCGGTGCGCCCCCAGTTCCCGACAGAAGGAACGCGCGACTCGCAGGATAGCGTCGTCATCGCGGTAAGCTCCAAGTCTCCGAAGCCTCGTCGAAGTCGTCACATGAGACACTTGTGCGTGGTCTTGTTGGACACACGTCCCTCAAGCAAACTCATACCCTTCAAAAGATCCAAGCATCGTAGTCCGATACAAAATATAGTTTTTTCTTATTTTAGCTGTCGCCCTTTTCTTTCATTCTCGTTGCTCCCCGCAGAGGTATCAAGCGGGGCTGTCGAAGATGTGTCTCGGAGCCAGTAGCGAACGGGCGCGAGCGGTTATCGGCAACGCCGATTACGCTGGCAGCGACGCCAACGTGGCGCTCGCCTATTCGCAGCCGACGAACGCCACATTCATGTACATCGGCGGCGCGAGAATCAAAGGTAAATTATTCCCTGTTTGCCGACGAACGCCAGAATTCGCAGCCGACGAACGCCACCTCCCATGTTTGCACCATTCTCCGTGCTGTTCCACTTTTCCGGTATCGACCAACGAAGCTTCTCCTTCCTCCCTGTCTTCCCCTCTTCGCACCCAGCATTCCGTGTCTCTTTTCCCCTTCCTCGCACCTCTTCTCTGTATCCTCATCGGGCTTGCCTCCATTCTTCACTTGCAAAATGACGTCCCTTTCACGGTTTCTTCATCATTCTTTCATATGAGTCAAGGCTATCATTCCCCTTACTTCAGACCCTCCAATATCCCTTCCCTTGTCCTCGCTCCTTCTATTCCTCTTGCCTCAGGCCCTCGCCGCTGCGTTCCGCCAGGTCAATTGGGTGTGTACACCTACTACCCCTCTACGAACAAATTCGTTAAGAGCGATTTGCGCAGCCTCCCCGAGCGCGTAGTGGACTCGTCGTACGTGGTCTCCCTGACAGTGCCATCCGCGTTACAAGTCGCCCCGCAAGTGACGCTGGACGTGTCGAACATGTACCCCACGGCTCTTGAGGTTGACGCAGCCGGGACAGTATCTGCCCCTCCCATGACTCAGGCCAATTTCACAGTAAGCGAGTTCTTGCATGAGCTAATTGTCCGTTTTACGTCCTGTAACGTAACTTCCCTCCTCATCTGCCACACATGCCCCTGTAGACTCGCTTCCATGGCTACATATTGCTACGTCTTTTGGCGTCTCGTTTCCCTGCATTCAATTGCTAGGCGCTCGTGCATGTCTCCCTCCATCGTTCCATAATCACCAAGTTTCCTCTTCCCGTTTTCAGGTCTCGGGAGCAGATCTCTCCCCTCCAGCCGACCCATATGGAATGGTTTCTTCCTATCTTGAGCAATACGGTGCCAAAGCTGATGCTAACGACCTCTCGGGCGCAATTCTTGTTACCTATGACCCTTATATCGAGGCGCACGTTACTGTGTACATGATTTACCGACCCGTCTACAGTCCCGCTGCGGTGGTCCAACAATACTGCAACGCGAATGCGCCATGTTACTTCGCGTATGAAATGATCGGGAAGTACGCAGCTCCGCAGGATGTATCTGCGAGGCGTCGCCGAAGGCTTCTTGTAGCCAGTTCGCGAGCAGATACGCTGGCATCGACGGGGACGTGCGTGCGATATGTGTACAACCCTGTGTGCAAGTGCTACAAAACCACACCTTGTTGAGTTGCTTGAGGTGGCCAACAATAGGCATCTGCTGGACCACGTGTACATTAAAAGCCCCTTGGAGTGGGCATCTGTACACAAGGCCGCTCTTTATATATATGGGTTAGCCAGCAGGTAAAGGTTTCAGGTTAGAACCTCTGCAGGAAGACTGCAATAGGATGACACCAGATCCGAAGTCCTTTACCTGTCCCCCAAAGCAATGGGTTACCTACATGCATTGGTTCTATAGTTTGAGTGTGAGCTCTGTGTTTCCATGGGTTTGCTAAATTCTGAACCAGAGTGGCTTGGCATCAATCGTTTACTGCTTCAGGAGGAGTTGAAATATCTTGTGTGACACAGCAATTGGTGGGCCTTTACACATTTCGTTATATCCCTCAGAATCTGCTCTATCATAAGTTGTCTCGTGAAATTGCAGTTATCAGTGCAACACCATTCGGAAACTGACACAATAGTGCATCGCGAATAAAGTGTTGCTGCGATTTGCCGTTAGTTTTAGGCACGCGCACTTGTCGCAACCAATAGAATTCGTCGCATGAAAACCTGCAGGTTTTTTGCTTCAACTTTATTTGTCGTTTCTACCTTGCCCTCAACAACCACACCGGTACAGTGACCCACATTCACAACCTGGCCCTGCCCCTGGCGGAAATCGCCAATGAATTCACTGCCCCTGCCCAAACCTCCCCGCCCTCCAACCAATCGCAAGCGGCGTGATGCGATGTGTCTTCACATCTCCCCACAGGCGGGATTTGTCTGGCTGCATCTCAGCCATGCAATCAGGGGCGGCACGGTTGGGCTGGGTGGACATTGACGAATCAAACAAATCACATTACCGCAGAAACGCTTGGATGGGGGGACAGAAGAGATTGCAGGGGAGGGGAGGGGGAAGAGAGCTGGGGGCAGGTACAGTAGAGTGCAATTGGGCTGGGGAAGAGTGGGGGGGGGGGGGACCTTTGTTATCAAGCGCACACCCCCAATCCAGCAAAGCAGCCAACAACTTATCGCCTCGTCGTCACTACGGCATCTTCTCAGCAGCATTGCCAGTGCACTCCACATTCCATGCACATTACCTTGAAATAGATCGCAAACGAGCGACCTCAAGTCTACGCATTGCGCGGCGAGTTAGGGCATGACTGTCTGAGCAGACGATTTCGGAGCCCATTCTCATCTGATCTGCACCCTGTAGGCCAGTCCCGCGTATAACGACATACAGTACTCACATCAGCCTCCTCTGCAACCGCTTCATCCACGTTGCGCTTTTGACCGTGCTCACCTATTTTTAACCCCGTCTCCATCGTACTTCCAGTCGGCATTTAGGCCGCCATTTCGGTGAACGTTTCCGTCGTCGCACCAAACTCGACATCTCTATCCGATCTACCTCACGATTCCGTCGAAATGGCTGCAATGCCGCAGGCACAGCTGAATCGACGAGGCTCTTTCGCAGCCACCAGTCGCAGACGATCCGTCACGCTTTCGCCCCGGCGAAGAAACATTTTCGGTCGACTCCATCTCCAAGTGCAACACGTGCTGGTGGCTTCTCTTCTCGTACATTCCCTCAGTCTCACCGTGCACGCTCAGTTCGTGACAGAGAGAACACGCGCGCAGGACAGCGTTATGATTGCGGTAAGCTCGAAACCTCGATAAGCAACCTCGTGACCTTTAATGCGTCCTGGTCACAAATTTCGCCTTCTCTGGCTTTCCCATCACTAACTTCTCCCTCCGCTCTCGTCGCTTTTCTCCCCATCGCAGAGGTATCAAGCGGGGCTGTCGAAGCTGTGCCTCGGAGCCAGTCGCGACAAGGCGCGGGCGGTTGTCGCCAACGCCGATTACGCCGTCAGCGACGCCAACGTGGCATTCGGCTATTCGCAGGCGACCAACGCCACATTCATGTACATCGGCGGAGCCAGAATGAAGGGTAAGTAACCCTCCTTTAAGCCTTCTCCGGCGCGCAGAAACCGCTCTCTTCTCTCCTCTCTCATCCCTTACTCGGTCGCCTCCCTCCTGTCTCCTCACTCGTACGTGCTCTATACGGGGCCTCACCTAGCCCCTTCCCTTCTCATATTTTCCTCTACTCCGCATGTTTTCCTCTATTCCTCCTTCCTCAGGTCCTCGCCGCTGCGTTCCCCCGGGACTTCTGGACGTGTACACTTACTATCCTTCTAAAAAACAATTCGTTAAGGGTAATCTGGGAAGCCTCCCTGAGCGCGTAGTGGACTCGTCGTACGTGGTCTCCCTGACAGTGCCATCCGCGTTACAAGGCGCCCCGCAAGTGACGCTGGACGTCTCGAACATGTACCCCACGGTTCTAGAGGTTGAGGCCGCGCAACCGGTGTCCGCTCCTCCCATGACGCAGGCCAATTTCACGGTAAGCAAGTTAGTTTGTAAGGTAAATCTCCTCGTCATCCACTACTCATGCCGCTATATCAAGTTCCTAGTGTCTGCATATTGTTTTGCAGGTCTGTTTCCCAGCTTGTAGTAGCTACAGGCTCGTGCACAGTTCCCCACGCCTCATTCCATATTCACTATATTCCTCCCTCTACTTTCAGGTATCAGGAGCAGATCTCTCCCCTCCAGCCGACCCATATGGTATGGTTTCTGCTTACCTAGAGCAATACGGTGCCAAGGCTGACGCCAACGACCTCTCGGGCGCTATACTGGTAACCTACGACCCTTATATCGAGTCGTACGTTACAGTGTACATGATCTACCGACCCGTCTACAGTCCCGCTGCTGTGGTACAGCAATATTGCAACGCAAACGCGCCGTGTTACTTTGCGTACGAAATGGTTGGCAAGTACGCAGCTCCCCAAGATGCGGTCGCCAGGCGTCGGCGAAGACTACTCGCCACGAAAACTGATTCGCTGTCAACGATGGGGACGTGTGTGCGATACGTGTGGAGCCCTTCGTGCAGGTGTTACGTAACCACGCCTTGCTGAGTTACACGCTCCTACCATTTTCGCCACTTGATATGACATTCGCCCCAACCACGGGACCCCAAAACTGGCTCAGAAACTCGGGCCTACGGGAGTTGCTTGCGGGGGACCGCGCCTCTAAATGATTAGAGGGTGGCGGCTGTACAATAGAGCCATTTTCTATCAGCTGGTCCTTGCGGCAATGTGTAATGTTGTATCGTTTGCAATTTTGCCTTGCTAGCGCCATAAGGTTATTTTGCCAGTGAACATTCAGAAGTATATACGGTACTCTGGTAAAGGGGTGGGGATGTGAAAGCAACAATCTTAAATTGAGATGCACGGGAGGAAATAGATAAGCTGCAACCCTATGTTTGCAAGTGGAATGTAGAAAGGTGTTTATCTTGCTTAGATGATGCCAATATGAGGCACAAGCAGGTTCCCATTGATTCCTTATAATTTGCATCATTCTGTACACTCGTGGCCTTCTGGCTTTTGATGTGGCACAACCATGGTCAGACAACAACGCACTGGCTCTTACTACTCATCAATACATCACTACCTTTACCAACAAATCCGGCTACCACCTGTGCTATGTCGTCGCCTTAATCACCTTCACTTCAGGCACAATCACGTCCGGCAGCTTGCTGTGCCAATCCCAAGTGCACATCCTTCTCAGCCCATCGTAGTGCCAAAACGAGTTCACCACAAACCGCTCCTTTTTAGCATCCTTCCCAGCAATCCAGTTGTTGTGCAGAATCTTGCTCCCCTTCCTCCTGCACGCCCCCATCACATCTGCCGCCTCCCAAAACCCGTGCACCGCGCCGTTAGGGTAAATCGCCCTGTCGAGGAAAATAGTACGGAGTCCATTCTTCCACACGCATTCCTCCTTTCCGGGCACCACATTCTCTCCTTTCACCCCGCAGAGAATATCATAAAAGCTTGGCTGCTCGGATAGCTTAGTCGTGGCTGCATGCGCTGTGATCGCCTCAAACCCTTCGATTGTCTGCGCATCCGACCTTGCGAAATAAAACCCGGAGTTGATCCTGCGGATTCCGGTTCCGGGCAGGCTCGCGTTAGGCTCGTTGCTCTGGATCGGGAAGGTGCCAGGCCCGTACGACATGAGGTCCGGGAGAGGGTCGGAGAACCAGACAATATCGACGTCTGTCCAGAGGACCGAGTAGCCTGCCTTGAGCACGCGCAGCACGGCGCGGGATTTGAGCTTGGTGAACTGGCGGAAGCACTGGCTGCCGAAGGCACAGTTCTTGGAGTCAACACCCTTGAGACCCACGCTAACCTGAAGGAGGGAAGGATGGGAGAGGGGAGAAGGAGAGAGGGAATGAGTGGGGATTGAGCCGCTGTGAGCTTGGTTAACTGGCAAAAGCACTGGCTGCCAAAGGCGCAGTTCTTAGAGTCAATGCCCTTGAGACCCACACTGAGCGGAAAAGGGAGAAGGAATGGTAGAGCTTAAAGGAGGAAAGGAGCAAGGGGGGGATTGAGAGAATTTGAGCTCAATTCTCATTCATGGGATAGGAAGAGGAGGGAAGGCGGGATGGGGGGTAGGGGGAAGGGGAACATGCGAGGGTAGGGAATGCAAGCTTGCTCTCACAAGAAGCTGCTTCTAGACTCAGCCTTCTGACCTCACTCGTTGCTGGACACCTTTTTTCTTATTGGCCCAGATCCTGTTTGTCAAACCGAACCTGAATTTGGACTCACTACAATGTTAGACTCGTTACAAGCGCTCACCTGTTCATAGTACACCTGTACAAGTCCTTGTGTAAACGCGAAGCGATAGAGATCCTCATCGAGCGACGCGACCACGAGATTGTCAGCCAGGCCGAGCCCCCTCGAACAATATTATTTCCGTTACAAGCCTGCCTCGTTACAAGCTCTCACCTGCTCGTAGTACACTGCCAGGCCTTGTGTAAACGCGAAACGATAGAGATCCTCATCAAGCGCCGCGACCACGAGATTATCCGCCAGGCCGAGCCCCCTCAGGCGGCACACGAAGCTCATGAGCATCTCCGCGTATCCGAACGTGACGGCGACTAGGGTTACCACCTTGAGCCCGTTCGCCTCCCTAGCGACGCGCGGCAGCAGCTGCTCCATCGTGTGCGGAAGCCCGATGGAGGATTTTGGCGTAGGAACGGCTGCGATTGAGTAATCCTCCTGCTTATCGACGGACACGGTTCCGCACTGCCACTTGTGGCCTGTAGCGTCGAGCTTGGGATCTGATTGGCTGTTTTCGACGAAGTTGGAAAACTCGCACGTGCACGTGGCGGGACGCAGGCGCTTCTGAAGGCACATGTTGAAGACTGGTGGTGGGGGAGGGGGACGGGAAGGGGAGGGGGGATGGGGAGAGGGGGACGGGGGAAAGAGGGAAAGGGGGGAGGGGGAAGTTGGAGACACGTATCGGGTAAGGAAGGTTGGGGTTTGGGGGGGCAAGGGGGGGGGGGGGGATGTGGGGGGAGAGGACTGAAGGGAATGTGGAGAGGGGTAAACGGGGGGAGGGGAAAAATTCGGGGTAGGGGAAATTCACACGTGCAGCTGACGAGGTGTAGATTCCGTTAATGAGTTACTTATCCATATAATTTTTGTGCCTTATGTTACTGTTCCCCCTCCCCGCCCCTCTCTCCCCACCACGCTACTCTTCGTTCCCCCATTCACTCGTTGCCCCACTCCTCCCCAGCTGTCCCGCCAACCCCCGTTTTCTCGCCCTTAATTCTTTCCTGCTTAGCTCGAACAACCCCGCCGCGACCCCCGCCGTACCTGAAGGTTCATGACACGTGGCGAGCTTCCACGGCACGTGCAGCGCCGTGCCCTTCTGGTTGACGTACGATCCGTGCGTCTGCGCCATGTGAATGTTCGCGAATAACTCCCAGCTGCTATGCTTCCTCGTCGACCAAAAACTCTTTCCTAGCAGGCCCTTCCCCTCCTTGGTCGCGTCGCCCTCCACTACGTGCGAGTAGGAATGCGCCACGTGGATCGCCGTCACCGCGTCGCTCGCGTCGACGACTTGCCGGACGCCCGACGCAACCATCTCGTGCGTCAGCCAGTTGTCGTACTTCCCGCGGCCGAACATGAACGGCGGCATAATTCCCGTGAAAAGCGGAAGCGGGGAGTTGTTCCAAGCCCAGAAATCCACGCCGCCATAGGTATGCAGCGACCCGGTCTCCCGGACAACCTTCTTAATCTCCTTCTCGATCGCCGCGCTGCTGCGCCCGCCGCCGCCGCCCGACGAAGCCCACATGGAAGGTTCGAAAGAGTACGGGAAATCCTCTTTCACGTCCCACCGTGCTGACGTCATCACCCAGTGCGGGAAGCTACGGTGAATCTTCTCGATGGCGACCATGACGTCATTGAGGAGAATAATATCGCCGTTAATGATCATGGAGAGATCCGTATCGGCGGCTTGCGCGCGCGCCACGATGCTGTGAAACTGCGGCACGCCGTAGAAATTAGTGTCGATCGCGTCGTCGACGGAAATGCGCGTCGGGAACTCCCGCGCGAGCGCGTGAAACGTCGAGTCGTTCCCGAGAAGGACGATCTTAGGAGCCGGAGTTAATCGCAGCCACGACAGCAGTGCGCGGCGTTGGTTGTCCACGGCACGGTCCTTAGGATTCAGCACCGACTCGTACGGCTTCGGAGCGCAGAAGATCGTCAGCGAGGGAGCAGCGCCATCTGCGGCGCCTCTCGCGGCGCCACCTGCGCCGTCCACGCCGCCGGAGCCCTTCGCCTCCTTGTTTCGGTATAGGCTCTGGCTCTTCTTAGCCAATAGGAGGCCTTCCTGGAGCTCGCGCCGCTTGTGCGTGGCGAGGGAGGGAGTCGCGACCACGATCGCGGCTAAGAACGTTAAGGCAATAAGTAACCGAAGCTTCATAGTGAAGGAGGTTAAGGCGCCTTTAGGGCGCATACGCGCGAAGGTCTTTCGCAGCTGGGAAATTCAAAAGGTGCTTAGACTAACAGACCGACCGAGTTCAGAAGGTTAAATAACTCGAACGCCGCGTTTGCTGTGTAGGCACAGGCGATGTGCGTACATGTATGCGCTATGAAAGGAACCTCGTGTCGTGTGCCCTATGGCATAAGCTGCAATGCAAACACATCAACCCTAGGAACAATCAGCTTTTACGGGTCTCCAACAAGCACGGGTGTGGTTTCCTAATTGTGCGGGCTGGCAACGTCCTTGCTTGCTGGTGGCAAGCGGGGGAGGAGAAAGCAGACAGGTTGGTTGGTTGGAGGACAGCTGCACGCAGGAATGGCTGCACGCGGAACAAGCGGTGTGAGGTGAGGAGGGATGGATAAACAGTGACAAAACTTGTTCTGTACCGTTCTAGATCGTAACGCAACACAATGAAACATGGTTCTTCCCGAACACGAATCCGTGCAAGCGGGAAATGAGGCAAGGCTATAGCTAGGCTCGGGGGTGGCGGAAGCGATGGGCAAGGTTGGGGTCCCCAACTTGGGGAGGAGGAAACGGCGGAACATTCGATTCGGCTCGAGAAATTGATGATGGGTGTGAATAACGTCGATGATCCGATGCTGTAGGTGGTTGGTGAAACATTCGACGGTCGAGATGCAGTTTCTCCAGGTGGTTGGTTTGAGTTCTGCCCACGGGCATACTGCATGGGGCGAGTCCGGGGAAACAGTACTGTAAAGGTGCGGAGGGGCGTATCCGCGCCCTTATCACATACCGTGGTTGCTTTGGCCTTCATAGGTCAAATCGAAATGAAGGGGCAGGTAAAGTCGCGGGCAGGGTATCATATACTCGACGAGTCACATTCGGAGGCCGTATGTGTGAGAAGTTCGGTCAGAAAATGGAAGAAACTGGCTGCCAAAGAGTTGTGGGCAGCTCCCACTGGGCAGGTACAGCACTCCGTTTGTTGCCCTCCTCTCCATCCCCAAGCAACCACCATCATGAACCTTCAATTCGGTACGTCCGATGCAGTGGACCGAGGGGCGGGCAGCTACCCCACGAGCCAAGAGGGGAACGACAACATCGGAAGGATGCAGTTTCGGTGGTTCGGCGGCGCGCGGATGCTGGTCAGGTCGAAATTCCCGTGTCGCAGGGTTGAGCGAAAAGTTCTACAAGTTCGTTAGAACTGGCGGCCTGGAAGCAACATGGAGGATGAATTTCAGGTCATCTGGGGCAACAAAAACGCAGATTCAAGGCATGGTTTCTCGCAATTCGGTACGGATACAGGCGATTTGAGCCGTTCACACACGAGACAGTGCACGACGGACCGCAGGTGAATGGCCTGGCGGGCGCAAAAAGCATGTCGCGCTATACTACAATGCACCATAAAACAGGAAAACCAAGCTTGGGGCAAAAAGTCAACCCATAATAGCACCAGGTTTGCCTATGATGTTATTTGGCTTATCTACTCAGTAGAGCCGAGTAGTACTACATTTATATTCACTTCATGCACTCATGAAACCGTCAACCACAATGTCAACCAGGGAAGGAGCTGCTTTCTGGATGGGTATCAGAATCAGAGCAAGAACAGCTGTTTTCAGCAACTGTATTACCGTAAAGTTCCGGCTAGAAGACCCGCCGGTAAGAAGGTCCCCCGGGACTCTTGAACGGGTAGGGGGACTCTTATTGTGGCAGATATTGTGAGGACCCCCCTTTGGCCGCTAATCATCATAAGACCCCCCCCTACCCTAAAGTGCCAATATCAATCTGGTGAATTAATGGTCCTACAACTAGACATTACAACTCACAAACACATCACTACACTGCCTTCAACCTACAACTAGACATTACAAGGTCATAGTGGCAAATCTAGCGTCTTAGGGCTCCTGGAAGTCCCATACAACTCTGCCTGCAGCCTAATCCTCACTCCTCGTCCGCGTTGTCCTCCAGCCCACCCTCCTCCTCCTCCTCCTCCTCCTCCTCCTCATCCTCCTCCTGTTCTTCCCCTTTCTCCGCCTCGTCCTCCTCCTCCTCCTCCTCCTCCTCCTCCTCCTCCTCCTCCTCCTCCTCCTCCTCCTCCTCCTCCTCCTCCTCCTCCTCATCCTCCTCCTCAGGGAGGTCCCCGGCATCCTCGGCATCCGCCACCTTTGCCGCCTCCTCGTCATCTGCGGCGGTTGCATACAGGGGGTTCACCCACTCCTCCACTTCAGGGAGGACGTGCACGTCCTCTGCCACCTCGACCTCGCCCGCGTCGCGCATGTGGGCCAGGACGAGGTGATCCTGCTTCCCGTCGACCGAGTTGCTGATTCCGCACGTGAGAAAGGCCTTCTCGATGATGTGCTCAGGAACCGCTGCCCAAGCGGCCGCAATCCACTTGAGCACGGTCTCGGCAGGGGGCTTCTTCAAGTTCCCTGCCACACAGATTGGACACACAGAAAGAAACACGGTTTAGGACACGAAGTACTTTACCCAGACGGGATAGAACAAGCAAACGCCCACTCACCGGCTCTAGTGTACGTGTTGACGCCGATCTCGGCAAACCACTCGTTGTACATCTCACGCAGCAGCGCCTTGAATGAGCGGTTGACGCTCACGTCAAGGGGTTGCAGCAGAGGTGTGCAGCCCCCTGGGATGATGGCCGGGATCACCCGGTTCCACTTCAAGTTGATGAGCACACCATCAGTGAGGTGGGCCCGGTAAGAGTCCAGGACCAAGAGGGTCTTGGACCGTCGGATGCCACGCGGTGGCTTGATGAACGGGAGGAGGATGTTGTTGAGCCAGTCGTCAACAAGCTTGGCGTCCATCCACCCCTTTTGTTGAGCACGGACGACGACACCTGCAAAGGAACAGCAAATGCGGTTAGTCATAGCCACCAAACACGGAAAAACTGAAACGTTTAACGGTTGCATCTCACCTGCAGGGACCCGAATCTTCGGGATTGTCTTGCGCTTAAAAATCACCATCGCAGGGAGTTTCCGGCCGTCAGCGGTAATGCCAAGCATCACCGTGACCCTCTCCTTCTCGTACCCCGCGCTCCTGACGTGCACCGTTTTCTCCCCGCGGTGATGCAGGGTGCGCTCGTGCGGCATCTCCAAAAACACCGGCGTTTGATCGGCGTTTATGATGTTCCACGGCGTTTATGATGTTCCACGTGTCGATGCCGTGCTTGATGATGTTCTTGCGCGTGAACTCCCAAAACTCCAAGCACTTTGGCTTGCACTCTGCCACGGACGCACAGAGACGAATTCACGTGGATGAGCCACGGTCGTTGGGTAAAACAACCCTTATGAATGCACAATATTACAACGAGAATGCGTGTCGAGGCCGCGAGACACTCAATCTTCTTACCTTTTGCAAGACGCTGGCCAACCTTCGTCTTCACGCGGATACAGAGTCCGAGGCGCCCGCGAAATCTGTACGTCCACCTGTTGGACGCCATCCACCTCACGTCCGGGTAGTGGGCCTTCATGTAGACCCTGCTCCAGTGTTTGATGAGTCGGATCGGAACGGCCAAGCCACGGCCGCGGAAGTTCAGCATGCGCTTGTAGGCGTGCGCCTCCTTGTCGGGGTACTTAGCCTTCCGCCCGCCACCGCTGAGACGACGCCTGGAGCGCTCTGCGTTTTTTATCCGATCCGCTGCCCGTATCCACCGGCGCACACTGACCGGTTGCACCCCCGCCAGACGAGCCGTGTGGCGGACGGAGAGTTTCTCCGCCTCCATCCGCGCAAGCCAGTCTTGTTTCTCACCCATCGTACGGGCCTTGCGACTGTGCGTTGTGGTGCGTGCGCGGGGACTCGATGGCACACCGTCGGGTCTGGACCGCGGACCGTTCTCGTCGTGCATGAGGTCCTCCGGGAAGCGCGGGATCGGGAAATTTCCGACATCATGATTCACCTCGTCGTCACCGGCGTTGTCGTCATCCCAAGCGGCGGCGGGTTGGGAAAACCCCTCGTTCTCGAGCGGGTCCAACGGAGGGTTGTTGCGCCAGTCAACCGAGCCCGTGGGAATCACAGGGGGCGCAGGAGGCGCAGGAGGAGCCGGAGGGGCCGGAGGAGCAGGAGGTGTTGGAGTATGAAGGGAATCGTAAGCATTCCCGAAGGTGCAGCAACATCGCACCTGCCACCAACGAAGCAGCGCAAACAGCAGATGTCGGATCAGCCTATATCAAGGCAGGAAAGTCAACAGTCGCAAGAGTCAACTGTCGCGACTGTTGACTATCTGGACCGACGATTGACCTACTATCGAGGAATGGCAACAGGCGTAACCGTACGCACGGTTACAAGCAGCGACTCGGTAACAAGAAAGGAAATGTAATAGTCAGAGTCACTGTTGTACTGCCTGTAAAACAGTTATAATAAGGGAATGTACCCCTTAGAGTACATGGCTAGTTAGGACTATTTATCTTGCTTGTATTCTATCAATCAATCAACCTTTTCATTTACATTCACTATGATCAAGGGTTCCTACCAAGACTTCCGCTACCAATTCTTTCAGAGCACTTCCTATCCTATCCAAAGATCCTCAGTCTAACATGGTATGAGAGCCAGTTTGGATTATAGGAACTGCTAAAAGGACCTCTTCTCAGAAGGTAACTCTTCATATAACTTACTACAAGGGCAAGCAAACATGCCAGGTGCCGACTGCGGAGAAACAGGAGAAAATCCAATACATCCGTCCACTAATACTACCTCTACTACAACAACCGTGGACACAGCACTCCTCGAGCAGCTGATTTCCCGCATCAGCGCACTGGAGAGCCATCAGCCAATGAGCATTGACGGCTCCAGCTACGCCCGAAGACCTCCCGATCCTCAAGGAGCTGGATCTGAACGATCCTTCACCTTCGACAATCGCGGAGCTCCAGGACCTGCTCAAGCACAACAGGCGCATCTCGAGACAATGGCGTCAATGCAGAGCAAGTTCCTGTCCACGTCAAAGCTCAAGACAACAAAACCGTTCGACGGACAAGACTTCTACACCTGGAGCTTCGAATTCGAACTACTAGCTCAAGGCGCCCAGATCTGGATGTATTACGACGGTTCATACCCCTTCCCAACCAACGGCTCACCTCAGGAGAAGACGCAGTACTACAACGAGTCTCTCCTAGCCTTCACCGTCCTGATCCGGAACCTGTCGCCTGAAGAACAGCTGAGCATCCGTCCATTCAAGAACGAGTGGGCACCCGCGCAACAGTCCTGGGAACACCTGCGCACCTGCCACATGGCAACAGATTCGGTGACGCTCAGTCGCCTGCTCAACCAGCTGAACAATGTCAAGATGTTTCCCGGCGAAAAGGCCGGATCCTACATCAACCGCTGCAGAAACCTGAGAGACCAATTCAGGAAAAGCGGCGGAAACTTCCCTGACGACATGTTCGTCACAATCATTCTCGCTGGATTAAGCCCGGAATGGCGCCAGTGCAAGTCGCTCCTTCGCACTCAAGGGACCGTCAGCGAAACCGCCCTCTGCTCAACGCTCCTCTCCGAGCAGAAGGAAATGGACCTGTACAACGAGAGAGGCAACAAGAAGGAGAAGATCGCTTTCTACGCACAAGCGCCACCAGACAAGAAAAGACTCTTCTGCAAGTACTGCAAGAAGACTGGACACACAATCCAAGACTGCTGGAAGCTGAACGGCAACAACAACAACCAGAAGGGGGCCGCTTCTCACCAGCAAGGAAGGACTCCAATGCGCAATCAGACCGTATCGCCACCTGCCGTCGCAAGCACATCCCAAGCTCCGGCGCGCGTCTCTGCGAACACAACCGACAAAGGCAAGAGCAAGGTGTTAACCTGCATGGTCCGACGAGGTCCACCTCGCCCGAACCGACACTACCGCTTCTTCCGGAGCTGGGAAGACATGTTAGCAGACCCGCCGCAAGAGCGTCCTGAAGGGTCAGTCGAAGACGAGGAGGAAAACGACCCAACATACGACGAGCTGACAGTTGGCCGCATGGAGTATGACTGGGAAATGCCGCCTTGGATCCAGGAGTCACCACCTGCACGCGAGGCATACAAAGATGAGGATTTTACATACGATTACGAACACGAGCACGACATGGAGCATCACATCACTCCAAGGCTCGCCAACCTCGCCAAGGCAAGAAAAGAAATCAACACCTGGTACCTGGACAGCTGCTGCGGACAGCACATGGTGTCGTCGAACGTCTTCATCCTCAACAGTGAACGGCTCTTCAACGAAGTAGAGATCACTGTTGCCAACAGTCAGACCATCTACGCCAATAGCCGCGGGCAAATTCAGCTGGAGTCCAACGACACCGGGTACTGCATCCACATCAGCGACGTACTTGTTGTACCTGAGCTTCGGTACAACCTTCTGTCGCTCCACCAGTTGATGAAGTGCGGAGTCGGCCTGGAAACAACAGAAGACGAGATGCACTTGATTTACAACGGGATTTTCATCGGGAAGGCAACCAGTGTGGAAGGAGTGTTCGTACTTGACTTTGAGTCACCAAAAACCACTGGAGACAACGAGCATATCCTCGTCCTTGACCCACCTGGACACCCGTCGCCGCCACGATGGAGTCATCCTGAGGAGACCGACTACCAGCGGCCTGGCCTCGACGGTACCTTCCGCGCTCTTGCCGTGCCCGTCGCTTCAACCACAAATCCTGGAAGCACAGGAACGCAAGCAGTGGAAGAAGGAGAAGAAGGCACGTCAGATACAGCAATCGCAACGACCGAAACTGGAGAAGCAGACGTCCTGCGACAAACCTGGCCATCTGACGCTCACCCTACTGGCTGGAACACCACTCAAGGGTGGGACGCGGTCGACGTACGCTGGGTCATCGACAACACCGCGCTGGGAGAAGCCGTGGAAGCAGAGACGTCAGGATGGGGAACCACCGCCGAAGAACCTGCAGCAGAGGCAACCGAAGTAGTAGAATTACCAGAAGTCACAGAAAAAGCACCTGAAGCCGAAGAAGAAGAGCTACTGACAGAGTACGGACCTCACCTGCTCCCCATCACCACTGACGGCAGAGACTACCTCCGCCTCGAGACAAGGGGAGTGGCGATCGGCGACACACCCTTCGAAGAAGGGGAGATCACACAGCCCGACGATCGCCACCAGCGGACCTCGTCCTCATCTTCTGAACAACCGCCGACGCTGCCGGTGACGATCGACACTGTCACCATCGGCGATACCGACGGAACGTATCACGGCGCAACAATCCAAGCAGCGGCGGTCCACGTCACCGTGCCCGACGAACCTGCGGAAGGCACCAGGAGGATAACCGCAGAGGAGATCTTAGCACGGGAAAAAGAGCTATACACTCGCACCAAGGGATATCGGGCCGACGGTGACATCTGGCATCAACGCATGGGTCACCCATCAATCGAGGTGCTCAACAGCTGCATCAATGCAAAAGTCTTTGCGGAAGACGCACTGTTGCTGCCAGACGGAAAACTGCTGAAACCAAGAACCGACCTACCCAACTGCTCTGTCCGTCCGGCAGCCGCGCTCCGTCACACGCCCTTCGCCGAAAAGATTCCTGGAGCCGAACGCTACAAACCGCTGGAGAAGATTTACAGCGACTTCCTGGTGCTTACGGCAAAAGGAGTCGGTGGGGAGCAGTATACACTTACCTTCATCGATGCAGGCACACGCTTCGTCTGGGCCGTAAACATCAGCGACCGTTACCTCGCCTACCAGTGCTTCGAGGTCTGGCTCAGCATGGCGGAAACCCAGAGCAACGGCTACAAGGTGAAAAGCTTCCAGACAGACGGAGCCCTGGAGTACATGTCAGAGGACTTCAAGAACCTCTGCAAACAGAAAGGCATCAAGAGGATGATCTCACTTCCCTACGCTCACGAGCAGCAGGGATTGGCCGAGCGAACCAACAGGAGCCTCGCGACAAAAATGCGAGCCCTCATGAAGCAGTCCGCTGTGCCAACCAAGTATTGGCCCTATGCCATGGCGCACGCAGTTCGGTTGCACAACATGCTCTCCTCGAAGGCCCTGCCCAACAATAGTTCGCCCTTCAAGGAGTGGACCGGAAAACACCCCGACACCCGCATGCTGCGAGTCTTCGGGTGCATGGTACAGTACCGCCCCCACACTGCCCGAACCGGAAAATTTGAAGACCGTGCCCGTTGAGGCATTCACCTCGGAATCGAATCCGAATACCACGCCTGGACAATTCTGGACTTCGCCACCCACCAGCTCACGCGTTCACGTGACTGCATCTTCTACGAAAGACTGACCCTGCCACTGTACCGCCAGCACCGCACTGCACAAGAAGCGCCAGACAACCTTTTTCAGGGACAGCACAGCTACGCCAATGACGAGGATGACATCGACGTGGCAGGAGAACAGCCGGACAACGAAGCAGCAGATAACACACCCTTTGTACCCGTTACGGAGCAGTTCGAAACACCCACCTTCTTCCCAACCAACACTGATTCCCACGAAGCAATACAAGCCCAATTTGACTACACCAGTGAAGAAATGCACTCACCCATGAACGAAGACCCAACTCGCGACTCCTCCCTTGACACGATTCGCGACGTCCCTGGCGATGACGACGACGACGTCGTCGAAGTAACCAATGCAGCCGAATCCAACCTCACCGGACTTCGCATCCTCGGTCTCGCCGTCGCAATCCGGGGTAACCAGCAGCTGGTGGAGCCCACCACCGTTCGCCAGGCCCTCAGCGGACCCGATGCCGAGAAATGGAGAGCAGCCATGGCCGCCGAAGTCGCTGCTCTTCCGAGGAACCTGGAAGCTGGTCCCACGGCGACACGCGAAGGGGAGAAAATTTCTCACAAGGAAATGGGTCTTCAGGATCAAGACCTTGGCGGACGGAACCATCGACAAATACAAAGCGCGATGGGTCGTCCGCGGGTTCGAGCAAACGCAATTCGTGGACTACAACCAGACCTTCGCACCTGTCGGCCGTCACACGTCCGTGCGCATTCTCCTGTGCATCGCCGCTGTCAAGCAGCGCCCTCTGCGCAAGATCGACGTCTCCAACGCCTTCCTGTATGCGATCGTCGACGCCATAATCTACGTCGAGCAGCCGCACGCCTTCGAGGAAGACGGCAACGCAATCTGTCTCCTCCAGAAGTCACTCTACGGCATCAAGCAGGCGCCGCGCCTGTGGCAGCAGTATCTTCACACCATTCTCATCGAGCTCGGCTTCCAGCAGCTTCCCCACGACCAGGGGATGTACCGCCTCGAATCCCGCGGCCACTTCATCCTGCTCGTCGCCTACGTGGACGACCTTCTCTACACCGGGGACGACTCCGAGCTGCTCGATCGCTTCGAGCGCGAGATTCAGGAGAAGCTGGAGGTGACTATCAACCACGACGTCACCCAATTCCTCGGCCTCAACGTCACACAGAGCGCCGACTCTATCCACCTCTCTGCCGCGAAGTACGCCGAGAGCCTCGGAAAGAAATTCGACATCGCCTCCATCGGCATTACCACCCCATTCCGCATTCCTCCTCCCAACCACGAGCCGGACACCACTCCGCTCTCCCCAGCAGATCATCGTCTCTACCAGCAGCAGCTCGGTTGCCTCCTGTTCGCCGCCGTCACATGCCGCCCCGACCTCTCCTACGTCGCCAGCCAGCTCGCCCAGTACCTGCGCCGACCTGAAGGGGAGAACATGGCAGATCTTCGTCGAGCCCTACAGTACTTCATTTCTACGCCCGACGTCGGCCTCACCTACAAGGCGAACCTAACGGCTAACCTGCAGCTTACTGGTTTCGTCGACGCAGATCACGCGGGGGACGCAGAAAACAGAAGGTCCCGCACAGGCTTCATTTTCAAACTTGAGCCTGCAGGAACCATCTCCTAGAATTCACAGAAGCAGGAGCTCATCGCCCTCTCGTCAGCAGAAGCAGAGTTCATCGCAGCAAGCGCAGCAGTTCGCGAAGGACTCTACCTCACGGAACTCCTACAGGAAACGAAAACGGCGATGAACGGGTCCTTCAAGTTACTCTGCGACAACCAGAGTGCGATCAAAATCGCACACAAGCCCGGCTTCGTCAACCGCACCAAACACATCGCCCTGCGATATTTCTTCGTCAAGGACGAAATCGACAAGGGCAAGGTCCAGCTCACCTACTGTCCAACTGGCGAAATGGCAGCTGATTTCCTGACAAAGAAGCTGCCACGTCAGAAGTTCCATTACTGCTCGGACCTATGCGGAATCGTTCGCAAGAGCCACGTGGCGCACCTCCAGGAATGAAGGGGAGTGTTGGAGTATGAAGGGAATCGTAAGCATTCCCGAAGGTGCAGCAACATCGCACCTGCCACCATCGAAGCAGCGCAAACAGCAGATGTCGGATCAGCCTATATCAAGGCAGGAAAGTCAACAGTCGCAAGAGTCAACTGTCGCGACTGTTGACTATCTGGACCGACGATTGACCTACTATCGAGGAATGGCAACAGGCGTAACCGTACGCACGGTTACAAGCAGCGACTCGGTAACAAGAAAGGAAATATAATAGTCAGAGTCATTGTTGTAATGCCTGTAAAATAGTTATAACAAGGGAATGTACCCCTTAGAGTACATGGCTAGTTAGGACTATTTATCTTGCTTGTATTCTATCAATCAATCAACCTTTTCATTTACATTCACTATGATCAAGGGTTCCTACCAAGACTTCCGCTACCAATTCTCTCAGAGCACTTCCTATCCTATCCTAAGATCCTCACTCTAACAGGAGGTGCAGGAGGAGCAGGCGGAGCCGGGCTTGTGATGAAAATGATAGCAGGCTGGTCAGACGTACGGCCTAAGCTCGAACGGCGCATACGCCATGGGCTCTCGTGAACAGACATTGGTGGAAGCTACTGGTGTGCTACTGGCAACTGCTTGGTTCAGTTGCAGCTGCCATAGCGTGCTTTGTAGTCGGGTTTGAAGGAAGAGTGGCAAGTGTTGGATCTGAGACACGGTAGAGGGAGCAATGAACCACCAGGGTTGCCGTGCTAGGCAGGCTGGAGACGTGAAACCCTAGTGCAACACGTCTAGCATCTCTCCTGCGTCTGGGTTGAGACGGGCTGCTTGTAAGCCCCGTGACGTGGACATCTTGACGGGCGATTCCGTCAAGATGCTGTGCGGTCCGTGTTTTGGGGCGTTCAATCCGCCCTCGTGCATTGTACCTTGCCGCGTGTTGTTGGCGACGTCACGCACGTGGTGCGCTAAGCGAGGGATTTCGGCGAGAAAATTAGAAGACCCCCCCCCCCCCCCCCCCCCCCCCCCCTGTAACGAGACTGTACATGGTAAATCCATTAATGTTAATAGACAAATAGGTGTACCCCGGGTCTTAAAAATTTGCAACCGCCAAGATGTCCACCCTAGCAGTTTCCCTAGCAATTCTAGAGAGTCCCCCGGGTCTTCTAGCCGGAACTTTACGGTACATAAAAAATTATGAAACAGTAATACTGACATTGCTCTCATCCTGGCGTGCAACTCCAGCCCTAGAAGGGCTCAGCGCTTTCACCTTATCCCCATACTCCCTAGGCACCAGAAACACCAGGCAGTACGCAACACTGACGACACAAGCACCAATAATAGTCCCAACCCAATAAATCCAGTGGTTCTCCCACACATTCGACCAAACAGCTGCACCGAAGGAGCGAGCCGGGTTCATAGAGGCCCCTGTTAGTGGAACACCCACTATATGATCCACAAGCACGGAGAAACCAATCAGCATCGGCGCGAGGTGGGACGGCCCCTTGGGGTCGACAGCAGTTGCGAAGACTGCGTAGACTAGTATGGCAGTGAGGATGATTTCAGTGAGGACCCCTTGGCCTATGGAGACGCCAGCACCGAGCACGTGTGCACCAAGAGCGTCCTGCAGAGGGAGACACATGGATGAGAGAAATAATTGGTGTTAAGTTGCACGAAATGTGAAGAGAAGGTTAAGAAGGAAATGGAGTGAAACAGGAGGGAAATCGGGAAAGCGAGACAAGGGGATAGGGGGAGGTGGCGGGGAAGGGAAGAGTTGTTCAGGGGTGTGGAGAGAGGGGAAAGTTTAGTGAAGGGAATGACTGGGGTGGTCAGAAGGGACTTACATGTGTGCTGGCAGGAGTTATTGCCTTAACCAGGCCAGCGCCAAACACACCGCCTATCAGCTGAGCTGCCACGTATGCTGCTGCTGTGATGACGTCAACCAGCCCCACTGCCAGCATGCCAAGTGTGACAGCTGGATTGATGTGCCCTCCTGAAATCCCGGATGCGGCTCCCACAGCAACCACTAGCGCAAGGCCGTGTGCGATGCCAATGGAGAGTATGCGGGTCACGTCCAGCCCCTGAACGAATTCACCTGAAAATTATACAAAAAGAGAAAAAGAGAAAGGAGGAAAACCGGGAACAACTACCGGTTCAGCTTGAAGCATAAGATGAGGTTCCTCTTTTATATTTTTGCTTTGCCTCTATCGTGTGATCAACTAGAATAACTCGAGCTGGAAATCTGAAGACTTGACGCCAGTTTGAACTCACTCGAGACAGCCACTGACCCCACGCCGACGAAGACACAGAACATGGTTCCGAACAACTCCGCCGTCGCGGCACACGCCAGGTGGACGAATTCCAGGCATGTATTTTCTATGGCCAGAACTCACAGAGAGCTGCTTTCCACTTACTTGAAACAGCAACTGACCCCACGCCAATGAAGACAAAGAACATGGTTCCGAACAGCTCCGCTGTCGCGGCACACGCCAGGTGAACCAGGTTGGGCGGCTGAAGCCATTTCTTGAACTGCGGCATGCTGCTGAAGTCAAGTTTGCAATTGAATCGTCAGAAGTGTGTCGGCGACGGGTATGGAGTCCCGACGACCCTACGAAAGCAGCTGGAAGTTATTCAAAGTAATCAACCACTTAGATAATCGAAGCTTCAAATCGGCTCGAAGAATAGATGGAAGACGGAAAGATTAAAGCACGACGGATTAATGGTCTGGATGAGGGACTATTATATATTCTGTCGCTTCGGTCGACGTTCGCTCGTCCTCCGTCGTGACAACCGCCAATCATCTCGTCGGCAGCACAAGTCGCTATCACAACCGCGCGCGTTGTGCGAGCGTGCTTTCCACAGTTCACAGTGACGTGACGTCAGTCCGTCTATCTGTGCGAGCTATGCCGCCGTGTCCAAGAACACGTCATTGTCGCCTTACCCGTCCGCTGACGCGGCACGCGTCGCGAAAGAACCATGTCAGCTTCGAGATACCCGTACGGACGCGCGACGACATGATAACTCGAGCATGGCAAACGAGCACGTGCGTCGCCAGTAGTTCTCCGCCAACGTTGTTACCCGACGCGACCACTCACGTTATCTAAGGACGACCCAACGGGAGAGGCTGTGAGCCAGCAGTGTGTGCGCGCCTTGCCAGCATGACAGCGACGCTGCCATGCTGGACTGTGGCACAGGAAAGGGTAGGAGATAACGACGGGTGACACGGAAACAAGCAGCCATATTTACATGCGGTAACTTGGATAGAGGCTTTCCCTTCATTCGCTTTCCTCTACTGTTGGACGAAACAGGAATCATGCAGAGCGGTCAGCCAGAAACTCGAGCCTCGATTTTGCCGAAAGACGGACTCGTCAAAATCAACGTCAACGTCAGCGTCAACATGCCAGAAGTCGTGACAGAATTGTGGTTCCCTTTGTTTTCGTTCCTGCAATGAACACATCTCTAAATGTGAAGTTTATCGGGTACTTCAAAACAAAATACATTTATGCACGGCCTAATATTGGCCCTAGTTGAGGAAATATGACACGAAATGTTTCCTATTGGGGCGGAGGCTGGCTCTCCAAACGTTGAGGTTTACCCTTATGAGTCGGCTTCGCTGCCGGGCGCAACGGGCCTCCCTGTCTCCTCGCACCACCCGCTCCCCTCTGCACTGGCCGAGCCTGCCTAGCACCCGAACCCGTCTGCCGAACCACAGGCCCCGATTGCCTCCACCACGTGGTCCACCCGAGCCTCTCCGTGGCCCCGAACCTCGCTTCCAGATCACCCGCCCCATCATTATCACTCTCCCTCTCCCGTCCACCCTCCCAGTCGTCGTCCTCCTCATCTAAGCACCCTGCCACCAATACCGTATGCAGACTCGCCGATTCTGATTGCCCGGGAAAATCCGTGGTAAAATGCAAACCCCGGCTTTCCCGTCTCCTCAGTGCGCTGCGCACGACAAGCGACGCCACATTGATAAGATTCTCCATCTCGCACGCCTCCATTGAGACAGCGCCACGTGGCAGCAGCACATCGGTCTCGAGGTCAGCACGCCAGGCAGATGCCAGCGTGTCAATCTCCCTCTGTGCTATTCGGAGGCGGTCAGTGGATCGGACAATCCCGACATAGCGCCACATGATAGCCTGGGATTTAGGACAGGACAGGGCAGGTAAGGGAAGGGCAGAGCAGGGAGGGTATTATTGTCGAGGGCCGTAAAAAAAAGGCAGTCAGTGGATCAGGAAATACATGAAGATACAATGGGGAGGGAGGGCAGGGAACGGTAGGGGATGAGAGAAGAGGGTATAATCGAGGAGACTCCGCAGCGAGTTGAGGAGGAGAATAAATATACTATTTTGAGTCAGCATGGGTAGAATTCGTGCAATGAGTGGGTGAACCTGATGCTCAAGGCAATAAGAATTGGCACACACTAATGGTGGTAACCAGACGTTTTCACAAGGCTCACCTTAAGCTGCTCTCTGTACTTAGCAGTCACACGAGCAGCAGCGACCGCCCCTGGATCCTCCCTCCTCAACCCCACCACCTTCACTTCCTCCCCATCCCCTTCCCCTTCCCCCTCCCACTCCTCTCCCCCCCACATTGCCCCATCCATATCCCTCCCGTCAGGCAACCCTGCAAGCACATGATTCAGTGGTGCAGCTGCCACAGCATGTGCAATTGCCGGCTCTACTGCTCTCTGCGCAAACACCAGCGCTTCCAGGAGCGAATTCGACGCCAGGCGGTTTGCCCCATGTAGACCCGTGCAAGCCACCTCCCCCGCAGCCCACAACCCTCTAATCGAAGTCTCCCCAAACAGCCCCGTTTGGACTCCCCCGCACATGTAATGCGCGGCGGGGACGACCGGGATCGGGTCCTTAGTGATATCCACGCCCCACCGCTTGCACTCAGCTGCGATGTTCGGGAAGTGCCGGAGGATCTCGGCCGTCGGTTTGTGGCTGATGTCGAGATAGACGAAGAGATCGCCGCGGCGCTTGAGCTGGTCGTCGATGGACCGGGCAACCACGTCCCGAGGGGCGAGCTCGCCCCGCGGGTCGTAGTGAAGCATGAAGCGCTCGCCTGCCTGGTTGTACAGCAGCCCGCCTGCTCCTCGTACAGCTTCGGAGATGAGGAAGGCGTTGGGGCGGGGTCCCGGTGGCTGGATGGGCAGACCTGCGTCGGCTAGCGCTGTTGGATGGAACTGGATAAACCTGAGAGGAGGCGAGAGGGAGGGGGGAAGAGGAAAGGGGGCAAGAAAAGAGCGGCGCTTGAGCTGGTCGTCGATGGACCGGGCGACCACGTCCCTGGGGGCGAGCTCTGCTCTTCAGTCGTAGTGAAGCAAGAAGCGCTCGCCCGCTTGGTTGTACAGCAGCCCGCCTGCTCCTCTCACGGCCTCTGAGATCAGGAACGCGTTGGGGCGCGGGCCAGGGGGTTGGATGGGCAGACCAGCATCAGCCAGAGCCGTTGGGTGAAACTGGATGAACCTGATGAGAGGAGGTGGGTGGGAGGAGGGAAGGGGGGTGGCAGGAGGGGGGACAAGGAAAAGAGGGGCGCTTGAGCTGGTCGTCGATGGACCGGGCGACCACGTCCCTGGGGGCGAGCTCTGCTCTTGAGTCGTAGTGAAGCATGAAGCGCTCGCCTGCTTGGTTGTACAGCAGCCCGCCTGCTCCTCGTACAGCTTCAGAAATGAGGAATGCGTTGGGGCGGGGTCCCAGTGGCTGGATGGGCAGACCCGCGTCTGCCAGAGCCGTTGGATGGAACTGGATGAACCTGGGGGGTGGGAGAGGGGAGTGAGGGCATGAAAGAGAGAATGGTTAGAAGTGAGAAAGGATGTTGGAGACGCTACTGGGCAGTGCATGGGTAAAGAATGACTGGGAGGGGTGAAACTGGTGAAAACGTGGGGGTAAGTAGGGGAATAGGAGAGGGGGTAACCCGCGTTGGGAGGGGGGGGGCCGTAGAGAGATGGAAAAAATTTATGGACTGTTTCCCATTTTGGAAATGACAAATGGAGTGTGGGGGGAAGAAGGAAAGGGAAGGAGAAAGAAGAGGAGGGGAAGGGCAAGGGGAAGGGGAAGATGAAGGAAAAGAGGACAGGAAAGACGAGGGAAGGGGGAGGGAAGGAAATGGGGAAGGAGAGTGGGAACGGGAAGTGGAAAGGGAAGTGAAGGGGGCAGGAGAAGGGAAATGGGTAATTGGGCAAAGCGGAAAGGAGAAGGGGTGGAAGAGAGGGTTCTTACTCCATATTAGAGATGACAGCGCCTGCACGGAGCGCCAGAGCCACACCGTCCCCAGTTGCCACCTGCACACACGAGCGTAGGCGAGGCAAAAACTTCGGACAATGAGACAGTGAAACGAGCGCCTGCCCCGTACACATATGGGTGTATTTTAGCCTTCTGAAAAACACACCGTGGGGTTGGTGGTGTTGGGGTATACGTGGCCTGCCCCGCCTGTAGCGAGCAGCGTGGATCCCGCTATAAAGCGGATGATCTGCCCCGTCTCTGTATCAAGCGCCTCTACTCCATAACACGTGCTCTGCCCGCCGTCCTCCTGCAGTGGTGAACGGAGGGGAAGGTTACGGAGAGTGGGGAGTGGGGGAGGGGAGTGTGTGTGGGGGAGGAAGGAAGGCACAAGATCAAAAGGGGACGGATTGATGCTTCAACTTCCTCACAAACACATACTTTGCCGCTGGTCCTGCTGCTGCCGCTGCCTCTGCCGCTGCCTCTGCCGCTGCCCCTGCCGCTGCCCCTGCCGCTGCCCCTGCCGCTGCCCCTGCCGCTGCCCCTGCCTCGGCCACAGTCCTACATTGACCCTATCCCTAGTTACAAAGGGCATCTCTGCTCCTCTGTGTGCCCCACTCCAATATCCCCCTCCCATCTCCCTCACTTTCCTCGCCTCCGCTCCTCCTCCCTCCTCTCCATTCCTCTCTACGCCTCTCTATTCCTCTCTCACCTGTCGCGTCAGCAGGTCGATCGCCATGTGGTGTTCAAACATATCGATCCGCTTCGTCTTCTGCGCCGCCGTCAACAGCGCGCGCTGGATCTCCCGCCCGGTCACGTCCGCCGCGTGCACGATCCGCGAGTGCGAGTGGCCCCCCTCGCGCGCAAGCAGCAGCCGCCCGTCGTCCCCGCGGTCGAAACTTGCGCCCATGCGCATCAGCTCGCGCACGCGCTCCGGCCCCTCGCGACAAACCACCTCCACGACCTCCACGTCGTTTAAATACGCGCCCGCCACGATCGTATCCGAGATATGATTCTCGATCGAATCTAGCGGATCCAGGACCGCGCTCACGCCGCCCTGCGCGTAGTTCGTGCTGCCCTCCTGCGGCTCGGCTTTGGTCACCACCGCTACAGTGCCCTTCGCCGCGACGCCTAGCGCGAACCGGAGGCCGGCAATGCCGCTCCCGATAACCACGTAGTCGTATAGCTTAGTCTCCGGTGGGGGGACTTCCGCCGCTCCCGCGCCTGCTTGCGCTTCCGCGCGCACACGCGTGCGACCCGCCAGTGATTCCGCTGAGAAGGATGGGCGCGCGGAAGCGGCGCGCGGGGCGCTGAGGGCGTCAGCGCAAGGAGCCAGCCAGAGGCGCTTGGCTTGCAGTGGGACTGGGAGTGCTGACGTGGCAACGGCTGCAGTACCGGGAGTGGCGCAGCTTGGCTGCAGGAGAAAGGGGAAGGGAAGGGGGGAATGGGGGAAGGGGGAATGGGGGAAGGGGGAATGGGGAAGGGAGAAGAAGGGGATGCAGGGAAGGGAGAGGACACAGGGGGAAGGTTGGGAAGTGGGGGAGGAAAACGAAGTAGGTGAGAAATTCATCAGCTTTATTCCAGCTTCAGACCATCACGTGACACTGACAGCTCTAGGGTTATACGCACGTGGCGTTCTCTGATATAGCTCCCGAACTCATGATGAGTAAGTGAATACTTTGCCAAAGGGATTCCAAAAAGGAAGTCCATTTTGAGCAATAATGTTAATAACGGTTGTCTTTTCTCAAACGCCAGCGATTAGCACGTACCCGAAAAGCATCGTCACTGCGACGAGTGATCCGCCATTGCTGGGACCTCCTTCCATGCCTGGACCGGCGATCCTGCACTGCTGCCTGTAAAAACAAACCAGATACACAAAGTTAGTGTCAAAACAGTTTATTGGACCACGTTAGTGCCAGAAACCCACTCAAATGAAACGGAGTGGAAGTTACAGTAACAGAAGCTCTTCACCGACCTAATTATGCTTGCACATTTCTTAACGTTGATTACTAGTTTTAGGCTGATACAGCTAAAAAGGAGACTTGCGACCTTCCATACTCAGTTAATGCTGGTCACTAACAAAAAACCTCGACGCAGTGCTATCGAGAACGCATGTCAGGCAGAAATACCCGCGGATCCAATCCGAGCAAGCCACATTGACTAGCAAGCTAGGCGTACTACATGAATACCCCTTTTTGCTCGAATCAATCCCTATGCGAGCTCTGGACGGCCTGTCGAAGAAGCACGCACCTGGTGCAAGGAGCACACAGACGGACCAGTTGCTGCGAGAGCCTCCATGGTTCTCACGTCTCGCGGCTACAAACTAGTTCAGTGAAAGCCGTCTACACCTCGCTCACAGCGAAGCCAGTATGCAGCAGTAGCCGAGAATGCAGAACAAGCTAATTTTCGACCGCTGGTCAGGACAGATCAACGTAAGGCAGAAGGTGAAGGAGAAGAAACCAGAAAAGAACTGTTATTCAAGCCAGAGAGCAGAAATACCCAAGGTCTTCTGAACCTGTCCCCGAAGAACGATGGAATGAAGGCAAGAGCGTGAAGCGGATTGGTCGATGGGGAGATATTGGTCAGCCAGCCGCAGTCCAATGAGCAGCACGCAAGCTCAGCCAGTTGGGCCACACCAGCAGGAGCAACGACTTTTGCTTTTCTAAGCGCGACGTTTACCGAAGAGGAAGGGTGTGTCCTTGACTCAAACGTTTGAAAGCCTGATGTGTGGGTTTTAGCAAAGCGATGTTTCGGCACTGGGTTGCGGTATGAGGTGACGTGTGGTGGTCATCAAGCGTTCCTGGCGGGGATTCGTCCGCTTCGAGGGAGGGTTGTTGATGCAACCATTTTCGATGGATGACGTGGCGCATGATAAATGGGTGACGAACCAGAAGCTTCGGAAAGTGGATTTGATGGCGGCGGCTTGTCGAAGCTCGTCCATCCGTCAGATCGTGGAAGAAGTGGGCACAAGGCCGAGAGCCATGCTCGAGGGCACGAATGCAGGGCAGGCCAGAAGTAGAAATTCACTCTGCCCTGGGCAGGTTTTCGTGGCGGTTGATCAATCAGCTCCCTGAATGGCCCGAGATCGGGCACCTGAATTCCATCTGCCTTGTGCGCTGGCAGCTCCTGGTTCTTCGGAAAGTGTAGATGCGCCACTGCCAGTCAGAGATGCAACGGCCCACGAAACACCACCACCTGCATTTCCCGCCACGGTTCGCATCTGAAATGGATGAAACACAGCTGTATCTGTATCAACGTTGAATATTCAGAATAAATGCGACGTATAACGCGTACGCCCGTTGTGACGAGAAAACGAGGGGCTCGGTATACCACCAGTCCCTACTAGGTCTCAGTTACGACTTACACTGTAAGTGGTTTGCCATGTAATAGTAACAAATAACAAACCATCAAGTACAAGGCTTTATTCTTGATGGTTGTTTCCATTCTTCGCATTATGTAACGTGTAAAGCATACACCATCTACACACACCGTGCACAATCATGCAGAACTTGCTCCGTCACCTCTTCTAGACTTACCCTCGTCCTCCCTTACCCTTACCCTTCCCTTTCGCCCCACCCTTCATCCTCTTGTTCCCCCCTTCGCCACCATCCAAATTCCCATCTTCACCACCACCCCTCTTCTTCCCTCCTCCCTTTGTCTTCACACTCAACACACCGCTTCCCGGAAGTTTCCCCCCTCCTGCAGCAATCGCAGCCTCAAAGTCTGCATCTCGGCCGTCGATCGCAAACTCCTGCATCTGCCCAGGTGTCAGTGACGTCAGCAGGGTGGTGGTGCCAGGCTCTGCTGCCCCCTCCAGCCGGGATTTAATCACCTTCTGTTACAGGAACGACATGCATAGGAACACATGAGTATGATGAGAATTCCACAGCCTTCCACACTGTAGCTAAGGATTTCAAATGCTTCTAGTATCGCAAACGGTTTTTTTCCTTCATTTGGTGATTGCGTTTTCAATTCTGAAAATATTAAAATGTTTATCCTGACCAACTCACCTTGGCTTGATCTGCTGCCTCTGCCAGATCTTCATCAACTGACTGGGGGTGGGGCCGCAGGTCCACCTGGTGGGGAGGGAAGACGAGGGGGAGATGTGGCACCAGCAGCAGCAGGACACACTGAAGAAGCAGAGGAGCAGTAGAGGAGGGCAGAGCATACGGGTATGGAGAACACATATGCCTCTTTCATCCTGGGCAGAGCAGTTTCTATGGTAAAGGCAGCAGCGGCAGGAGCAGCAGCAGCAGTACTAGAAGCAGCACGTAGCACAAAGCACATCATACAGCAACACACGTACCTCTTTGATCCTGGGAAGGGCAGCCTCTATAATGCGAGCAGCAGCGGCGTACAGCACACTGTGGATCTTCCGAATGGCCTTGTTGAAGAGAGCAAGAACTTGAGAGTGAGGGGCATCAGAGTACAACATACCTCTTTGATCCTGGGAAGGGCAGCCTCTATGGTGCGAGCAGCAGCGGCGTAGAGAACACCGTGGATCTTCCGAATGGCCTTGTTGAAGAGAGCAAGAACTTGCGTCCCGGGCAGCCGAAGGTTCGCCTGTTGGGGATTCGGGCAGAGGAAAGTGGAAGCGAGTGCGAGAAGAATGAAAGCCCGGCTTTCCTTAGCAAGACACACACACACACACACACACACACAACACACACACACACACACACACACACACACACACACACACACACACACACACACACACACACACACACACACACACACACACACACACACACACACACACACACACACACACACACACACACACACACACACACACACACACACACACACACACACACACACACACACACACACACACACACACACACACACACACACACACACACACACACACACACAGCGCTATAGTGACACAAGGCACTACTGCCGTACCTCAATGGTGGAGAGCTCGTGGTGTTGTAGACCGAAGGAGAGCAGAATGACATACGCTTCAGGTGTGCTACAGCCAGCGTGCTACAGCTAATGTACGATATGGTCACACAAGGCGCTACTGCCGTACCTCAATGGTGGAGAGCTCGTGGTGCTGCAGACAGAAGGAGAGCAGAATGACATTCATCTATGCTACAGCCACACGCTACAGGCACATGCTACAGCCACAGAAAGCGCTACAACTGTACCTCAATGGTGGAGAGCTCGTGGTGCTGCAGACCAAAGGAGAGCAGAATGGCCGCTTGGGCGTAGGAGAGAGAAGAGTGGGGGAAAAGGGGGATGTGCCAGTGCGCTACAACCACACCACATGCATGCTACAGCCGTATCTCTATAGTGGAGAGCTCATGGTGCTGCAGACCGAAGGAGAGCAGAATGGCCGCTTGGGCGTAGGAGAGCGAGGCTGGGATGAGACCCAGGAAGTAGAGACGGGCGAGTGGGGGGATGTGCAAGCGTGCTACAGCTAAAGAACTCGCTACTGGCACACAATGCGCTACTGCCGTACCTCGATGGTGGAGAGCTCGTGGTGCTGCAGACCAAAGGAGAGCAGAATGGCAGCTTGGGCGTAGGAGAGAGAAGCAGGAATGAGACCGAGGAAGTAGAGTCGGGCGAGAGGGGGAATGAGGTCCATGATCTGTTTGGAGGGAAAAGAATCCAGGGGGTGGTGAGAGGAGGGGGGGGAGGTGGGGGTTGGAAGTGTGGGAGGAGTGGTTACGAAGGAAGTAAAACATGAGGTCCACATGGGGATGTGTGTGTGTGTGTGTGTGTGTGCCTTTTTTTTTTTTTTTTTTGTCAGTACCAGGTGATAGTCGACCAGGTTGTTGGTGTATGACTCGAGTCACTTCATATCGTACAGCAGCGCATCGATTATAGCCCAGGGTGTTAGTCGAGTGACAGAAAAGCATGAGTGCTGCTGATCAATCAACAGACTGGGTGTGACAGCACAGCATCATTACCAGGTGGTAGTCAACCAGGTTGCTGGCGTATGACTCGAGTCGCTTCATATCATATGAAGACAGCAGTGCCGCTTTCCCTTCCATCAGCCCTGCCGGCACGGTAGCCTCCCGTGCCTCTGTCTCTGGGAACTCAATCTGTGGGTCCAGAATGCTGGTGAATGGGGGTTGGTGGTGGGAGAGGGGAAGGGGAGGGAGGGGTAGCATGTGAAAACATCCAGTTCTGAGACAGCTCAAGGCACAAATTTTCTTCCCTTCCATCAGCCCTGCCGGCACGGCTGCCTCCCGTGCCTCTGTCTCTGGGAACTCAATCTGCGGGTCCAGAATGCTGGGGAACGGGTGAAGGTGGTGAGGGAGCAGAGAGGAACAGAAGGGTAGGAGGCGAGAAAATTTAGTTCTGAAATACAAGCTCGCCTTCCCTTTCCTTTCCTTCCATCAGCCCTGCCGGCACCGTTGCCTCCCGTGCCTCTGTCTCTGGGAACTCAATCTGCGGGTCCAGAATGCTGGGGAACAGAGAGCATGCAAAGAGAGCATGCAGGGAGAGCATGAAGAGAACTCAGCAGCTAGGCAGAGAGGAGGTGGGGTGGGGGAGAAAGCGGATCAGGCCGCACTGCGCTTGAGGCAGAGAGCCCTTAAAAAATCGCAAACGATAGGGATGGGAGAACAAAAAGAGCGCGCAGTGTACCTGAGGCAAAGGGCAGGCGGCAAGGGCCGGAAGGAGACGAGGTACTGTTGAAGAGGCAAGGGAGAGAGGCATACACGATGGGCTGGAGAGAGAAAAAGAAACTGCGCACATACCTGAGGCAGAGGGCAGGCGGCAAGGGCCGGAAGGAGAAACCGAGGAGCGAGAGGAATCGACGGTGGAAGTCTGGTGGGGGATGGGGGTGCGGGGGAGGGATGGAGGAAGAGGAGGAGAGAGGCGACGAGTGGAACAAACAGGGCGCAAAAACGTCTCCAGGAAAAGACTTCCATGAATCACTCACTCACTCTCTTACTCACTCACTCACTTACTTACTCACTCGTTCACTCAATGACTCATTCACTCAATTACTCACTCACTTGATGACTTACTGACCCACCCAATCACACTCACTCACTCACTCACTCACTCGCTCACTCACTCACTCATTCATCCCACAACACACCAACCTTGTGAGAATGAGTCGAGCCACGAGTGCTTGGCGTCTGCCACGGTTGCTTACGCCCCTCACCCACCCACCCACTCAAACGCACTCACGCACACGCCCCGAGCGACCACACATACACCGACCTTGTGAGAAGGAGTCGAGCCACGAGTGCTTGGTGTCTGCTGGGCCCAAGTCGTCTTTCCGCAGGGGCTTCAGCATGATGCATGCACGAGTGCTCGTCCCCACAACCAGCCAAACCTCACCCCCACAACACACCGACCTTGTGAGAAGGAGTCGAGCCACGAGTGCTTGGTGTCTGCTGCGACTAAGTCCTCGTTCCGCAGGGGCTTGAGCATGATGCACGTGTGCTCACCTGTGATATCGCTCTGGTGTGTTGTGAGAAGGGGGAAAAGGGGAGGTTGGAGGTAGGGGGAAACGGGAGAACGCGGGGGCTAGAATGCACAGGAAGGGCTTGAGCATGATGCACGTGTGCTCGCCTGTGATGTCGCTCTGTTGTGGTGAGAGCGAGAGGGGAAGGGAGCATGGCGGAAAAGGGGAGGGTGGGTGGGATGCACGGGAGAATAAGGTGCGGTGACGCACGCATCGTCATTCCGGAGGGGCTTGAGCATGATGCACGTGTGCTCGCCTGTGATGTCGCTCTGTAGTGGTGTGAGAAGGGGGGGAGGGGGCGAAGGATGTGAAGGGAGGAGGCAGAGGGGTTAGACACTGAGTGATCAATTTAGAGGGGCTTCAGAATGATACACGTGTGCTCTCATGTGATGTCGCTCTGATATAAGTAGGGTGGAGGGGGGAAGGGTGAGACAGGGAGGCCGGTTGAGTCATGTGCGGTGGCGTGTGGTACTGTGCGGTCCTGCCTGCTGTTTTCTCACTGGGGTCTGTCTGACGTAGAGGGGAACAAACTGCTGCCTGCGCCAGAAGTTGAAGAGCTGCTGCCCCAGCCCAAACGACACTCCCACGTACTGCAGCTGCTGTGCTATGTGTGGTGCTGTGCAATTCGGTGAAGTGAGATGCAGTGCAATACGGAGCTGTGTGGCTCACCGGTGTCTGCCGAACATAAAGGGGAACAAACTGTTGCCTCCGCCAGAAATTAAACAGCTGTTGCCCCAGCCCAAACGACACTCCCACATAGTGAAGCTGCTCCTGCCGCCTCTCCCCCACAGGCTGTAGCAGCGGCGGCAGGCCCGACCGCGGCGCTAGCTGCTCCTCTAGCAGTGATGCCTGGAAGAGAAGGAGGGTGGACAGGAAAGGAGTAGAGAGATGGAGCTACTCCAGTCAAAACTCTCCCCCACCGGCTGTAGCAGCGGCGGCAGGCCCGACCGCGGCGCTAGCTGTTTGATGCCTGGTGGGGAGAGGGGTGGACAGGAAAGAAGTAGGGAGACGGGGTTACTCCAGTCAACTCTCTCCCCCACTGGCTGTAGCAGTGGCGGCAGGCCCGACCGCGGCGCTAGCTGCTCCTCTAGCAGTGATGCCTGGAAGAGAAGGAGGGTGGACAGGAAAGGAGTAGAGAGATGGAGCTACTCCAGTCAAAACTCTCCCCCACCGGCTGTAGCAGCGGCGGCAGGCCCGACCGCGGCGCTAGCTGTTTGATGCCTGGTGGGGAGAGGGGTGGACAGGAAAGAAGTAGGGAGACGGGGTTACTCCAGTCAACTCTCTCCCCCACTGGCTGTAGCAGTGGCGGCAGGCCCGACCGCGGCGCTAGCTGCTCCTCTAGCAGTGATGCCTGGAAGAGAAGGAGGGTGGACAGGAAAGGAGTAGAGAGATGGAGCTACTCCAGTCAAAACTCTCCCCCACCGGCTGTAGCAGCGGCGGCAGGCCCGACCGCGGCGCTAGCTGTTTGATGCCTGGTGGGGAGAGGGGTGGACAGGAAAGAAGTAGGGAGACGGGGTTACTCCAGTCAACTCTCTCCCCCACTGGCTGTAGCAGTGGCGGCAGGCCCGACCGCGGCGCTAGCTGCTCCTCTAGCAGTGATGCCTGGAAGAGAAGGAGGGTGGACAGGAAAGGAGTAGAGAGATGGAGCTACTCCAGTCAAAACTCTCCCCCACCGGCTGTAGCAGCGGCGGCAGGCCCGACCGCGGCGCTAGCTGTTTGATGCCTGGTGGGGAGAGGGGTGGACAGGAAAGAAGTAGGGAGACGGGGTTACTCCAGTCAACTCTCTCCCCCACTGGCTGTAGCAGTGGCGGCAGGCCCGACCGCGGCGCTAGCTGCTCCTCTAGCAGTGATGCCTGGAAGAGAAGGAGGGTGGACAGGAAAGGAGTAGAGAGATGGAGCTACTCCAGTCAAAACTCTCCCCCACCGGCTGTAGCAGCGGCGGCAGGCCCGACCGCGGCGCTAGCTGTTTGATGCCTGGTGGGGAGAGGGGTGGACAGGAAAGAAGTAGGGAGACGGGGTTACTCCAGTCAACTCTCTCCCCCACTGGCTGTAGCAGTGGCGGCAGGCCCGACCGCGGCGCTAGCTGCTCCTCTAGCAGTGATGCCTGGGGGGGGTGTCGAAGAGAATAACAAGGGGAAGGAGAGGAGGGACGGGTATCGACAAGGGGAATAGCAGCGTAGCACTCAAGCAAAGCAAACAAAGCAATCAAAGCAATCAAAGCAATCAAATCAAACAAAGCAATCAAAGCAATCAAAGGAGAGCGTCTTTCTGACAAACCATATGACACGACTCCAAGCACACAGATTGTCGTGTCATAACAAATGGCTCATTCCTGCACCATTTCGTGCCAAGATGCACTTCCCTGCACCATATCGAAGGTCTCTAAATCAAGCAATTAAATTGAAGGAATCGACAACGATAACCAGACCAGCCCATACCACTTTAAGTGCACTGCACCATACCGATCCATTCTCCCGAGCCTCTTGAGCAGCCTTGGAGCGCCCGTGACCCCCCTCCTCTTCGTCCTCACTCTCCTCCTCCTCGCTGTCCTCCCCCATGCTTGTCAACTGACCCTCGTAGTATCTGTGAGCATCGAAACATGGGAGACAAACAGAGACAAACATGAGAATTCCCAAAAATCGATAACTGTTGCACAGCTAGACTCACGGGATCCGTAGGCTGCGTGCATGACGTCGGGATGAACGGCGATCAGAACCACCCGAGCGCCAGATAGTGAAGGAAACTCAGAGTCTTGGAATTGCTGGGAGAGCGTCCAGGGCAGAAAGTCAACGGCTCAGAATGCAGCATGGATCCGTACCTGGAGAGCAGATCAACGGCTCTGGATCCGTATCCCGCGTGCATGAGATCAGGATGAACGGCGATCCGGACCACCCGAGCACCAGAGAGTGAAGGAAACTCGGAGTCTTGGAACTGCTGGGAGAGCGTCCAGGGGAGCAGGTCGCCTGTGGGCTGATGTCCCTGCGAGAGGCCTTTCAGTGCTGACGCTTTTGAAATCTCTCCTTCCAAACACACCTGATGCATGGGAGAAGCGGAGACAGCGGAAAGGGGGGTGGTAGGAGAGGAATTCCGAGTCTTGGAACTGCTGGGAGAGCGTCCAGGGCAGCAGATCGCCCGTGGGCTGATGACCTTGAGACAGTCCCTTCAATGCCGATGCTTTTGATATTTCTCCCTCCGAGCATACCTGGTGCATGAGGGGAGCGGAGACGGGGAAAAACGGGAGAGAGGGAGGGGAAGTGGGAGTCTTGGAACTGCTGGGAGAGCGTCCAGGGGAGCAGATAGCCCGTCGGCTGATGTCCCTGCGAGAGGACCTTGAGTGCTGACGCTTTTGAAATCTCTCCTTCCAGACACACCTGATGCAGGGAGGGAGGAAGAGAATGGACAGGGAAGGGAACTCGGAGTCCTGGAACTGCTGGGAGAGCGTCCAAGGCAGCAGATCTCCCGTCGGCTGATGACCTTGAGAGAGGCCTTTGAGTGCTGATGCTTTTGATATTTCTCCTTCCAGACACAGCTGATGCAGAGAGGAGAGTTGTGAGCAGTGGGAAGAGAGATGAGAAGAGAGTGGAGAGGGAGGGGAAGTGGGAGTGTTGGAACTGCTGGGAGAGCGTCCAGGGCAGCAGATCACCCGTGGGCTGATGACCTTGAGAGAGGCCTTTGAGTGCTGATTCTTTTGATATCTCTCCCTCCAGACACACCTGGTGCAGAGAGGAGAGTCGTGAGCAGTGGGGAGAGAGGAGAGAAGAGAGAGGAGAGGGAGGGGAAGTGGGAGTCTTGAGAGAGTCCACGGCAGCAGGTCGCCTGTTGGCTGATGTCCCTGCGAGAGGCCTTTGAGTGCTGACGCTTTTGAAATCTCTACTTCCAAACACACCTAGTGAGAGGGGCAAGTGGAGCAGATAGAATGAAGAAAGAATGAAGGGAACTCAGAGTCCTGGAACTGCTGGGAGAGCGTCCAGGGCAGCAGATTGCCCGTGGGCTGATGTCCCCGTGAGAGGCCTTTGAGTGCTGATGCTTTTGATATTTCGCCTTCCAAACACACCTGGTGCCGAGAGGATAGTAGTGAGCAGCGGGTAGAGAGAAGAGAAGACAGAGGAGAGGGAAGTAAACTCAGAGTCCTGGAACTGCTGGGAGAGCGCCCAGGGGAGCAGGTCGCCCATGGGCTGATGACCTTGAGAAAGCCCCTTCAGTGCTGACGCTTTTGATATCTCCCCCTCTAGACACACCTGGTGCAGTTAAACGGGTGTGAGGAGAGGGAGGAGTGGAGAGAGGAAAGAGGAGTGAAGGGATGAGAGAGGAGTGAAGGGATGAGAGAGGAGTGAAGGGATGAGAGAGGAGTGAAGGGATGAGAGAGGAGTGAAGGGATGAGAGAGGAGTGAAGGGATGAGAGAGGAGTGAAGGGATGAGAGAGGAGTGAAGGGATGAGAGAGGAGTGAAGGGATGAGAGAGGAGTGAAGGGATGAGAGAGGAGTGAAGGGATGAGAGAGGAGTGAAGGGATGAGAGAGGAGTGAAGGGATGAGAGAGGAGTGAAGGGATGAGAGAGGAGTGAAGGGATGAGAGAGGAGTGAAGGGATGAGAGAGGAGTGAAGGGATGAGAGAGGAGTGAAGGGATGAGAGAGGAGTGAAGGGATGAGAGAGGAGTGAAGGGATGAGAGAGGAGTGAAGGGATGAGAGAGGAGTGAAGGGATGAGAGAGGAGTGAAGGGATGAGAGAGGAGTGAAGGGATGAGAGAGGAGTGAAGGGATGAGAGAGGAGTGAAGGGATGAGAGAGGAGTGAAGGGATGAGAGAGGAGTGAAGGGATGAGAGAGGAGTGAAGGGATGAGAGAGGAGTGAAGGGATGAGAGAGGAGTGAAGGGATGAGAGAGGAGTGAAGGGATGAGAGAGGAGTGAAGGGATGAGAGAGGAGTGAAGGGATGAGAGAGGAGTGAAGGGATGAGAGAGGAGTGAAGGGATGAGAGAGGAGTGAAGGGATGAGAGAGGAGTGAAGGGATGAGAGAGGAGTGAAGGGATGAGAGAGGAGTGAAGGGATGAGAGAGGAGTGAAGGGATGAGAGAGGAGTGAAGGGATGAGAGAGGAGTGAAGGGATGAGAGAGGAGTGAAGGGATGAGAGAGGAGTGAAGGGATGAGAGAGGAGTGAAGGGATGAGAGAGGAGTGAAGGGATGAGAGAGGAGTGAAGGGATGAGAGAGGAGTGAAGGGATGAGAGAGGAGTGAAGGGATGAGAGAGGAGTGAAGGGATGAGAGAGGAGTGAAGGGATGAGAGAGGAGTGAAGGGATGAGAGAGGAGTGAAGGGATGAGAGAGGAGTGAAGGGATGAGAGAGGAGTGAAGGGATGAGAGAGGAGTGAAGGGATGAGAGAGGAGTGAAGGGATGAGAGAGGAGTGAAGGGATGAGAGAGGAGTGAAGGGATGAGAGAGGAGTGAAGGGATGAGAGAGGAGTGAAGGGATGAGAGAGGAGTGAAGGGATGAGAGAGGAGTGAAGGGATGAGAGAGGAGTGAAGGGATGAGAGAGGAGTGAAGGCTGCGAGTGTTGGAAAAGCATCTCCTTAGAAGAGCATTGCTCAATGTTCTAAGTGCGTTCCAAGCTGACTTGAGGGGATTTTTGAGGCGCCTCAAAAGTCGGCTCAATGTTCTAAGTACGTTCCAAGCTGACTTGAGGGGATTTTTGAGGCGCCTCAAAAGTCGGCTCAATGTTCTAAGTACGTTCCAAGCTGACTTGAGGGGATTTTTGAGGCGCCTCAAAAGTCGGCTCAATGTTCTAAGTACGTTCCAAGCTGACTTGAGGGGATTTTTGAGGCGCCTCAAAAGTCGGCTCAATGTTCTAAGTACGTTCCAAGCTGACTTGAGGGGATTTTTGAGGCGCCTCAAAAGTCGTCTCAATGTTCTAAGTGCGTTCCAAGCTGACATGAGGGGATTTTTGAGGCGCCTCAAAAGTCGTCTCAATGTTCTAAGTGCGTTCCAAGCTGACTTGAGGGGATTTTTGAGGCGCCTCAAAAGTCGTCTCAATGTTCTAAGTGCGTTCCAAGCTGACTTGAGGGGATTTTTGAGGCGCCTCAAAAGTCGTCTCAATGTTCTAAGTGCGTTCCAAGCTGACTTGAGGGGATTTTTGAGGCGCCTCAAAAGTCGTCTCAATGTTCTAAGTGTGTTCCAAGCTGACTTGAGGGGATTTTTGAGGCGCCTCAAAAGTCGTCTCAATGTTCTAAGTGCGTTCCAAGCTGACTTGAGGGGATTTTTGAGGCGCCTCAAAAGTCGTCTCAATGTTCTAAGTACGTTCCAAGCTGACTTGAGGGGATTTTTGAGGCGCCTCAAAAGTCGGCTCAATGTTCTAAGTGCGTTCCAAGCTGACTTGAGGGGATTTTTGAGGCGCCTCAAAAGTCGTCTCAATGTTCTAAGTGCGTTCCAAGCTGACTTGAGGGGATTTCATACTACTTTTCTGAGTCACTGGCAACGCTCACCTGCAGCACACACAGCACGTCCCTCCCCCCTTCCTACCTGCAGCACACACAGCACGTCAGGGAGCGAAGTCTGTGACTCGTCCACTGGACCTGCATGGGTGGACGGGTGGACAGGCGGAAGGGGGGAAGGGTGGACGGGCACACGGGCAGAAAGGGGTGACTTTTGAGTTGACTCAGAAGTCACCTCTCCTGCAGCACACACAGCACATCGGGTAGCGATGTCTGCGACTCGTCCACTGGACCTGCATAGATGAACGGGTGCATGGGCAGACGGGTGGAAGGGGGAAGGCCAGAGGGAAAGGAAGACAGAAAAAGGCTGGTGAACGCAAGGCCAGGGAGAGAAAGCGCTGGGGGGGAGAGAGAGGGAATCGCTTTTGAGAATTCTCAAAAGGCTGGTGAGTGGAAGGCCAGGGAGAGAAAGCGCTGAGGAAGAGAGAGTAGGAGGAAGAGACAAGGGAGGGCGACTGGCGCATTCAGAGGTTCTCATATGGTTCGAATAGCGGTATCACTCACTTTTTGTGTGTGCACTGTAATGTGTATGCAATGTACCCAGGAGGACGAAGAGGTGGTGTGCCGGTGCGTCTGACATGAGCTGTAGGTCATACGCTGTAGTCAAATCACATGTATGTATCTGTTGCTGGCAGTGACACATGTGCTGTGCCCAACGTACCGAGGAGCACAAAGAGGTGGTGTGCCGGTGCATCGGACATGAGCTGGAGGTCGTTCGGGGTGTTCTTATAGTGAGAGGACACGTATAGTGCCATCATTCTCTGTCAGCCGGCAGAAAGGAAGAGCAAAGGGAGAGAGGGGGGAGGGGGCGCGAGGCAGCGGGTGGAAGAGGAAAAGAAGGTAAGCTTTTGAAATCCAAGCAGATCATCGTGAGAACGAAGAAGGTTAGCCGGGTCATCACAGGACCATCAGACCTCAAGAATTTTATTTTCAAAGCTGGTTTTTGAGAATTCTCGGAAACTAAGAAGGTCAGGCGGGTTACCACAGGACCACCAACCACACCTCAGGGATTTCATTTTCAAAGCTGGAAACGAGAAATTTTAGCTAGAAGCCTGACTAACTGGAAAAGGTGGTGAACTGTTGAGAAGGCTAGAGGAACCGCGGAACCGCATTGCACCTGGAGGAAGAGCTCTGAGGCGGAGTGGAAGGAGAAGAGCGTGTCTCGGTTGACGTAAAACAGCTCACACTCGTCTGGGTGCGGCATGCTGGGGGAGCAGGGCACAAGAGTGGGAAAGCGGTGAGGAGGAAAGCAGGGGAGCAGCAGGGAAGGGAGTGGAAGGAGAAGAGTGTGTTGCGGATGACGTAGAATAGCTCACACTCGTCTGGGTGCGGCATGCTAGGGAGGGAGAACAGGGTACAACGGTGGGGAAGAGGTGGGGAGAGGAGCAGCGGAGCAGCAGGGAAGGGAGTGGAAGGAGAAGAGCGTGTCTCGGTTGACGTAGAATAGCTCACACTCGTCTGGGTGCGGCATGCTAGGGAGGGAGAACAGGGTGCATGTGGGTGGGCGGGAGGGGAGAGTTCGCACACAGGGAAAAAAACATGGGGGGTGGGGTGGGGAAGGAGGCAGCAGGGAGTGGAAAGGAAAGAGAAGAGCATGTCTCGGTTAAGTAACAGAGCTCTCACTAATGTCTGTGAGGCATGCTGGGAGTGTGGGGTGAGTGGGGAGGAAAGGGAGAGGGAATGTGGGGATGGGTGGGGAGAGGCAGCAGAGAGTGAAAGTAGAAAGATTGTTGCATATGGAAGAGCTTGAATATGTAGGGTAGGTGTGAGGCATGCTGGGGGAGGGGGTGAGGGAAAGAGAACGCACGTGTGGCAGATTTTGAGACTAGTTCTTACCTAGCCTGTGCTTCCCGAACCTGTGACTTACCGAGCCTGCAGCTTGGGCACATGTGAAGTAGCGTCGAGGCACAGCAGGTGGTTGAGCCATTTCTCCACAGGATCCCCCTCCGCATACCGGATTGGCTCCTGCAGTTCCACCTCCCTCAACACTCGCACTGACACTCCTCCTCCACTCCCACTGCCACCATCGGCGCCAGCAGCACCACCACCAGCAGCGCCGCTTGCTCCAGCAGCGGCGGCTCCTTTGGATTGCTCTCTGAGCTGCTGAATGAGCTTCAGGGAGAGGGACCGCCCCGTGCCCTCGTAGCTGTAGGGTTTGGGGGGAGGGGGGGGAGGTGGGGGAGGAGAGAGGGGATGGCGGCAGCGGCAGCTCCTTTGGATTGCTCTCTGAGCTGCTGGATGAGCTTCAGGGAGAGGGACCGCCAAGTGCCCTCGTAGCTGTAGGGAAGAGGGGGAAGGAGGGGTGTGGGAGGACGGGGGGTGTGAACCAAAAGGTTGAGCACGGTTTCTTGAGTGACCCGCACTGGCAGCAGCGGCAGCTCCTTTGGATTGCTCCCTGAGTTGCTGGATGAGCTTCAGGGAGAGTGACCGCCCCGTGCCCTCGTAGCTGTAAGGGAGGAGGGGGAAAGGCAAGAGGAGAGCGGGTGAACTAGGTAGCAGCACCACCAGCAGCACCAGCAGCAGCACCAGCAGCAGCGCCAGCAGCGGCAGCCCCTTTGGATTGCTCCCTGAGTTGCTGGATGAGCTTCAGGGAGAGTGACCGCCCCGTGCCCTCGTAGCTGTAAGGGAGGAGGGGGAAAGGCAAGAGGAGAGCGGGTGAACTAGGTTGCAGCACCACCAGCAGCAGCACCAGCAGCAGCGCCAGCAGCGGCAGCCCCTTTGGATTGCTCCCTGAGTTGCTGGATGAGCTTCAGCCCCTCCGCATACCGAATTGGTTCCTGTAGCTCCACCTCCCTCAGCACCCGCACCGACACCCCTCCTCCACCGCCGCTGCCACCACCACCACCATCAGCGGTTGCAGCAGCACCTGCAGTGCCGGCAGCGGCAGCGGCAGCTCCTTTGGATTGCTCCCTGAGTTGTTGAATGAGCTTGAGGGAGAGGGACCGCCCCGTGCCCTCGTAGCTGTAGGTGGAGAGGAGAGAAGGTGAGAGGAGAAGGGTTGATTGAGGCTGCAGGTCCCCCTTCGCATACCGGATCGGCTACTAAACTCCACTCCACCTTCCTCAGCACGCGAACAAACACCCCACCGCCACCACAGCCCACGAAGACCAGTTACGCCCCCAGCAGAGCCTTCACCACGGGCAGGGGGATGGCTGCTGCCTCGTATACCCCTTACAGGCTAACCCATTACCAGCACATGGCACATACCCGTTAACAGTGGAGCCCATGAAGACAAGGTACGGTCCCAGCAGCGCCTTGACCATGGGCAGCAGGATGGCTGCTGCCTCGTATACCCCTTACAGGCTAACCCATTACCAATACATGGCACATACCCGTTAACAGTAGAGCCCATAAACACCAGGGTCCCAGCAGTGCCTTGACTATGGGCAGCGGGATGGCTGCTGCATTGCCATCATACAGAGTAACCCGTTAACAGCACATACCAATGTAAGGCACATACCCATTAGCAGTAGAGCCCATGAACACCAAGTACGGTCCCAGCAGCGCCTTCACCATGGGCAGCGGGATGGCTGCTGCCTCGTCTATCACGAACAGTATATCCCCCCTACAAGGTAACCCACTACCAGCACATATGCAACGTACCCATTTACAGTCGAACCCATAAACACGAGGTAGGGGCCCAGCAGCGCCTTGACCATGGGCAGGGGGATGGCTGCTGCTTGCTGCGCACACCCTTCACAGAGAAGAGAGAAACGCGCTGTTAAGAGCACATACCCGTTAACAGTAGAGCCCATGAACACCAGGTATGGTCCCAGCAGCGCCTTAACCATGGGCAGCGGGATGGCTGCTGCCTCGTCTATCACGAGCAGCTCTGCCTGCTGCACTCGCTCCGCGTGCTGAGGCATCACGTACTGATGATGATACAAGAAGGAAAGCAGGGAGAGGCAGGGAGGGAAGATGTGAGCAGAGGGTGAAACAGAGCGCAGGGGATGGCTGCTGCCTCATCTATCACCAGCAGCTCTGCCTGCTGCACTCGCTCTGCGTGCTGAGGCATCACATACTGTATTAGAGGGGAAAGGAGGGAGGGAGAGGCAGGGAGGGACAATCCAGAGGGTGAGACAGAGCACAGGGGGATGGCTGCTGCCTCGTCTATCACGAGCAGCTCTGCCTGCTGCACTCGCTCTGCGTGCTGAGGCATCACATACTGAGAAAGAACGAGGGGAGGCAGGGATGCAGGAGTGAGGAACAGGGAAGAGGGGAATGAGCACAGGGGGGTGGCATTGCCTTGCCTCAACTATCACCAGCAGCTCTGCCTGCTGCACTCGCTCTGCGTGCTGTGGCATCACATACTGCGAGTGGGAGGGGGGGAGGAGGAGGGAAGAGGGCAAGAAGACGAGTCAGTCAACAGACAAGTCCTGCAAATGAGGGAGCGAAGCAGAGCATGTGAGAATCGCAAGTGTCTTGACAGTCAGTCGCCAGCACCTCTGCTTGCTGCACTGCACTGCACTGCACTGCACTGCACTGCACTGCACTGCACCGCACTGCATGTCCCCCCACCTGGATGCTACCCTACCCACCCTCCTCCCCACTTCTCTTCACCCACCCCCACACACCTGTATGGTCTGCCTGTGCTGGTGAAACACGTTCATGCGCACAATAGCTCGGTAAAAGGCGGGGTTGGTGCTTTCCACTCCACTTGTGCTGGGATTGATTTAACCGCGTTGGACCCCTCTGAAATCCCTCACTGACCACAAGCACACCCGTATATCTCTCATTGCCCTCTCCTCTCACCTGTATGGTCTGCCTGTGCTGGTGAAACACGTTCACTCGCACGATGGCGCGGTTGAAGGCCGGGTTAGTGCTCTCCACGAGCTCGTAGTCTATGTGCTCCTGATGTGTTGGAATGGGGAGGGGACGGGCAAGGCGTAAGGGATGTGGGGATGGGATGGGGGTGAGGAGCAAAGGGAGGCGAAGGACCGGTTGGTGCTCTCCATGAGCTCGTAGTCTATGTGCTCCTGTTGTGTTGGGAGGGGGGGCGTGGTAGGGGCCGAGAGTAGTGTGGGTGAATTGGGAATGGAAAGGGATGTAAAAGGAGGTGGTTGAATGCCCGGTTGGTGCTCTCTACGAGCTCGTAGTCTATGTGCTCCTGTTTCATAAAAGGGGGCAAAGGAGGAAGGGGGGTTAGGTGGTAACCAGCGGCATCGAACGACGCTGTCGACTCAAACAACACATTGTTATATAATCGACTACAGAAGCAATTGTTACTTACTTACCTTGTACCCGATGGCATCAAAGCCCTTAAACACAAACTCAAAGAGCGTCTTCAGATTCTCCGGGCTTGGTGCCGTCACGAATATGTTGGAGTAGCTGCCAAGGGGGAGAGGGACAGACAAGGGTGAAGGGAAGTGTGTTGTAATGCAAACCATCCAGACGGTGCTTGAGAGAAATCAGCATTTTCAGGGTTCGTAGCTGTCACGAATATGTTGGAGTAGCTGCGTTAAGGTGGGAGAGGGGAGCGGGGAGAGAGAAGGAGCGGGGAGGGAGGGGGGGGTGGGTTGTTTTGATTGAATAGAGGAGGGAAATGGGAGCGAGCAATGCTGCAGTGCAATCTCAAACTGTGATTCGCAGCACATTGGCCTGCTCCTCCACCCCATCCCACCCACCCATCCCAATCCCTTCCAAACAAACTCAAACGAGCGCCATGATAATGGTAATGGTAGTGGTCATGGTGATGGTAGTGGTAATGATAATGGTAATGGTAATGGTAGTGGTAATGGTAATGGTAGTGGTAATGGTAATGGTAATGGTAGTGGTCATGGTGATGGTAGTGGTAATGATAATGGTAATGGTAATGGTAGTGGTAATGGTAATGGTAGTGGTAATGGTAATGGTAATGGTAGTGGTAATAGTAGTGGTGATGGCAATGGTAATCGTTTTGGTAATGGTAATGGTAGTGGTAATGGTAATGGTAGTGGTAATGGTAATGGTAATGGTAATGGTAGTGGTAATGGTAATGGTAGTGGTAGTGGTAGTGGTAATGGTAATGGTAGTGGTAGTGGTAATGGTAATGGTAGTGGTCATGGTAATGGTAGTGGTCATGGTGATGGTAGTGGTAATGATAATGGTAATGGTAATGGTAGTGGTAATGGTAATGGTAGTGGTAATGGTAATGGTAATGGTAGTGGTAATAGTAGTGGTGATGGTAATGGTAATCGTTTTGGTAATGGTAATGGTAATGGTAATGGTAGTGGTAATGGTAATGGTAGTGGTAATGGTAATGGTAATGGTAGTGGTAATGGTAATGGTAGTGGTAGTGGTAGTGGTAGTGGTAATGGTAATGGTAGTGGTAATGGTAATGGTAGTGGTAATGGTAATGGTAGTGGTAGTGGTAGTGGTAATGGTAATGGTAGTGGTGGTGATAGTGGTAATGATAGTGGTAATGATAGTGGTAATGGTAATGGTAATGGTAATGGTAGTGGTAATGGTAATGGTAGTGGTAATGGTAGTGGTAATGGTAATGGTAATGGTAATAGTAACGGTAATTGTAATGATAATAGTAATGGTAATGGTAATGGTAGTGGTAATGGTAATGGTAATGGTAATGGTAGTGGTAATGGTAATGGTAGTGGTAATGGTAATAGTAATAGTATTGGTAGTGGTAATGGGAATGGGAATGGTAAAGGTAATGGTAAATGGTAGTGGTGCTTACGATTACCATGACCACTACCATTACTCAACGCCACAGCGACACCAAGAGCTGCACCAAAGCCGCACATTTGAGGCGCCTCAAAAAACGCCCAAAGCCGCACATTTGAGGCGCCTCAAAAAACGCCCAAAGCCGCACATTTGAGGCGCCTCAAAAAACGCCCAAAGCCGCACATTTGAGGCGCCTCAAAAAACGCCCAAAGCTGCACATTTAAGGCGCCTCAAAAAACGCCCAAAGCCGCACATTTGAGGCGCCTCAAAAAACGCCCAAAGTTGCACATTTGAGGCGCCTCAAAAAACGCCCAAAGCCGCACATTTGAGGCGCCTCAAAAAACGCCCAAAGCCGCACATTTGAGGCGCCTCAAAAAACGCCCAAAGCCGCACATTTGAGGCGCCTCAAAAAACGCCCAAAGCCGCACATTTGAGGCGCCTCAAAAAACGCCCAAAGCCGCACATTTGAGGCGCCTCAAAAAACGCCCAAAGCCGCACATTTGAGGCGCCTCAAAAAACGCCCAAAGCCGCACATTTCCCTCTGCCTCTGGCAGCAGTGATGGCGACAGTCGATCGCAGAGTCTTCTCAGACACGGCATCGAGGAACGTCACCACTGCCTTGGCCTGGTCCAGCCCATCCCTCCACCACCCCCCAACCATCCCAACCCCTCTCACCCCTTGCTCTCCACTCACCCCAGTGCCACGGCCCCAGCCACAGCCACTCCCAGCGCAGCCGATTTCCCCCTGCCTCTGGCAGCGGTGATGGCTACAGTGGACCTCAGAGTCTTCTCAGACACGGCATCGAGGAAAGTCACCACCGCCTTGGCCTGGTCCAGCGTGCGACACGTGGCCACCAGCGCCCCCACCGGCTGTGTGTCAGCTAGCGACTCCTTCAGTTCTCGTAATTCCCTGTCGGATTCCGATTCCACTGCCTCGCCCTGTGGGGGTATACATGTGAGTGAGGGGATGAGGGAATTAGAGATGGGTGCAGGCAGAAGGGCCTGACTGACTGGCCCTTCCCTTGGTGTGGGACGGCACTCACTCACTGACCCGCACCTCTGTGAGTGGTGATGGTTGCACGTGGCGGATGTGGGAGGAGGGGCACTGGCAGCGACTGACCTCTGTAAGTGGAGTGGGTTGCAGGTGCCTCATATGGGAGGAGAGCGGCAGGATGATGAGTTCATCGTCCATCACACAGCACTTGCGGCATAGCAGAAGGCCTGACTGACCTCAATGAGAGAGCACCGATAAGGACTGACCCCTGTGGGAGAGCACTGACTGACCTCTGTGAGTGGCGATGGCTGCAAGAGCCTCATGTGGGAGGAGAGAGGCAGGATGTTGAGTTCATCGTCCATCACACAGCACGTGGGGCAGGAGGCGAGGGAGTCACCTGTGTGGGAGGACACTGAGTGACCTGTGTGACAGGGCAATGACTGACTTTTGTGACACGGCACTGACAAACCCTTACTTCTGTAAGGGGCGACGGTTGCAAATGCCTCATATGGGAGGACAGAGGCAGGATGTTGAGCTCATCGTCCATCACACAGCACGTGGGGCAGGAGGCGAGGGAGAGGATGAAGCGCTCGTTGAACCGTCCCACCACGTCCCCGTGAGACTCGGTGCGATAGCGCGCGTGCACGTCCTGATGGGGGGGAGAGGCAGGCAAAAGGAATGGGGGTGGATGAAGCGAGCAAGTGAGTGAATGCGCAAGGAGGCGAGGGAGAGAGTGAAACGGTCGTCGAAGCACAGGCCGACCCGACCGTCCTTCGTTTAAGCGCCCCACCCACCACGTCTCCACGCGACTCCGTGCGGTAACGCGCATGCACGTCCTGATAGGGGGGAGACGGGGTGAGCAAGCGCGCAGGTGAGTAAGTGAGCAAGGAGGGGAGAGGATGAAGCGCTTATTAAATCGACCCACCACGTCCCCATGTGACTCCGTGCGGTATCGCGCATGCACATCCTGTTAGGAGGGAGGAGAGAGCAGACGAGAGCGAATACAGAGAACACGTGAGCAGCACAGGCCGACCCGACTGTCCTTGGTTAAAGCGCCCCACCCACCACCACGTCCCCACGCGACTCCGTGCAATAACCTGCGTGCAAGTCCTGGTTTAGGGTTTAGGGTGGCGAAAGAAATGGAGTTGAATGAAGAGAGAAGTGAGCAAGTGAGTAAGTGAATGAAGAGAAAAGGGCATACGGCACCGCACAGCTTACAGCAGAACGTACCATGGCGAGAGTGAAGAGACGGGAGGGGGAGGTGAGCGAGGAGAGCAGCAAACAAAGCAACTGAGAGAGTGATAAAAAAATAGGCAGCAGGGCAGGTGAAGCAGCACGTACCATGGCGAGGGTGAAGAGGCGGGAGAGCGAGGTGAGGGAGGAGAGCAGCAGAGAAGCTGAGAGGATGAGAGACGACTAGGGCAGCAAGGAAGCAGGGCAGCAGCACATGCCATGGCGAGTGAGTGAGTGAGTGCGTGAGTGAGTGAGGGCGTATCAGCAGGGCAGCAGGGCAGCAGCACGTACCATGGCGAGGGTGAAGAGGCGGGAGAGGGAGGTGAGGGAGGAGAGCAGCAGAAGAGCAGCTGAGAGTGTGCAACTGAAGCACAGCATACAGCACACACAGCATACCATGGCGAGGGTGAAGAGGCGCGAGAGGGAGGTGAGGGAGGAGAGCAGCAGCACAATGATTCCCCCACCCTCCACCGTCTCTATCGTGCGCGCTAGCAGGTTGGGCGTCAGGGCCTCAAAGTCCTGATGTGGGTGAGAGAGCAGAGCAAAGAGAGGCAGGGGAGGGAAGCAGTGCTCATTATTGAGAGTGAGATGGCAGGCCGGCCTTTGAGTCGACTCAAAACTGACTTTTGAGTAGACTTGCGAGTCGACTCAAAAGAGAGGCAGGGAAGGGAAGCACTGCTCATTATTGAGAGTGAGATGGCAGGCCGGCGGGCAGGCCTTTGCAACCCCAGTCGCCCTCCACCGTCTCGATTGTGCGCGCCAGCAGGTTGGGCGTGAGGGCCTCAAAGTCCTGATGTGGGTGAGCGGAGAGGAGAAGAGAGGAGGCGGAGGAGAGGGTAGGGGAGGAGAGGGTAGGGGAGGAGAGGGTAGGGGAGAAGAGGGGAGGGGAGGGGAGGGGAGGGGAGGGGAGGAGAGGGGAGGGGAGGAGAGGGGAGGGGAGGAGAGGGTAGGGGAGGAGAGGGTCTTATGCTTCTCGCAGTAGTAGTAGTAGCAGTAGCGGATGGTCGTTGATGCCATGAATGGGGCGAAGGCATGTGCAGGGAGTTGCGACTCAGGGGAGAGGAGTGGGAGGGGTGTGAGGTCCGAAACAGCACACACGACGCACGTACCTGCAGCACGCACATGCCGAAGGTGTTTCCGAGAATCTTGTGCGTCTCGGAGTAGTAGCAGTAGCGGATGGCCGTTGATGCCATGAAGAGAGCGAATGGGTCCTCCTTCTCAGGGTCCAGCAGCCCCCTCTGCATCATCTTCTTCATCTGCCTCATGCGCTTTTTCCGGTTGCTGTGAAAACAGGGGGTGTGGGGAGGGGAAGGGATGAGAGATTGAAAAAGTCTCCTTCCTTCTCAGGGTCGAGCAGCCCCCTCTGCATCATCTTCTTCATCTGCCTCATTCGCTTCTTGCGGTTGCTGGGGGGTGAAGGAGTGGGGGGAGGGGAACGGAAGAGAGTGTGAAAGGTTCTTCTTCCTCCTTCTCAGGGTCGAGCAGCCCCCTCTGCATCATCTTCTTCATCTGCCTCATTCGCTTCTTCCGGTTGCTGGGGTTTACGGAAGGGAAGGTGGGGGGTGGGGCACAGGGGATAAGAGGAAAGAAAAGGCCGTCTCCCTTCTCAGGGTCGAGCAGCCCCCTCTGCATCATCTTCTTCATCTGCCTCATCCGTTTTTTCCGGTTGCTGGGGATTAAGGAATGGCGGAAAGCGAAAGAGGAACAAGGGATTAGGAGCATGGAAGGGTCCTCTTTCTCTTGGGGTTGCTGCGGGGGTGGACAGGAGAGAAAGGAGAAAAGATCAGACTGGGCAGCATAAACCCTCTAGACCATGAACTAGACTGGGCAGCATAAACCTTCAACCCTTTAAAACCCTAACTGACCATCTCTCTCTCCCCTCCCCCCCAACTGCTTTCTGCGAAAGAGGTCCTTCCTGTAGCCACACCCTGAACCCTCCAAAACCCCTCACCCCTTGTCCTTCACAGTAGCTGCTGCGGAAGGAGTTTATTTTGGTTGCATAAACCCTGAACCCGAAACCTGCTGAGAAAGAGGTCCTTCTTGTAACACCAGAGCACGCTAGGTCGTTCCGGCGCCTCAACCCTCTACAAAACCCCACACCTTACCCCTAACCCCGAACCCCACAGTACCTGCTGAGAAAGAGGTCCTTCTTGTAGCACCAGAGCACGTTCGGCCTTGCCTTGACCACGGCCTTGGCGTTTGCGTCGACTCAACAGTCACCCCTCAACCCTCGACCCTCCAGACCCCTCACACCCATAACCCCTAACCCCTCACGGTACCTGCTGAGAAAGAGGTCCTTCTTGTAGCAAAAACCCTCAACTCTCCAGACCCCTAATACCTAACCCTTAACCCCTCACATCACAGTACCTGCTGAGAAAGAGATCCTTCTTGTAGCACCAGAGCACGTTGGGCCTCGCCTTGACCACGGTCGACTCTAAAGCCAACCCTACGGCCCTTCTTGTAGCACAACCTGAAACCCTCCAGACCCCGCTGACCCCTTACCCCATACATACCTGCTGAGAAAGAGGTCTTTCTTGTAACACCAGAGCACGTTGGGCCTCGCCTTGACCACGGCCTTGGAGAGCATGTAGTGGAGATTCACCACCTGTTACAGTCACATCGGGGTACAGTAGTATCAGGATACTGTCACATTGGTAACAGTATGGTCGTCATGAATTACAACATTGTCGCATTACTATCACATCCAGGTAATATCCATACCCGATAAACACACGACTCAGCTGGGTTCAGGGTTCTAAGGCAAATCAGGATGGCCCTAAATAGCTGGTGTGTCGAGTCGGGGTTCTAATTAGTTACGAGTCAGAGAAGAACCTGTCTCGTAGTTACGAGTCCATTCCAAGACGGCAGAAGAAACGACGAATGTCCTTTTTTAGCAACAAAACTCCCAATCTGCTCTTGTCCCTTGTCCCCCGCGATTACGAAGCTCGCTTCCTATCACAAGCATGGAACCAAACTCTAACACTAACAATGACAGGCTCACGACTAGGTTTCTCACCCCCAGGCCCTAAGGTTTTCGTTCTATTTTTGCACCTGGTCTCGGCCCTTGTCCCCCACGATCACGAACATGGACCGCTGTCGCGACTATACTCTCTTCCTTGCTTTTAACTTATCCCGAATATGATACAATCGCAAATAACCTCTCCTGCTGATCCCTCACCTGATCCCGGCCCTTGTCCCCCACGATCACGAACATGGACCGCTGACGCGACTTGACGCCATTCTCGACGAGGGTTCGAATCCTCGCGTCCACCTTTTTCCTCATCGCCGCGGCCGCTCCTCTGTCACTCCGAAACTACGAAAATTCTCACGAATAAGCTCCTGCGGGAATTTGCGGAAAGTCCCCGAATCAGTCTAATCACCAGCCCCACTCCTGCAAGTCTCCTGATCAATGCAGGAGCAGCAAGGGTGTGACGCGTCTAGCGACTAGAGACTACTCGAAACCTTGTTCGCAACGGTCCTTTTTCCACCCGAGCTCTGCTCCTGCTGCTGCTCCCTGAAACTTCTCTCACGCAGGTCCGTCTCTTTCCGATTGTGTAAGGAATTAGAATTCCTTACTCTAGTAAATTGTTAGCGAGGACATCCCGAGGGTGTCGCGACGAACCTGCGATGCCTATTTCGTCGCACCGAACCACCCCCGAGTCGGCCTCCGCTCCAATCGTGGCCATCACCGAGCCATCCCATCCCGAACCCCCCGCCTAGCTAGGTTTTCCCCTATTTAGGCCTCGCTACTTCATTGTTCAATCATTCTGTAATTTCTCATTCTCGTTATTCGATATCCGCGCACTCTGACAAGTTCATTCATAACACCTGGTATCAGAGCTACTTTCCTAGCCTACCCCGCTTTTTAGAGTGTAATACCCCTCGGGGGGGGGGGACGAGTAAGGATGCCTTGGGGTCCAGGAGTTGCGTAGGCCGGCCAAGAGAACTAGTTAGTTGCTCTTCGCGGCCATGGTTTTACGGGGCACTCCTTCGGCACCGCCAGATCCTTAGCTCGACGGTCGCGATCGACCATGACCTCCCTCCCCCCGGGCGACGGGCAGCAGTAGCTGTCGCGACATTAAAGTGAGTAATTTCCGCTGCGATTTCCGACGATTTCGGAGCTTGATTCGTGTGGCAGCCTGCGTCAGCGGACCTGCGTCGGCACCTGCACGAACAGCATCGACGTCGTCATCACGAGTGGCAGCTGGCGTTGGCGGATCTGCGTCAACAGTTGCGCGAAGATTTCGGAGTCGTCCCTACGCGGCAAGTGACGTCGATGGCAAGCCGTCATCTTGTGCGCGAGATTCTCGGGAGAATCTTCGGCAGCTGGCGACAACGGGCCTGCGTCAGCATGGGCGACAATTTCGGAGGTTTCTACTGTGAAGAAAAGGGCAGCTCGAAGGACTCGCCAGGCGCAAATGGAGTTTTGCGTCAGAGGATCCCGACGGCTGGAGAGATAGACGCTCAAGCCGCCCGAATTATGCGGGGGTTGAGTTTTATCCCGTCCGACCGGATAGTGCGGCGCTTACCGTACTGGCGGGCGAGTCGTCGACGATTTTCGGCAGAAGTGCTTGTGGACAGACGGGAACTTTGGACCCGCCGACACTTACGGGCTGCAACAGACAACGACGTGGCTAAATCGCACTTAGCAGGAGTGGGGCGCAGGCGCGAGGGCATATCGGGACTGAACACCCGAGAAATACTCGTTTGTTGCTGCGTGCCTGGAGCTGCTTGCCAGCTGTTCGACAGTTTCGAGATCGGTTTCCCCGTTCAAGGAAGCCGTTTTCGGGGACAGCCGCAACAGCCCACGATTAAACGGTGTTCAACGTGCCACCCCGACAATTTCGGAGTGTGGTGCAGGCCGCCGGGACACGCGTGAAGAAACTGCCCAACGGCTAAGCGGGGGTTGAAGAACGTCGTGGGGAGCAGATAAAAGCCGGTGGAACCGATCTGCGGCCCTACTTCGCCCGAACCTCACCATCCCCACCGATTACTGGTTCCGACTCATGCAGTCGACCTTATTCGGATGAATAACGGGGGTGAACACGAGCCTACCCTGCGCTGGTTAAAAGCACCTGGTTTGGTGCCCGTTCGACAGCTGTACAGAAAAGACAAAAGACAAAAAAGGGGAGTTGCGGCACTGTTCTACTCCGACAAAAGCGGGCTGGGTGAAACAGCACGCGAAAAAATCGGGGCGCCGCAGGACAACACTGGTGCAGTTTACAGGTTTCCTCTGACCCGGGCGTCTACACGAGGTGACGGCGCAGCGGCGAAGCTGGGACCGGAAGCTGTGGAATTTTAGTGGCGCGACGGGCACGGTGGGCTGCGAAGCGGTTGGGACTGATTTCCTTTTAACTAAGGCAACCCCGACTCCGATAGTCTTTTCTTCTCCACCGTGGCTGGGGTTCGCGCAGGGCAACACCGACAATACCCCATCCGACAAAAGCGGACGCTGGTTGAACGGCGGGAAGTGGAATGTTCGGGGGGTGAAACGACAAAAAAAATATGAAGCTGAGGGTGTTTCTTCGTTTCTTGGAGTGCGGTTGAGTCGCTGGGGGACTTCGCCTGAAGGGCGCTTTTCGAAGTTGCCTGGCAAGAAACACAGCGGCAAGGATTCCTAGGACCCTTGGTGTTTAAACGCACACCTCGGGAAATTCTTCAAAAAAGGGAAGCGTGGGAGCAGTCGTAGCTTCGGGAACTTATCGGCCGGCGACGAGCGATGGGTGAAACATCTGCAAAGCGCTGGTGGGAGAAACAGGGAGTTTTTGTTAAACGACATCGGCGGGAGCAGCTTCGACTACGGAGGTCAACGGCGTTGATGCCTCTAGGTTCCGTGAAATTCGGTCTCGGAAGACCCAGGGCAGTCCCCGGTTCTCGATTTAACCCACATGCTGGGGTCGGGTAAACCGAAGGAAACTGATGGTGACCGAGTGGGCGGCTATAGCACGACCGAAGATTTCGGAGGCGAACTGCAACTGCAACGGCGAATTTTACGGGGTTGTTTTTGAGCGAAATTTTCGGAGTTTTACGTGGGGACTTACAGGTTTACGGCGGGAAGCGCCGACAATTTCGGAAGACTTTTCGGAGTTTTGGTTAAACGCACGCGACATTTACGCAGGGCAACGGCGCGGGAACTACACGGACTTTTCAAGGGGTACGAACGACTTACGACGAACTGGAGGAGGCGGCAGCAACAGTGGAAGGGGGGAGAGACAGCTGTAATTTTTACATCTCTGCCCGGGAGTCATCGGCGGATTGCGACAACATGCTCGGCGAGTATGGACAAACCCGCCGGAGGTGCTGACATCATCTGACACTGATTCGTGTTCGACAATATTTTTCGGAGTGACATTCGCTACGGTTACTGCTTCGACGACCATCGCCGACTTGAAATAAACAACTTCGCCTTTAATCGCCTTCAATCGCCGACTTCGACGACACTCGTAACACTCCTGATTTCACGGCCAGAGGTTTTCAGGACGGTTCCATTCCGACTCTACTAGCGACAAACCCATCCACTCGACCCGCCCACGACAACTGCATTGATTTCAACCACGTCAGGTGCTGCCAGTTGCAACTGCTGCAGATACTGCACGATTCTGGCGACGTGAAGACAAAAAGCTTCAGTTCGAGTACTTGGCAACTTTGGTTTCGGTTTCTGGTCTACTTCTGCGAGTTCGCCCTCGAAGATTTTATGGGCACGTAATACCTGGTTTCGTCATCAGAATTTCCACACCGACGCAACTTCACCCGGCATTCTTCGCTCAACGGCTTTCTTCGTGGGACTTAACACCTGGATTTTTGTGTGTTTTCATCTCGGCGCAGCTGCGGGAACTTTTCTGGTGCCATTTTCTTGGAGGGGGGGAGAAAGTGCTTTGCACTGTTTTCTTCCTTGGCGTTTTCTTGGTCCTTTTTGCGTCAGCACGACGGACGATTGCGATCGCACCGACACAATCTACGGTTCCTGCTCAATCGCGTTTGAATTCGCGTCAGCTGGTTCCCTCCACATCCGCGTCACCGTCAACCGTCAGATCGACATTTGAAATCATCAGCGGTCAACGCGAGCTCTGACCGTCCGATCAACATCTGCTCGATCAACGGCTCTGTTTCCAACCTTCAATTCGAATTGGTCCACTTCATCTTCGACCGTCAGATCGAGACCTGACTACATCAACGGCCTACATTCCAACTTTTTCAAAAATATCGCCCAAGGGATTTCAGCCGTCGGATTCAGCTGAAAGGGAGATCAACGTGTCAGAATGTTATGTGTGTCTAGCCTGCAGTGGGGTACTCTATAGCGAGTACAACCCGATTTAGGGTTTCGTATATGTATCCTGCTGCTGCTAGTGAAAACCCCTCTTTGCCTATTTCTCGTTTTCGCCTAGCCTGTTTAACATGCTATCAGAGCAGGTCGACCCTCCTGGGTCGATCCTGTGGGTGGGCCCCACCCGATGCTTCCGCTGCTCTATTGCCTGTAGCGTGCCCCGGGCGCGCGCCGTTTTCTCACTGCCGTGCGCTCGGAGCGCGCAGCGTTTTTTCTTCCCGCCGCGCGCTCGGGGCGCGCGGCGGTTCCCTGCCCGCCGTGCGCCCCGAGGTGCGCGGCGGTTTGCTGCCCGTCAAACCGCGCGTCGCCCCCCGTCGCCCGCCGAAGCGCCCCCGGGGACCCGCGCGTCGGCCCCCGTCGCCCGTAGCGGCCCGCGCGACCTGCGCCAGGCCCGCGCGCGGCCCGTACAGCCCGCGCGCGGCCCGTACGGGCTGCGCCAGGCCCGCGCGCGGCTCGGGCAGCCCGCGCGCGGTTCGTCCGGCCTGCGCCAGGCCCGTGAGCGGCCCGTACCGTCTTCCCCTGTGCCGCACGCCCTCCCCCGAGCTTCTGACAGTGCCCCACCCCCGCTGCTGCCCGCGTTCCTGTGTTAGGGTTTGGGGGTGGAGAGTATGGGGGTGCCGTGTGTGTGAGCCGTCCCCTTCTCCTCCTCCTCCTCCGTCTCCCACTGCTGCAGCTGTCGCTGAGGGGGGTGGATGTGTTGGAGCCGTCGGAGTGGTACGAGGGGGGTGGCGTGTGAGCGGTGCTAGTGGTTCAGCAGGGAGTGTGTGAAAGGGGTGTGGAACAGTTGGGGGAGGTTGACCGGAGGTAGCCGACTTGTCGTCCGCAGCGCCTGAAGTCCAGAGAGCCACGACCCCCTGTGGCCTGAGTAGTCCGGGGCTCTGCGCCCGGTAGCCACAGTGTGAGCACTCCTGGTAGTCCAGAGAGCCACGACCCCCTGTGGCCTGAGTAGTCCGGGGCTCTGCGCCCGGTAGCTACAGTGTGAGCACTCGTGGGAGCACAGCGAGCCAGCAGAGCCTGTCGCCGTGTAGTCCGGGTTTAGCCTGGTAGCGACAGTGCTGCGCACTTCTGTTGCCCGTGTGTCTGCAGCTTCAGCCGTCGTCTCTCATCTTCTCGGCCCCACAGTTTCTCCTCCTCCTCACTTGCTCTCTGTGATAGTCTCTAGCGCTGCTTATAATTGTGAACTACTGCTCTGCCTGCTTGTTGTGTTGATTGTACCCCACTTTGACTATGGGGGTGTGTCAGAATGTTATGTGTGTCTAGCCTGCAGTGGGGTACTCTATAGCGAGTACAACCCGATTTAGGGTTTCGTATATGTATCCTGCTGCTGCTAGTGAAAACCCCTCTTTGCCTATTTCTCGTTTTCGCCTAGCCTATTCAACGGCGTACTCATTACGGAAGGCTTCGGTCTACATACAGGGAGGGCTTATTTGGAAGGTGGGAGAGTGTAAGGAATTAGAATTCCTTACTGTAGTAAGTTGTTAGCGAGGACATCCCGAGGGTGTCGCGACGAACCTGCGATGCCTATTTCGTCGCACCGAACCACCCCCGAGTCGGCCTCCGCTCCAATCGTGGCCATCACCGAGCCATCCCATCCCGAACCCCCCGCCTAGCTAGGTTTTCCCCTATTTAGGCCTCGCTACTTCATTGTTCAATCATTCTGTAATTTCTCATTCTCGTTATTCGATATCCGCGCACTCTGACAAGTTCATTCATAACAGATTGCATTGGCAATGCCACAGTTTTCCAGCGAGTGCAGCTGTGGCTGTGCTGAAGGGGGAAGCAATCGGTGCCAAATCGCGTTAGCGAAAAGGAACCCATAGGGGTTACACGTTACTGAACGGGTAATTTCTCATAGCAATTATAAAAATGGGAACGCGACAGTAACCAATAGCAAATGAAATGATGTCTACAAAGTTTCTCCATACTCTCAACGCAGCACCTGCTTTCTCTGACACTGTTCTTATTCAGAATTCTGTACCGTGTAAAGTGAACGCAATGCCTAACCTTTTTTGTGACAGTTGTTACTGACAAGTACAGTCGATGCTCAGCCTATCACAAAAATTTGCTCATCACAATTAGAAAATCAGTCACTCGCGAACGTTTTTCCGGTGAGAGGTGATTGTGCTGATTTCGGGGTACAGTCACCAAGTCGAGGAAGAAAAACATCTACAGTTCATAAACAACAACGGCTGCCTGTCATCAGAATTGTTTACCTGGTTACGAACTTAAACCCCTAGACTCGTTTCACATTCCAATTTCATTTTACAATCACATTTTTGCCCGTGGCGACAAGGGCGAATGTGGCGAAATGCCTAAAACTGGTTTCACTCACATGCCGCCCGCCTACCTGGTGTTCTTGAAATGAGCACCGACTGTATTGGTATGCAGCACCTCCACTCCTGCAATCCTGCTTGGGCTAAGCTTGAAGCGCCATACCTCCTTCTCATCATAGACTACGAAATCCCATACGCTTGGAGAGAAACAACCCCTGTACACCACATAACACATTATAAGAAGACCCATCATCCAATTTAGGATCGTACAAAAATCAACCCGTAAGAAAGGCGAAAGGAATGGCTACATGTAAGAGCTAGGTGTCAGTCACGATTTGTCACCACCACTCATCCCGCACCGTTCCCAGGGCTAGAATCTGCTGTCCTGCGCGATTGCTGCATCTTGTTCCCATAAAAATCAGAAAGGCTTGGACTCTGGTTGTCCTGCTCGGGTTCAAGTCCGCTGTTCACCACCCCTGCTGCACCTTCTTCCGACCATACACAGCCATCCCCACACTGGCAGTAAAGCGTAACCTGACTCAGGAGTCATGCAATGTTTGCTACCACACATCCCGTGGTGTCCTGCTGGGGCTCGAATCCGTCCCCCCCCACCCTTGCTGCATCTTATTCCCATCATACACCGCCAACCCCACGCTCGGAATCTCCTCCGGAGCCTCCTTCACCCATGCGTACGTCCCCTTTTCAAACATCCTCACTATCTGCTCCAAGCTCTTCCCTCTTGTCTCCGGCGCAAGGAAATAAAAGAACACAAACCCAACCACTCCCATCCCAGCAAACATGAAAAACGGCCCGGCAGGACTACCAGTCGCATCCGCAAGACTCAGAAAAGTCATCGCGACCACGCCAGATGCTATCCTGTTCACAGCCGTGCCAATACCAGTTGCCTGCGCTCGCAGCCGCAGGGGGAAGATCTCTGAAGTGTACAGCCAGTTGATGGGGCCTATGCCGATGGAGAAAAAGGCGACGTAGAAGCAGAGTCCAGTGAAAGCAACGATGGCGGCGGCTGGGACTCCTGTGGAGGCGGTGACGGTGGCTGAGACATCTGCGTCAACAGCGGTTGGGAGCTTGAGAAAGGCCAGAGCTTGAGTTAGGAGAGCAACCGTCATGCCTGGAAGGAGGGGAAACAAACAACGGAAGGGGTATTGGGTGTTTGGGAGATTTTTGAGGCGGTTTGGGGATCTCTGAGGTGTACAGCCAGTTGATTGGGCCGATCCCTATGGAGAAAAAGGCAACGTAGAAGCAGAGCCCGGTGAAAGCAACGATGGCAGCTGCTGGGACTCCTGTGGAGGCGGCGACTGTGGTTGAGACGTCTGCGTCAACTGCGGTTGGGAGCTTGAGGAAGGCCAGGGCTTGAGTTAGGAGAGCAACTGTCAAGCCTGGAGGGAGGGAAGACCAACAAACAGAGGGATATCGGGGAATTAGGAGAGGTTTGAGGCGGTTTGGGGATTATTGAGATGTCTATGTCAACTGCGGTTGGGAGCTTGAGGAAGGCCAGGGCTTGAGTTAGGAGAGCAACTGTCATGCCTGGAGGGAGAGGAGATCAACGAACAGAGGGATATCGGGGAAATAGGAGAGGTTTGAGGCGGTTAGGAGTTGTCTGGAAGGGTGTAAAAGACCAACGCTTGCACTTGGGAGCCCGGTGAAAGCAACGATGGCGGCGGCTGGGATTCCAGTGGTGGCGGTGATGGTGGTTGAGACGTCTGCGTCAACTGCGGTTGGGAGCTTGAGGAAAGCCAGGGCTTGGGTGAGAAGAGCAACCGTCATGCCTGGAGGGGGGGGAAGCGAAGATCATAAGGGGTATGGGGAATTTGGGAGAGATTTAGGCGGATTGGAGATGATTGGAAAGGTGTGATCATTGGAAAGGTGTGAAAGGCCAAGAGCTTGACGAAGGCCAGGGTTTGAGTTAGAAGAGCAGCCATCATGCCTGCAGGTAGACGCAGGGGGAGGATGTGAAAAGTACAGTATTTGGGGGTTGGGAGCGATTTGAGGCGGTTCGGAGGTGGTTACGAGGGTGAGAAGGGTCAGGGCTTGGAGCGCAGTAGATCCTAAGCACGCACACAGCAGAGGCACTGACGCACACTTGCAGTAGGCAAGCACGCTCACCTGCGGTGGATGCTAGGAGCAGCGGCCTCTGTCCAAAGTGTTACAGCATGCATGTGGCAATACCCACAAACCACACCTTGATCACCCCCATCAGCAGCGTCGCCCCCAGCAACGCAGAGACACTGACACACACACAGCAATCAATCACACTCACTTGCAGTGCACTCTCACCTGCGGTGGATGCAAGCAGCAGCGGCCTCCGTCCGAAATGGTCCAGCATGCACGTGGCAATACCCACAAACGACACCTTGATCACCCCCATCGGCAGCGTCGCCCCCAGCACAGCAGACACACACACACACAGAGCAATCAATCACACTCACCTGCGGTGGACGCTAGGAGCAACGGCCTCCGTCCAAAGTGATCCAACATGCACGTGGCAATACCCACAAAAGACACCTTGATCACCCCCATCAGCAGCGTCGCTCCCAGCAACGCCCTTGTCGACGTCACCCCCGCATCCCGCAGCACCACAGGCGAGTAATACACAGCAGCGTCAATCCCCACCGCCTGCTGCAGGAAATTCGTCCCCACGCACACCACCAGCATTCTCCCCACTGCCGGCGTCGGCCAGAGTAGCTCCTTCCACACCCCCGTCCCACCCGCTCCCTCCATTGGCCGTATCACGTGGATCTCCTGCTCCTCTTCGTCCACATACACTGTATCTCCCGCACCATCGCCCCCGCTGTCTCCTAGCCGCTCGCGAGAATTGCTTCTGCCCCGGGAAGCGGGAATTTCAGAGCCTTTGCTGATAACTTCCTCCTTCAGCCCTGCTGCCTCGAGAATCTCTAACATCCGCTCATGGGCCTCTTCTTTGCTATCGGATATTGTGAGGAGAATATCCTTGGCTTTTTTCACCTGCCCGTGCATGATCAGCCAGCGAGGGGATTCGGGCAGGAAAATAACTCCTACTGCAAGAATCAGGCCCGGAACGGCTCCCAGCCCCAGCATCCACCGCCAGGCGGTATCAACGGGCAGCCCAGAAAGAACAAACGACGTCAGGAAGCCAATCACAATGCCGATGTTGATAAAAAGCTCTCCGAAAGAAACCAGCCCGCCACGCTGACCGGGAGGAGAAATTTCCGAAATGAAAAGCGGAGGCAGAGAAAGGCCGAAACCGACACCAATGCCTGTAATGACACGACCTATAACGAGTATAGCGTAGGTCGGTGCTAACGCCATGCACAGAGCTCCGGCGATAAAAATCGAGGCGGCTGCTCCCATCGCGAATCTACGGCCCGCGAAATCCGCAAGTCTACCGGCTGATAACGCGCCAACGAGGGAGACTATATTGAGGATGCCGACAAAAATCTCCTGCTGCACGTGGGAGAGGTCGAAATCTTCTGCGACGAAAATGAGCGCTCCGCTGGTGACGCCAATGTCTGCATGCCACGTCAGCAAAGGGAGGTCACAACAGATTGGTGGAGACACGAAAGTGGGTTACAGCGGGATGCTCGGGAAATTAGAATCTTACATACATGGTACGAAAGGCATTGGCATGCGTCATACTGAGATGCATGAGATGTCACGACGCAGAAGCACGACAAGACACACTATAGAGCATTCACGTGTTATATCGCGTACCATATCTAAGAAGAGCCAACGATATGGATGCCACGACACCAATTGAATAGTTAGCGATACTATTGCTATCGCGTACCATAACCGAGAAAGCCGACGATATAATTGCCAGAAGCACGACTGATTGGATTCGTTACAAATGCTCTCGCTGTATCGCGTACCGTATCCGAGAAGAGCCGACGATATGGATGCCAGTAGCGACACCGACAGCACATACGGCTTGATGGAGCCCCAGCTGCCCCGGTGACCGTTACCCCCCTCGCCGTCAAGTGCGGTACTCGTCTTCCCGTCCCTCGCAGGGCTCGCTGGCGGCGTTCTCTCGTTGACCGTGAAGTACGACGATCCTTTTGGAACGGTCGCAGTTGTTTGGTTCGCGGCATTGCTGGACGTATCGGATCCTGACCGCTCATCTGCTCCGCTGCTCGTCATGATGACTGCAGAAGGTGACCTAGATGTTACCAAAATGTAAGTCGACACATAAACCGACAAGTCGCTGAATCACTAATATGATTTTCACACTAGCACGGAACGATTTCTCCTACAGAGACAGACATGCAGGGAGTGTCCTCGAAAAGCAAAGGCTATACAAACATGTGTCTTCTGCAAGAAAGCCCCAGCTATGTGCAGTTGGAAGAAGGCATCCTAGCACAAGCAGAATTCAGCAATAATTGTCAGCCATGGAAGAAAATCATTCGGCATTGTCAATGCGATGAAACTCGAGAAATCTGGGGGTCAAAGAAAACGAGAGAGTTGGGAACGGAGAGAGTCGCGCAACTGGAGGAATCTGGGCATTCTTGAGAATCGACGGTGAGAAGTTCTGTCGGTTCTGCGACTACTGAATTAGGAAAATCAGGGCCTGCGACATCGGGGACTAGGCGTATGCGAAATGCTGTGTCGGGGGAATCAGAGTCTGCAAAATCGAGGTCGGGGATTTTGAGGCGCAAGCGCGCAAGGGAAGGCCATTACGGGGAGGGCTAGAGGTTTGGCGCGGAAAAAGACGGGGAGACGCCAGCAGAAGGCTGCCGGAACGGAACGCGGTGGCTGACCAGTGAGCAAGGGCACGGAGGGCGGGACGCTGTGCGTGCGATGTGTCAGTGGCATACTGATTGGGGAAGACCTGGAGGTTAGGTTTGTGAAGAGCAGCGAAGGTCGTTAAAACGTCGTATTATTATGTTTTGGGAAAGTCTATCCCAGCTCCTGACTTTCAGTTTTTTCTCATATTTAGCCCTATGTTTACTCAAAAAGCACCACTTTCCATTATTTCTCTCACGCGAGGCCCAAAGTATGTTCAAAACTGGTCCTGCGGGGCGAAGTTTTCGACACGTGTCGTTTTGTTACCAGCTGACGCACTTCCACTCTGAACTAACCGTTTGTCAGGGCAATTTTCGCGCCGGAAAAGTTTTTACGGGACAAAAAAACATAAAACCCCTAAAGGACCATTACACATTTTCACGGGACCTGCTAGGTGTTTAGGGTTGATCCCTCCCGCGAATGTGTCCTGGTTCTCTAGGGGTTTTATGTTTTTTGCCCCCGTCCAAATTTTCCATGCGTGGAAGTTCGTCAGATGGTGTAACAAGAGGACACGTGTCGAAAAAATCGCCCCGCAGGACCACTTTTGAACATACTTTGGGCCTCGCGTGAGAGAAATTCTAGAAAGTGGTGCTTTTTGAGTAAACCTAGGGCTGAATATGAGAGAAATCTGAAAGTCAGGAGCGGGGATATACTTTCCCTTATGTTTTTCTCCGTTTTACCAATCAGCAAGAAACGATTTTGTCACCCATCCAATCAACACCCCTGCCCAACGAAAGGCTAGTGTTCGCAAACGCGATCCCACCTGACCAGGGGGGATTGCGTTCCATGCCTCTGGAGACTAGCAGCCGCACCTGACGGCCAATACATCTGCGTCCATACCCGTTATGACATGTATTTTTCATAGAGCAGGAAGAACAAAAAAAACTATCACTAAAGAAATAAGCTTTGCTGTGAGAAAGAGCTGTGGAGCTATATATATTTGCGCTACACCAGTTTCTATCTGCTCTCTTCGCCATTCTTAGGCATCTCCGTACACCGCTTTTCTCCGCTGACCCGCCTACACATGCGGACAGTCCCGTCCGCTTGCCTTTCCACCTCACAGATGCACCCAGGAAAAGGATTCGCGTAGAAATTCTCCTCCAGCTTGGGATTCTCGCCAACCTCCCGCATATGAGGAGCTCCCATTCCTTGTTTGTGCGCTTGCCTGATGAGCCTCCTAAACGCCTTCCACCTGATTTGCCGTGATTTTAATTGGTCAATATGCCGAATGATGGCTTCCCTGCAAAGTGCGCACAACATAGAAGGATGTGTGGGTGAGAAAATGGGGAAAGCACAAGTAGAGTGGAAATAGACCAGGAGCTATGATCATACACACTGACATGGATACTGCTACACAAATTACCGTCACATCCATAAGCAACCCACCTGTTGGGGATGATGGTCTTCCTGTGCCCTTCAAACCGCCTGTGCCCCTGCACAGCCCGGGCCATGTTCCCCTCATACGTGTACACAAACACATCGCTCTGCACTGCCACTGGCACTCACTTGTGAATCACCTCTGCACCGCACACTACCACACAATACCACACACCTATTGGGAATAATGGTCTTCCTGTGACGTTCAAACCGCCTCTGCCCCTGCACGGCACGGGCCATGTTCCCCTCATACGTGTACACAAACACATCGCTCTGCACTGCCACTGGCACTCACTTGTGAATCACCTCTGCACCGCACACTACCACACAATACCACACACCTGTTGGGAATAATGGTCTTCCTGTGCCCTTCAAACCGCCTGTGCCCCTGCACAGCACGGGCCATGTTCCCCTCATACGTGTACACAAACACATCGCTCTGCACTGCCACTGTGTAGTCCACAGCTGCCAGCCGGTTCTGGTACGCGCCTATGCTCGCCAGCTCCTCTGCTGTTGCCAGCGTGCTGTGTGTGTACGTGTTTGGGTACAGGCGAGTCAGGTCCTGGTAGTGAGGGCAGGAGGGGGAAGAACATGTTGGGGCATTAGCTCGTCACAACGCTGCCAGCCGATTCTGGTACGCGCCTATGCTCGCCAGTTCCTCTGCTGTTGCCAGTGTGCTGTGCGTGTACGTGTTTGGGTACAGGCGAGTCAGGTCCTGATGGTGAGGGGAAGGAGGTGTGGGGGATGTTGGACATAAGATTGTCATGCCGCTTCCAGCCAGTGCTGGTCCCATGTGTTCTGGTACGCGCCTATGCTCGCCAGCTCTTCTGCTGTTGCCAGTGTGCTGTGCGTGTACGTGTTTGGGTACAGGCGAGTCAGGTCCTGATGGTGGGGGCAGGGGGTGTGAGGACAGAGATTCAGGAGGAGCAGATGGTGAATTCTTCAGCTGTTGCGAGAGTGCCTTACTGTTGCCAGTGTGCTATGTGTGTACGTGTTTAGGTACAGGCGAGTTAGTGGTGAGTGCCTATACTGTTGCCAGTGTGCTATGTGTGTACGTGCTGGTGTGAGTGGGCACGCCACCTCCCTTTTGAGGTGCCTCTAAACTATTTTTGCTCGCCTCGAGCCCGTTAGACCCGTAGATGTCCCCAGCAGCTACATAGATGGGCGTTGTATTCGGATACCCCATGGCACGCAGAAACAGCGCTGTCTCCCTTGGCGTGAGCAGGCACCTGGGGGATAGGCACGCGCCTTCGGCTTTCTCTCACCTCGAGGCCATTGGAACCGTAGATGTCCCCAGCAGCCACGTAGATGAGCGTTGTATTCGGATACCCCATGGCGCGCAGGAACAGCGCCGTCTCCCTTGGCGTGAGCGGGCACGCCCCCTCTGTCCTCCTTGCCTCCCCGTCAATCTCCTTCTCCTTCCACCGCGAGTTGTTGAGCCTCATTGCCTTTAATTCCTCCCTCTCTGATGCCTGCAACCCATGGTCGCACCCTGTGAACGCCAGCATGTCCTTCTCGTATCTGGGAGGACAAGTCCGGGAGGGCAGAGAAGGAGGAACACACGTGGGAGTTGTTGAGCCGCATGGCCTTCAGCTCCTCCCTCTCGGATGCCTGCAGTCCATGGTCGCACCCTGTGAATGCCAGCATGAATTTTTCGTATCTGGGGGTTTGGTAAAGAGGGGAGGGGTTAGGGAGAGAGGGACAGGTGTTGTTGAGCCGCATGGCCTTTAACTCCTCCCTCTCGCCCTCCTTCAGTCCGTGGTCGCACCCTGTGAACGCCAGCATGTCTTTTTCGTATCTGGGAGGACAAGTCGGGGAGGGCAGAGACGGAGAATCACATGTGGGAGTTGTTGAGCCGCATCGCCTTCAGCTCCTCCCTCTCTGATGCCTGCAGCCCATGGTCGCACCCTGTGAACGCCAGCATTTCTTTCTCGTATCTGGGTGGCAACAGGGGAGAGGGAGAGGGAAAAGTGGTGTTGGGGCAGAGAGGGTGGAAGGAGGAGAGGGGCAGACGGGTCAATCGCCCTTCTCCTTCCAGCGCGAGTTGTTGAGCCGCATGGCCTTCAGCTCCTCCCTCTCGCCCTCCTTCAGTCCGTGGTCGCACCCTGTGAACGCAAGCATGTCTTTCTCGTATCTGGGGGGTTGGTAAAGAGGGGAGGGGTTAGGGAGAGAGGGACAGGTGTTGTTGAGCCGCATGGCCTTCAGCTCCTCTCTCTCTGATGCTTGCAACCCATGGTCGCACCCCGTGAACGCCAACATGTCCTTCTCGTATCTGAGAGGACAAGTCGGGGAGGGCAGAGACGGAGAAACACACGTGGGAGTTGTTGAGCCGCACGGCCTTCAGCTCCTCCCTCTCGGCCTCCTTCAGCCCATGGTCGCACCCTGTGAATGCCAGCATGTCTTTCTCGTATCTGGGGGGTGACAGGGAAGTAGGAGAGGGAAGAGGGGACATTAAGGGTCTACGGTTAGTCGATCGCCTTCTCCTTCCACCGCGAGTTGTTGAGCCGCACGGCCTTCAGCTCCTCCCTATCGCCCTCCTTCAGCCCATGGTCGCACCCTGTGAATGCCAGCATGTCTTTCTCGTATCTGGGGGGTGACAGGGAAGCAGGAGAGGGAAGAGGGGACATTAAGGGTCTACGGTTAGTCGATCGCCTTCTCCTTCCACCGCGAGTTGTTGAGCCGCACGGCCTTCAGCTCCTCCCTCTCGCCCTCCTTCAGCCCATGGTCGCACCCTGTGAACGCCAGCATATCCTTCTCGTATCTGGGGGGTTGGTCATGAGAGGGGGGAGGTTAGGGAGAGAGGGACGGACGGGTGTTGTTGAGCCGCATGGCCTTTAACTCCTCCCTCTCTGATGCCTGCAGTCCATGGTCGCACCCTGTGAACGCCAGCATGTCGTATCTGGGAGGACAAGTCGGGGAGGGCAGAGAAGGAGAATCACACATGGGAGTTGTTGAGCCTCATGGCCTTTAACTCCTCCCTCTCTGATGCCTGCAACCCATGGTCGCACCCTGTGGACGCCAGCATGTCTTTCTCGTATCTGGGAGGTCGGACACAGGGGAGTAAGGCGAGGGAATGGACGAGATATTGGAAGCTGGGACGATGTTTCCGTATCCTTCTTGTTATCCAAAGAAAAGTCTTCCTTGAAACTAAGAAGCAAGCACCAACACGCAAGGAGCTTGTAAAATAACCCACCTCAAGTGCAGGGCAATGTACGGGCCCCTTGCATGCAATCTCGAGATCAGATTCGCCGCAATCCGCGAGATCGACGGCGTGTAGCGCAGCGACTTGTAGTTGGCGCGGCATCGCAGCCGTTGGATCGAGTCGGGCACGCCGTTGTTGGCGAGCCGAGAGTCGGTGAGGGGGAAGCGCATCACTCGGTGCTTCTTCACTCGTGGGAGCAAATCCTCTCGGTAATAGGAGAACTGGAGCAGAGGGAGTGGGAAGGCAAGAGACATTCAGTGGCTGATCACCTATCCAGCCAGCCACACGAGAGTCGGTGAGAGGGAAGCGCATCACCCTGTGCTTCTTCACTTGTGGGAGCAAGTCCTCTCGGTAGTAGGAGAACTGGTAGGGGGGAGGGGGTTGGACAGGCAGACAGGCAGACACACGCGAGTCAGTGAGGGGGAAGCGCATCACTCTGTGCTTCTTGACCCGTGGAAGCAAGTCCTCTCGGTAATAGGAGAACTGGTAGGGAGTGGGTGGGTGGGTCGACAGGCAGACAGGTAGACAGGCACATGCGAGTCGGTGAGGGGGAAGCGCATCACCCGGTGCTTCTTCACCCGCGGGAGCAAGTCCTCTCGGTAGTAGGAGAACTGGTAGGGGGGAGGGGGTTGGACAGGCAGACAGGCAGACACACGCGAGTCAGTGAGGGGGAAGCGCATCACTCTGTGCTTCTTGACCCGTGGAAGCAAGTCCTCTCGGTAATAGGAGAACTGGTAGGGAGTGGGTGGGTGGGTCGACAGGCAGACAGGTAGACAGGCACATGCGAGTCGGTGAGGGGGAAGCGCATCACCCGGTGCTTCTTCACCCGCGGGAGCAAGTCCTCTCGGTAGTAGGAGAACTGGGAGCGGGAGGGGTTGGGCAGGCAGACAGGTAGGCAGGCACACGCGAGTCGGTAAGGGGAAAGCGCATCACTCTGTGCTTCTTGACTCGTGGCAGCAAGTCCTCTCTATAGTAAGAGAACTGGCAGGGAGGGCTGGAGTGAAGGGTGGGGCTAAACAATCAGTGGTTAATCAACCAAGGAGGCAGGCATCCATCAATGCAGCCAGCCACACAAGAGTCGGTGAGATGACTTTTGAGTTGCCTCAAAAGTCACCTCGGTAAACAGTCAGTTGTTAATAAACCAGGGAGGCAGGCATCCATCAATGCAGCCAGCCACACGAGAGTCGGTGAGAAGGAAGCGCATGAGTCTATGCTTCTTGACTCGCGGGAGCGCTCCCTCTCAGTAGCATTGAGTGTACACAAGGGCGAGGACAGCTTACCGGCGACCAGGAGACGGGGAACTTCTCGAGGGGCTCGATGTGCTGCACACGCTTGGGCAGCTGGCGCACACACTTGGGTCGCAAGGAGATGAGCAAAGATGGTTCAATCCACGAATGTGAGAGTGCACAGGGTAAGAGTGCTTACCGGCGACCACGAGACTGGGAACTTCTTGAGAGGTTCAATGTGCTGCACTCGCTTGGGCAGCTGGCGCACACAGTTGGGTCGCAAGGAGATGAGCACGAGTGGATCAACAGGGCAAGACATCTTACCGGCGATTAGGAGACTGGGAACTTCTCGAGTGGCTCAATGTGCTGCACACGCTTGGGTAGCTGGCGCACACACTTGGGGTTGCAGAGAGATGAGCAAAGATGGTTCCACAGGGTAAGAGTGCACAGGGTAAGAGTGCTTACCGGAGACCACGAGACTGGGAACTTCTCGAGAGCCTCGATGTGCTGCACATGCTTGGGTAGCTGGCGCACACACTTGGGTTGCAGAGAGATGAGCACGAGTGGATCAACAGGGCAAGACATCTTACCGGCGACCACGAGACGGGGAACTTCTCGAGGGGCTCGATGTGTTGCACGCGCTTGGGCAGCTGGCGCACAATGCGAATGTCCTTCTTGAGGGAGTTGATGAAATGATCCAAGTCAAATATGTCCTCAAATTCACTGCAATGGGAGGGGTGCATAGGTGTGCAGAGGGGTGCAAAGGGGTGCAAGAGGGGCGGAAAGAAAGGTGCACAATGCGAATGTCCTTCTTGAGGGAGTTGATGAAATGATCCAAGTCAAATATGTCCTCAAACTCGCTGGAGGTTGGCGGAGAGGGAGAGGGGTGCAGACGGGTGCAGAGGGGTGAGTGGTGTGCAGAGGGGTGGGGCAGAGAGGGGTACAATTCGAATGTCCTTCTTGAGCGAGGCGATGAGATGATCCAAGACAAATATGTCTTCAAACGAGCTGTATGGGGAGGGAGAGGGGTGCAGAGAGGCGCACGATTCGGATGCAAGGCGTGGGATGGCCATAGGGAAACCGATGATCATCAAGTAACCAGATGGACCAGCGAGGGGGACGGAAGGGACTGACCTGGGGTCGGCCCAAAAGGAGGTGTGGTCGAGCTCTGGCACCACGAGGGTGACATTCATGATGTGTGCCACAGCCGTTTTGAGATGTTTCAAAAACAGTTCACTATCACAAAAAGCCACTGACCTGGGGTCCGCCCAGAAGGAGGTGTGGTCGAGCTCTGGCACCACGAGGGTGACATTCATGATGCGTGCTACAGCCACCATGTCACAGATCTGAGGAGGGGTGAGGGGAGAGGGGAGGGGCGAGAAGCAAGTGCATGGCATGTCTGTCACAAGGGAAGCACGAGGGTGACATTCATGATGCGTGCCACAGCCACCATGTCACAGATCTGAGGAGGGGTGAGGGGAGAGGGGAGGGGCGAGAAGCAAGTGCATGGCATGTCTGTCACAAGGGAAACACGAGGGTGACATTCATGATGCGTGCCACAGCCACCATGTCACAGATCTGTGAGGGGTTAGGAGGGAATATGGGGTGGGGGGGTGGGGAGAGAAGGAGAGCATGATGAGATGCAGTGCCCCTCACAAGGGAGCCACGAGGGTGACATTCATGATCCATGCTGCAGACACCAATATTGTTCTGGATTCCGCCTGTTTGATTTTCTCCAATATCTCTCTGTTCTTCGCATTGCAGGCCCTTCCATCAACTTTCCCCCCTCACCCTCCACATCCTCACATTCACACCCCACTCTCACAGCCCCACACTCGCATCCCCACACTCACATCCCCACACAGACAGCCCCACACTCGCAGCCCCACACAGCCCCGCACCCAACCACAGAACCACACTCAAACCCCTATCACAGCTCTGCATTCAGAACACCTCTCACTCACAGCAGCTCTCATCTGGTTGAGGCCCCCATTGGCTGTGACCAGCAGATAGCCGTTGGTGGAGCCCTTGACAGGCACTGGGGGAGCGGGTAGGACGGGGGGAGGGCGGAAGGGCGGGAGGGCGGGAGGTAGGGGGGTGGGGGGAAGCGGGCGGGGGAGGAAGGGCAGGGGCAAAGGGGGGAATCCATTGGCTGTGATCAGCAGATAGCAGTTGAAAGGCACTGGGGGAGAGGAAAGGGGGGGAAGGGAGGGGAAGGGAGGGGGAAGGGAGAAACGGGGAGTGGTGGAGGCACAATCAAGGTAAAAATACTCATTATACGCCAGGAACGGGAGTAACACATGCGAGTGAGAGAACGAACCGGAAAATGGGTGCAGGTAGGGGGGTAGCAGAGCACGGGGTGGAGAGGGGTTGGGGCGGGTTGAAGGTGGTAGAGTGAATTCAAAATCTTGTGCTGCAGAATGAGTCTTAATGAGACTCAATCCTGTGAATCGATAGCAACACGCCTTTCCAGGCTCTCACGAATCTCTATTTCAGGCTTGAGCTGATATATTCAACTTCAACAACCATCCTCCCCTTCCCACCTTCCACTTATCTTCCCTCTTGCGTCCGTTCCCTCTTCCCTTCCCTCCTCCCTACCATCCTCCCTTCCATCTCCCCTCCCTCTTCCCTTCCCCCTTCTTTTCTCATTTTCCCCTTCCCTCTTCCCAACCCTTCCTCTCCCCATCCCTCTGTCACATACCTTTATGGGTGCGGGAGCGCGCAATGCACTGCGCATATTTTTGACTCTTGGGGGCTCTCCAAAGGAATTTTTCTTTAAAGGGTATGGGGGGCGCGTGGGAGAGAGAGGCGTTGAATCCGAATGGGGGCAGAGGAACCGAAGAGGAAGACTGGGAGTAATCATTGAGAGGGGAAAGTGGGGAGACTAGGGAGGAGGTGAGCGAGGACGAGGAGGAGGAGGAAGAGGAGGAGAATGGGGTTCTGTTCTCTTCATTCCCATCTTCATGCCTCCCCTCGTCTGTATGATGCTCGTGCCCCCCTCGTTCTTCGTCCCCGTATTCCTGGTCCTCCATCCCTCTATGCCCATGCTCCTTCGTCTCTTCATGCTCCTTCGCCCCATCCTCATGCTCCCTCGCCCCCTCTGCATGCCGACCCTTGTCTGTATGATGCTCGTGCCCCCCTCGTTCCTCATCCCCGTATTCCTGGTCCTCCATTCCTCTATGTCCACGCTCCTTCCCCTCCTCCTCATGCTCCCTCGCCTCCTCCTCATGCTCCCTCGCCCCCTCCTCATGCTCCCTCGCCCCGTCGTCATGCTCCCTCGCCCCATCGTCATGCTCCCTCGCTCCATCCTCATGCTCCTCTCCTGCTGCCCTCTGCTCACCATCCTCCTCCCCTTCCTCTCGCCCATGCACTTGTCCCTCGTGCTCCTCATGCTCCACGTCCCCTTTCCCCTCTTCCGCCACCTCGCCAGTAATACGGCCCCTTTTTCTTCTAGACCCCCTTCCCCCCTCCACCTCCCCTTCACCCTCCGCACCTTCATCCTCTTCATCTTTCCGCTTCCTCCCTGCACCCACCCCTGGTCTTTCCTCCTCTCCACGTTCCTTCACTCCCCTGTGCGCCCCCTCTTCCTCATCCTCACCAACTGAATTATCCCGCGTAGCTCGGACCCTGCTTATTTTCCCCACTCCCACTGCTTCTTCCTCCTCCTCCTCCTCATTCCCAAACGTCCTCAGTACCTCACCACTTCCCCCACCTCCACCTCTTCCACTCTCTCTCCGGCCCGCTCGCGTCTCCTCCTCAGCACCATCCCCCTCACTCCCCCCTCCCCTGTACTTGTCCTCTCCATCACTATCCCCGCTCCCTGCCCCGCCACTGCTCCCCCTCCCCTCCTCTTCCAAACCACTTCTTCTTTCGGCCTTCAACAGACCATCTCCAAATCCCCTCCTCGACAGGCCATTCACTTCACCCGAGCCAGAACCCACTTCCGAACCGAATACAGAACCCAATTCCGAACTTAATTGCGAACCCCCATTTACCCTGGTGACACGGCGCCTCTCATTTGCACTCTCCGCAATTCCAGCCGTGTGTGCTGGATCCTCGATCAATCCAATATCATCGCCGGAACCCGCAATAAACACTCCGGCGGCGTGGCCACCTCTTAGGTTCCGGCTCGCGAATAAGGCGTGCTGCGCGCCGCCGTTTCCGTTCACGATTTCGCCCGCAGGCACGATCTTCCCCTGATGGAATTGAATTGGTGAGAAGTGTACGAAGAATGAACAAATGAACAGAAAAGAACGCAATTGAGTTGTCCGTGGTGTACGATTTCGCCCGCAGGCACGATCTTCCCCTGATGGAATTTAAATGGTGACAAGTGTACGAAGAATGAACAAATGAACACAAAAGAACGCAATTGAGTTGTCCGTGGTGTACGATTTCGCCCGCAGGCACGATCTTCCCCTGATGCAATAAAAAAAGGTGACAAGTGCACGGAAAATGAACACAAATGAACGCAATTAAGTTGTCCGAGGTGTGTGATTGTCGAACGGAGGGGATTATAGGAACGGAACAACACTCGTGGCGCGTTCCTGCAGCATTGAGCACATGAGCTGTCAAATCAACGTCGTACTCGGCGGCAGTTGAGCATGTCGCGTTTTGATAACAATTGAACGGGCCTAACGGCAAAACTGTGTTGCCCGATTGACCTAAGCTTCGTTTGTTCCAACCACGAGCCATTCCGAGCCGAAGTAGCAAGCACGCACGCACGTAGCGGCGACTCTGATCGAAGCTTCCCAAACATGAACGTACCTCGCTGGAAAACGGTTCTAAATCGACTCCATGGACGAAACGGCCACCATTAGAGCTCCGCCGATGGAAAAACCGATTCGAGGGATTAAGGGTATTCTGTTGCGTCTGAAAACGCGTACCTTGTTTGTTACAGCAGCATGTTAACCATTTCAACAAGCCGGCAATCATCTTCATGAAATCGTCGAGCAGACGGAACGTAGATGCAACGAGTTCGGAATGTTAGGCGCGGTTTGAATCGCGGACGTACCTTGTTAAGTGCAGGAATTGACTTGAAAGAGACGGCAACCATCATAATCCCGGCGAACAGGAGAAACATGGACGCGCGGAAACTCAGCGGAACCACTCTCTTCCCCTCGTAAGTCTTCCCCCTGAGCCACCTGCTGCCGTCCACATGCGCCTTCCGCACCGATCGCTTCCCCTCTCCCGCTTCCGCTCCCCCGATCACTGTTCCCCCCATCACCAATCCCCCGACGGCCATCACCGGATTGTGAGCATTGCCAGTCTTAGGCGCAGCTGCAGGTCTACACGAAATCGACTGATCGCCTGGAAGTCTGTCGTTACACGGAGCTGCGTGTAACGGGGATGATTCGTAACTGTGTGGAGCAGCAGAATTAGGATCTGTCATATGGTGGTGGAGGTGAAGGAGGTTGTTGTGCGGAGCGGCGTGTAGATGCACGTTGACGGCCGGCTGTTCCGCCATTGCCACCGCTAATATAGCGTACGTACCACTTATTCAACAGCGCTGTAACACACCGCCTATATAACACACGCACTTCCAATCTCGATAGATGCGAGAGTAGATGGAAAACCGTAAACGACGTCTAACGAGCAGCTAGACGGAAATCATGCAAGGAATTGGCATTGATTTGATTGTTAGTTTTCGGAAAATAGTCAAGCTGTGCGGCATTCTTCAAGTGCGTATATGGTCCAGTCAGTAGCTGTAATCGTTTCCGTGACATGGACAGAAAACGTTCAGTGCGCCTAGGGAGGAAAGAGAACAGCCATGAGTGACCCAAACTATGTCACTAAAGTCTCGCATCGCATCTGATGACAAAGCACAGATGCATGCACAATAACCCCGAACAGTACAGATAAAACTTTGAAACGAGAGTGTGCGGCGGACTGGCCATGTGAAAGGCAGGTATGGAAAAAGTACAGACGGAGCAGAACTGAACTGGGTGAATGGTGATGGTGCACTGCACAGGGAGTGAAGTTGACAGGCTCTGATGAAAGTTGAGAAATGGGAGATCGGCGCAATTGCTGCAAATCGGCAGTCTCAAGGAGTGACTGTCAGCCTGTCACAAGGGTCTATTGCGTTTCTGTGCGTTTTAGCGAGGTATTAAGCGTTTCCGAGGCAGAGCGAGCTTTGGAAGAGGTTGGGGAGAACCAAGATGGCCCAGCGAAAGTCTCAGGCTGCCTTACGACTTCTGTCTTCCAACCGACCAATGAAACACAGGAAGCTCTTGTGGAGAAGGCGAGGTCAATACAGCCTTGGGAGGTTCGCGCCACGTCAGGGGGGTACTCCTTCCGATCAGGACTAAACTCGTGGTGCACCAAACCGAACTTGCTGTCGCACGAGTCACAAAACCTGACTGGGCGACGACACATGCGACGAATGTGTCCACTCCACACATCCCTCGCATTCGGATGGCCATCGCGAACGCTGAGACACCGTTGGATTGGCTGGAACAGTCAAAAGGGTTCCGCCGAATCTCCTGGGCCGTCGCTTTGGTTCGGAAGGTGCTAGCCGAACGAAGTCTCCTCTTGGGATTTGGCGGGGACGCAGGCGGTCTGTGCTGTGCAAGGCGGGAAGTCTGGTGAAGGTTGCTGCATGCTGCTTGTATCGATGCGAACCGCCTTTGAGCATGGAGTAGAGTTCACATATTTCATAAACCAATCATATACCGGTATGCACTAGCTATGCAGAATTTGTTGTGGTATTTTCCAGAATACCATCGGGGCCTGCTTGAACCAGAATGAGTGCTAGAATGTTGTGTCCCTCCTTTGTTCCTTTACACATTGGAATGAGTGCCAGTATATGGTGTCCCTCCTGTGTCCCTTTTTACATTGGTGGCCTAATCAGTTCGTATTACTAGCAAATGTACGTATATCACCTTATCGAAGAGCCAAAAGGCAATTCTTTTTCCAATCTGTAAGCCATGGTCCTAAAACATCTGCCAGCCAAATCTCAGGCCAGCTCAAGGTCACACTAACGTTGCCTTTGCCAATGCCAATTTGCAGTTGGCATAGGCAGCCGAACCCAGGTATCAGTGGCTATCACCAACCAAATGCAGTCGAAAGTCAGTCAGAAGCTTCTTAATAGTCAGTCTTCAGGAGGAGGGGGCGCAGTGACTGGCATTCTAAGCTTCCAGCCCGGTTGGATGATGAAAAGATCGTCGTCAATGGGAGTGTCGAATTTCGCCTTTTTGAAGTAATGCCGATTCTCGTTCACGATGTCTGGTGTGGAGGGGAGCAGTGGGAGAGGGATGAAGAGGGGGGAGGGGGAAGGAGAGGAGGAAGTTTAGAGTGTGCTGGCAGGAATGAGAATGGGGCAGAATGAGAAGCAACCAGAAAAGAGGGTAAGGGAGTTGTTGTGTGTGTGTGTGGGGGGGAGAGGGTTCTCATTAAATTGCAAGAAACTCAACCTCAGCAACAAAGGCCCCAAATCACCTCAACTCACAAAGTTCGAGTTAAAAAGCACAGCTGATGCCCCATAGGTGTCACACCAGGACCTTTCCAGTCGGTCCCTCTGCCTGTCAGCTCAGCTGCCTACAATACCCCCCAAACACAGCTGCCCAGTCTAAAACCTTACCCACCTTTCCAGTCGGTCCCTGTGTCTGTCAGCTCAGCTACCTACAATACCCCCCACACACAGCTACCCAGTCTAAAACCTTACCCACCTTTCCAGTTGGTCCCTGCGCCAGTCAGCTGACGGCTGATGCCCAACAGGCAGTCACCCTTCTTCACTGTCGTCGCCACGGTCTGTTTTCGAGTCAACCACACAACTTGACCTTCTTCCTCACACCCTACCCGCCTTTCCGGTTGGTCCCTGTGCCAGTCAGCTGTCGGCTGATGCCCCACAAGCACCCTATTTCAAGCCGTTTTCCAAACTGAAACCTGCTCTTGACCTCCTCACACCCTACTCACCCTTCCAGTTGGTCCCTGTGCCAGTCAGCTGTCGGCTGATGCCCCACAGGCAGTCACCCTTCTTCACTGTTGTCGCCACCGTCACCGTTTTGCGCTTGCCTATGCGGGGAACCTGGTAGGGAGAGTAGCAGGGGACAGAGTCACAACGTACTGGTTAAGAGAAAGAACTCGGGGAGGTTACCAGAAAGTGGAGTGGTCGAAAAGAAACAACCCTTCGTGGTTACCAGAAAATGCATGGTGGTTACCAAACAGTGCATGGTGGTTACCAAACAGTGCATGGTGGTTACCAAACAGTGCATGGTGTTTACCAGAGTGCACGTGTGGAGATCATTGCGAGGAGGCATGGCTCGTGGGTCTTCGCCAATGCGGTCCTGACACCCCTCGTACACATCTGAAGCACCGTAGGATATGATGGCAAGAGGGAGAGAGGGAAGGGGGAGAGAGGGAAGGGGGAGAGAGGGAAGGAGGGGGACGGGTTGGGGTGTGGGATTTGAGCCGACTTGAAACCCACCAGAAATCAATCATTAATTATCAAAGGTGGGTACGCGGCCATTGCGTGGAATCGCTCCACATGGCCTTGCTCCACGACCACAGCGTCGACTTGATTGGACGGATACACGCGAGTGACAGGACGGGATGCCATCTAGTGTAACAGCAAGAGCAAATGCAACCTAAATAAAAACGATTGGACGTACGCGGCCATTGCATGGGATCGCTCCACATTGCCTTGCTGCATGACCACAGCGTCGACTCTGACTGGAGGAGCACGCGGAAGCGACAGAAATGCAATTCATCTAATGTACAAAAAGTGAACAATGGATGATTCCGTACGGCCCTTGGCAGGGGAAAGCATACGTACGCGGCCATTGCATGGGATCGCTCCACATAGCCTTGCTCCACGACCACAGCGTCGACTTGGCGGGACCGAGTCCAAAATTCCCCTGCTGGTGCCCTCCCATGCCGAACCTAAACACGCCGTCGCCTTGTTGCTGCTGCTGCTGTGGCTGCTGCTGACGTGGCTGTGGTTGCTGCTGTGACTGGAGGTGCTGACGCTGGTGCTGTTGGTACTGGGGGTGCTGCTGCCACGACCACTGGTGTTGCTGCTGCTGCTGCTGCTGCTGCTGTTGTGGTTGGTACTGCGCTGGTTGGATGAACGCTTGGGTTTGCTGTGTTTGAAACGCCGTATGCTGCGGCGGCGCATGCGGTTGGTTTGAGTGCTGTTGGAACACGGTTGTGGATGCGGAGGCGAGTGTACGGTTAGGATTGTGGTGGTGAGCTGTTGGATCGTATCGACCGTCGGATCCGCGCGGAGTTTGCCGTTGCCGCGTGCGGATGAACAGCGGCCGGTGCCGCGGCGTGAGATCGCCGAGACCTGATCCGCTCGACGCCGTCGCGCCGCTTTGAAACGGAAGCATTGCGTCACCTTACGTTTACAACCAGGCTTCAACTAGCAAGGGATCACAAAAGATCAGTTAGTGTTAGCAGTTTGTTTACAAGTCATTAGTGGGTGATCAACGTCTAGACTAAACTTGTTCTTCGAAAAACTGCCAGCGATCGACGATCCGCAAAGGACAGCAACTACTGAAAGCGGATCGACATGAACCACAGGAGCCGCACCGATTGAGCTTTGATGCACGGAAACTAAGGAAGCAAGATTCTCGCAAAAAAGGCGCAAAAATGACGTAAAATGACGCAGGTCTGTTTGCCAGACCAGGTGCTTACCCCTCTTCTGCCCCGATTTGCTCCGCGCCTGTACGGTGGCGCAGAAATGGCGCGAAAACATCTATATTTCAGCACTTCAAAACCTGAACATGTTGTTCTCAGAGGCTTGGCGCAGGTAAGGGTCTGCCGTGCCTGACTGACTTCTAGGGTGTGCTTCAGACGTTCTGCCGAGGCTGGGTCATTGGCCAATTGGGGAGGTTTTGGAGCAGGCCAGCTGAACGCCTGACTCGCCTTGTTTTACCGCTTTGCAAACCCCCAAGAACATGGAACAGCTAGCCATGAAGCTTACGAAAATCCAATTGCGATTCTGTACTCCAATTACGAATCAGTTAATAAACCTACAAAATGTAAATATCGACCATTTTACTTCGCCATGTCCGAGGAGCGTCTGAGTGACGCCACGCGGAAACCTAGTATCGTTCTTATCTCAGTATTCCAGCACCCCGCCGTATCCGCTCACTTCTTCCCAGCACCCCAGCGGCGTTCCAGCTCTGCTACTGCTACTGCTACTTGAAATACATCGTTTTTTCTTGCCTATGGTGACAGAAACTGATGGAGGTATCCGTGTTTCAGCAATGGGACCGCGTCATAGCACACTTCGTAAGAACGATATGAAAACAAATCCAGAAACAAATCCAGAAACACAAATCCAGAAACAAACAAATAGACCGCGCAAACACATCCAGAAAAACAAATCCAGAAATTTTCAGCAATGGACCGCGTCGCTGCACTATGATGTTACGGGAGCTCATTCTGATCAGTTTTCGAAACTTTTCTCGGCATGGCAGGACCTTGACTGTTTCTACGCACAGGTGGAGCAGCGGAGACGGCCGGAGCTGAAGGACAGGCCTCTAGGCGTCACGCAGGTGAATGTCAGGACCAATAACAAGTCTCTTTTCTTTTTAGTTGACAGTATCCCTTTCACAATCACGTTTTGGATAACGTTTTGGTAATTTCTTACAGCAGCCTTGTACATGCGGCCTTGTAGTGATGAGTAACAATATAAAACAGACCAATAAAATGCTTTTGCATGGCAGAAATTTCTGGTGGTGACTGCCAATTATGCTGCTCGAGCACGAGGAGTTCCCAAGATGGTCTCTATTGATGATGCGCGAACTAGGCAAGTATGACTCGGGGAAAAAGGTGGTGATTATTTTCAGGCTGTGATCATGTTCAGGCGGGGTGTGTGTGGTGCAGGTGGGATGGGTATAGTGAAAGCAGGTGATTACTGATTGGTCAGCATACGTCAGAGTCAGGAATTTTGTGGAGAATCATTATTGATAGGTGCTTGGGTATGCAACATGCAAGCGATGGGGGTGTGGTAACCACACGTGTCATGTCATGTCCGCTGGCCCTGCGTTTTCAGGTGTCCAGAAATCGTGCTGGTAAATGGGGAGGACCTCACGCCCTACAGGGCAGCCAGCAAGAAAATCTTTGCTGTCCTCGCTCGTTTCGGAACCCTCGAAAGGTGCTCACTTTCTCTCCTCATGCTAGTCGCGCTAGTGGAATGAGTAATTTTTCTTCTGTTTCTGTCACATTCAGTCCCTTCTTGCTTCCTCCCCGAGTTTCTTCCTTCCTCTTGGCCCGCCTCCCCACTCGTTTCCTCTCTCTTCCTCCCTTCTCCCCCGTCTCTCCTCCAACCCCTCTCATATCTCGTGCATCATGTGTTTTGATAATAATTTCCACCCACGTGGCAGGCTCGGATTGGATGAGGCTTTTGTGGACCTATCGCCTCAAGTGGCTGCCATGGTGGCAGCAGGAAGCTTCAAGGAAGGCTTCCTTGGGCATGTGGAGAGGGGTGCAGCAACAGGAGGAGGAAAAGGAGGAGCAAGTGAGACTGATAGGGAAGGCGCACGAGGAAGTGAGGAGAATGGTCATGATGGTCGTTGCCTGTTTCTGGGGCCAGGAGAGTGCCACCTGGCAGCAGGCAGTTGGCTGGCTGGCCAGGCAAGGCGAGCAGTGGAGCAGGAAACCGGGTACCAAATGTCATGTGGGGTGTCGCATAATGTGAGTGAGTGGCGTGTCACACAATGTGACGGGAGTGTCTTTGATTTCTCTGGTCTTCCGTACGATTGTCTCTTGTTTGTTACGTCTTCTCACAACGTCCCTTCTCTCTCATCTTGCCCTTTCCAACCCTACTTCCCTGAGTATCCTAGCCGAGCTTGACTTTTGAGGCGCCTCAAGAGTCGTCTCACGCCTTCCATTCCCTTCTCTCTTGCTTGCCCTTTCCAACCCTGCTTCCCAGAAAATGCTAGCCAAGCTTGTGAGCTCGCGCCACAAGCCCAATGACCAGACGACACTTGTCGCGTCCGCAGCCGTCGATTTCATCTCCAATCTGCCCGTCCGGAAGGTGCCAGGTGTCGGCAGGCGATTGGAGGAGCAGCTTGCCTCCAGGGGTGTGACTGTAATGAAGGACCTTCTCGCCTTCACCCTTCCAGACCTCCAGTTGTGGTAAAGCACCCTTGTGTGTGTGTGTGCGCGCGCGCGCGCGCGCGCTGGGTGATAGGCTCGTGGATTGACGCGCTATGTTGGTGCGCTAATCCGACACCCCAGATGGATATGCTAGGTTTTGGTTTCAGTGCCACCTTCTTCTTGTTGCTTTGAAGAATTCTCACGTTTCAAAAGCTGCATGCACATTCTTCAATGGCCCCTTTTTGTGGTCGCATGGATGTGTGTATACATGTGGGTGGGCTTTTTGTGGTTGTTTGTGTGTGGGAGCGTGGGGACTGTGTGGGAGTGTTGTGTGTGTGTGTGTGTGTGTGTGTGGTGTGTGTGTGTGTGTGTGTGCGTGCATGTGTGTGTATGTGTGTGTGTGTGTGTGTGTGCGTGTGTGTGTGTGTGTGTGTGTTTGTGCGTGTGTGCAAAAGTGCATGTGTGTGTGTGTGCATGCCTGCATATGTACCTGCTTGTGTCTGAGCGTGAATCCATGCGTATGTGTGTAATTGTCCTGTTTGTTCTCCTCCACTAGGCTCGGCCCGAAGCTAGCGCCATTCCTCTTTGGTGCGCGCCGAGCCTACAACCCTACGCCTGTGACAAACAAGGGACCAGCCAAGAGCGTATCAGTAGAGGACTCCTTCCCTCCCATCCACTCCCTCGCACAGGCTAAGGTGTGTAGACTGGATGTCTAGATGTTGCGATGTCTTTAGAGTGAAGGCCAAAACCGCAAACTTTTAAAGGCAGGAAAGCTTGCTTCATGACTTGCTAGATTGTAATTCAGGCAGTCAACGCTTTTCCCTTCTCCTCGCTCCATGACTATGCACACACCAGCCCATATTGCAAAGCTTGCTACATGACCTGCTGTCTTCGTGTTTAACTCAAACGGTCGCTGGTTTTCCCTTCGCCTTTCCCCTCCTTTCCCCTCCTTCTCCTCCTGTCCCTTCCTGTCCCCTCTACCTCTGTACGCATCAGCCCATTGTGCAAAGCTTGCTACCTGACCTGCTCTCCCGCATGGATGAGGAGTGGGAGGAGACCAGGAGACGACCAAAGACGTTCACTGTCAAATGGAGGAAGAAAGAGAAGGAGTACAGGTGAGGGAACTGTTGAGTGAAGGGGTATATGAGGCGTAGTTGATTCCTGTATGTGGGCTAGAAGGAGGAGAGTGGGAGGAGACGAGAAGACGACCACAGTCGTTCACAGCCAAATGGTGGAAGGGAGAGAAGGAGTACAGGTGAGGGAACTGTTGAGTGAAGGTGTTTAGGAGGTCCACTTGTAATGCAAAATCTTTGACTCACTAAGGCAAAAAAAAGAAAAACGAATAAAGAAAAAGAAGAATAAGAAAGCCCCTTCTTCTCTTCCCGTGTCTCTATCGTGACCGAATTCAACCCTGCGGGTTCACCTCTGCCTCGTGCCCCATGCCTGTGCAAACGGTTTCCCCCGCTCCCCTCGCCCTGTGTCTCCTCCCCTCTGATCACCACTCGCCCTACAGGTTCACCTCTGCCTCTGGCCCCATGCCTTCCCAAGCTCTCTTCCCTACCACCCCACCCGCCGTCCGCGTCTCCTCTCTCCTCCACCTCGCCTCCTCCCTCCTCTCCCGCGCCTTCCCTCCTCCTGCAACGGCAGCAGCCAGCTCTAGTGCAGAAGCGAGTTGTGATGCTTTAGCGCCTCCTCGAGATTCCGCATTCCAGCTCCCCCCAGTGATGGTGATTAACGTGGGTGCCACAAACTTCGTCTCCTCATCCGGGTCTCAGCAGTCTCTGTTCGGGCAGCCAGGGAGTGCTGCTGCTGGTGCTGGGGGCCTGCAACGGTGGCTGAAACCACACAGAACAGACACTGGGAATGCTGGTGCAGGGAGGCAGATGGTACTTGGAGAAAGGGAGCAGAGGGATGGGAGATGGGAGGAAGATGAGATGAGAGGGAGGGACTTTATAGCACGTGGAGAAAGTGGGTGCTTGCAGGTGCTGCCACCAGAGAAGGATGCTGCTGGGAGTATGTATCGGTGGGTGAAGCCACAAGGAGGAGATGTACGGGAAAGCAAGCGGAGAGATGGGAGGTGGGAGGAAGATGAGATGAGGGAGAAAGATGGGATAGCACGTGGAGAGAGTGGTTGCTCTCAGGTGCTGCTATCGAGGAGGGATGCTGCTGCTGGGAGGGATGCTGCTGCTGGGAGGGGTGCTGCTGCTGGGAGGGGTGCTGCTTCTGGGAGGGATGCTGCTGCTGGGAGGGGTGCTGCTGGTGGGAGTATGGATCGGTGGGTGAAGCCACGAGTTGGGGGTGGAGGGCACAGTTTACAGCGGGAAAGGAAGCGGAGTGGTGGGAGCGAGGAGGAAGACGAGATGAAAGGGAAGAATGTGATACTCGGTGTCGAGAATGGATGCTCTCAGGTGCTCCCACGGAGGAAGGCTGGGGGTGGATGCTTTGAGAATTCTTTAAAGAATGCTGGGAGTGGGTGCTTGGATCGGTGGCTGGGACCCATGGGAGGTTCAAGGGGGATGAAAGAAGAGGGGGAATTGGTGGTGCAGGGAGGGGTGGCGAAGACTGATATTGTTGCGGTGGAAGAGAAGGTTAGGGATGGAGAGGGGGAGGAGGCAAGGGATGGTGATGAGGAGCAATGCTCTGCTCTGGTGATGCAGAATGGTGGGAGTGTTGCAGAAGTGTATCGAGACTTGATTGTTGTCGAGGAGGGACAAGTAGGTTCGTGTCAGCCTGCAGATGTCGACCTTGGTGCGGAATGTGCAACCACTTGTGACATTGCTTGTGCGACCGCACGTGACACGTGGACGTCAAATGGTGCAGATTGCGCCGTGTGGAGGTGCGACGAGTGTGGGAAGCAGATTCACGTGGAGCGGGTGGAGGAGCACTTGGACTATCATTTTGCTTTGAAGCTGGAAGCAGAGGAGCATGGTGACGCCAAGAGCTCAACATTAGCTCGCCCTTCGAAGAGGGTTTTGGCAAGTACCGAAAGCAAGCACACTCAAGCAAAAAAGTGTTCTAAATTTGAAAGGAAGATTGTGGGTGGCTCTAGAAAGGGAAAGGCAGACCGTAATGGCACTTTGGATGGTTTTGTGTCCCGCCAAAGTGCTTAGATGAATGAGCATTGTAGTTGCTAGATTCTATTTTCGTGTTGAGGGTTCCTTTGCACACATCCCACAACATGCCATGTTTCCAAGTTTTGTAGTTGATAATGATGTCTTTACTCGTATCGAAACCGTACTATTGCAGCATCAGATTTTGCGCGAACGAGTTGCCAAATCAGCGATTCCAGCCAGCGTCAGCAAAGGCCTATGGCCAATTAGCTGGCAGCACGCGGTACTGGTTTGCGTGGAACACCCCCTTCACCCAGAACCTGGGTCGGGGCTCGGATGGGATGTCGCCGTGCCGTGCGTGCGCACGACTTCCGTGAGCAATGAGGAACGTGGGGACGTCGCTCCCTGGGAAATGCAACATTGCGTCTTGAAATTGGCGCGACTCGACTGGAGCATCCTCCAATCACAGCGTTACGTCCCATCGGTTCTTGATCCTCCCACGAACCGCTCTTTCACCCCACCACCCCGCTCTCGGGAGAACAGGGGCCCCTCGATGATTGCGCGCCGCAAAAAAAGGCGCACCCATAACCGCCTTGGGAAGTGCTGCACTTCCGCCGGTTCCGAAAATTTCCTCCTCGCCTCCCCCCCTCCTCCCTCTCTCGGGGGCCTGGAGCGCCTTCCGCTGCGCCTACCGTGTGAAGTAAGGTGTGCTTTCCGCGTCTGTCGTCATCCGCGTTGGAGGAACCCACCAACCCCCACGAGCGAGGCAAGTGGCTCCGCGAGACGCGCTTCCTCAAGCTCCCCCCAGCAGCACCCCCCTTTGCGCAACCCTCCCTCCTTGCTCCTCTCACTTCATCCCGTGTTCTCCTATCAGCCATTTGAAATACATAAAAGAACCCGAGAGTCCAGTACGGAAACGCGCATTGCTCTTTCTTTACGTCTCCAATCATTGTTTGACGTTTTCGATACTCTCAGTTATTCCTGCACGCGTACCACTCTACGCAACCCAAGTACTTGCCTCTCTCCGACATCCAATCGCGCCTCGCCCAATCCTTCGGAGAAATCAAAGACTCTTTCCGGAGTTACCCTTTTCGGTCCGGACACGCAAGTCGAACCTCAGCCATGGATCAGATGTTCGGATGCCTCCAGGTGGACCAATCAACGGTCGCGATGGTCGAGCATTTCGGGCGGTTCGTCCGCGCGCTCGACCCGGGCTGCTACTGCGTCCCCTGGTGCTGCTGCTACCGCACTGCGGGGCTCATGAGTCTTCGCATCAGTCAACTCGACGTGCGCTGCGAGACTAAAACGAAGGACAACGTGTTTGTGACTGTCATCGCGTCAATTCAGTATCAAGCCATCCGCGAGCAAGTCGAAGACGCGTTCTACCGCCTCGCCGACCCGCAGGCGCAAATCCGCTCCTACGTCTTCGACGGTACGTGCACGACATTGCGCCTTGCATTTCCCTGTCTTGCTTCTCCCCAATTCCTCTTCCCCGCTCTCCCCCACGTACCCCTCCCTCTTTCTCCCTCCTCTTCCCTCTCCCCTCCTCTTCCCGGTCTCTCATGTTTTTTATTTGTTCCTTCCTTCCCTTCCCTTCCTTTCCTCTTTTTCTTTCTCTTATTTCTTGTTTCCTTCCTTCACTTTCCTTCTCTTTTTTCCCTTCTCTCTTGTTCCCTTCCTGCGTATCATGACCTCGGCGGTGCCAGTTTTTATTTCTCCAAAAGAACAAGTTTCGCGCCAAACCGGCTCTGCGACTCCTCTACGAGCCAGAAATGCGCAGTGCGAGTGAAGATGGAACTGTACGAAGTGTTCATATCCCATCTTCCCGTCCCCTCAATCCCCCCTCCCTCTCCTTCCCTCTGCTTGCCACTTCCTTCCCGCCACACGCCCTATTCGTTTCGTTCGTCTCCTCGCAGTCGTGCGAAGCAGCGTGCCCAAGATGGAACTGGACGAGGTGTTTATATCCAAGAACGAGATCGCGCAGAACGTGGAACAAGAGCTCGAAAAGGTAAGTAGGGTCTTTGTTAGTGCCGCAACAAACCCATTAGTGAGCAGCAGTGTGCGGAAGATGGGACGAGGTGTTCATCTCCAAGAACGAGATCGCGCAGAACGTGGAAGAGGAGCTTGAAAAGGTATGTCGGGTGGATATGAACGTGGAAAAGGAGCTCGAAAAGGTAAGTCGGGTGGATATGAACGTGGAAAAGGAGCTCGAAAAGGTTTGGCACATGCTTCACGCTTTCCGCCCCATGCCACTTGTCACTTCCACGTGCCCCTTGCCCCATGCCACGTGCCCTTTGCCACATGCCACATGCCACATGGCACCTGCCATATGCCCCACGCTCCAGGCCCCCATGCCCCAATCCCCTTGCTTTATGCCCGTACGTTTCAATTTCCAATGCCCCCGTGACCTCAGGCCACGCACGACTATGGCTACCGTGTCGTGCAGACGCTGATAGTGATACTAACAACAACCCAATGTTGTGAACCCATCCCCTATGCCCCCATTCCCTATGCCCCCATTCCCTATGCCCCCATTCCCTATGCCCCCATTCCCTATGCCCCCATTCCCCATGCCCCCATCCCCTATGCCCCCATGCCTTATGGCCCCGTGTCCTTCACTTCAGGCGATGCACGACTTTGGCTATCGCATCGTGCAGACGCTGATTATGCAAATTCTGCTCATATCCCATGCCCTCTCATGCCCTGTTTCCCTTCACTTCAGGCCATGCACGACTACGGCTATCGCATCGTGCAGACGCTGATAGTTGACGTGGAGCCGGACGAGCGAGTCAAGGCCGCCATGAACGAGATCAACGCAGGTCAGTGAAAGTCAACGCAGGACAGTGAAAGTCAACGCAGGTATATGAAAGTAAATGCAGGTCACAACGTGCAATGGAAGTCAAACAACGCGGGTTGACAGGCAACGCAGGTCAGTGCAATTGATTGCAAGTCAATGCAATTCAGGAATAGTCAATTCTGGCAATAGAACTCGATGCACACAGTGAGCGCAGGTTAGTGAAAGTCAATGTGACCCTGCCCTCCCAACTCGGCCTGCCACTCACAAGCCTTCCCCCCTCCCCTCTTCTCCCCCCTGCTCTCCCCCACTCCCCGCGCAGCCCAGCGCATTCGGCAGGCAACACAGGAGAAGGCGGAGGCGGAGAAGACTCTTCAGGTCAAGAAAGCACCGCTCACCCTCTCTTCCCCCACCCACCTCCACCCCTCTCCGCCACTCCCCGCGCAGCCCAGCGCATTCGGCAGGCAACACAGGAGAAGGCGGAGGCGGAGAAGATCTTGCAGGTCAAGAAGGCGGAGGGAGACGCCGAGGCTAAGTACCTTGCTGGCGTGGGTGTGGCTCGGCAGCGACAGGTACGGTAGCGGATCAACGGCGGATGGGTACCCATCTACATTCTCCCTACACCCCTTTGCAATCCTTTCTAACTCCTACGTTCGTTTTTAAATCCTACACATTCTCTTGAACCAAACTTTTCACACATACCTTGGGCCTCCTTATTAACCCTTCAAATTTCTTTCACACTCCCCTGAACTCATCTGCACCTCCACCCATCTGCACCTCCCCTCCACCCATCTGCACCTCCCCTCCACCCATCTGTACCTCCCCTCCACCCATCTGTACCTCCCCTCCACCCATCTGTACCTCCCCTCAACCTATCTGTACCTCCCCTAACCCATCTGCACCTCCCCTCAACCCATCTGCACCTCCTCTCAACCCATCTGCACTTCCTCTCAACCCATCTGCACCTCCCCTCAACCCATCTGCACCTCCCCTCAACCCATCTGCACGTCCCTCAACCCATCTGCATCTCCATGGCAGGCCATTGTGGATGGACTGCGGGAGAGTGTTATGGGATTCTCCTCGCAGGTTCCTGGAACCAGCGCCAAGGACGTGCTTGATATGGTAAGATAAGGGACGAGGAGTTGCGTTGACTGGGGTTGACCTGCATTGACTTGAACTCAACCCCTGAAGCATGTATAGTGAAATAGATAGATTCGCTCACAAATATCCACTCTATAGTCGGATACCATCTTCCTACTTCATTGGCTCCATGTTCTTTGTTCCTTTCTTGCTTGTAGCTTTACTCATCCCTCCTGCATCACCCTCAAATCCCCCTCTTTATGCACTTCAACCTATTTCCCCGTTACTATTTTCCAGGTAATGCTGACTCAGTACTTTGACACAATGAGGGACATAGGAGCCAACAACAAGTCTTCCACTATTTTCATTCCACATGGACCAGGAAATGTGGGAGATATTTCTGCACAAATTAGGGATGGCCTCACTCAAAGTATTGTGGCGTCTAAGAACGTGTAGTTTGCTGCAGTTTCCAAGCCTACCTCTAGCGTGCATCGCCTGTTGTGATTTTTTGGGTGCCCTTTGTATCTATTACCTTGTGGAATAAATTCGTTTTCTTTAGCCTTGTCGTCTCTTCTATTTGCATTATCTTTAGCTAAATGGGACTTCGAGCAAGCATGTAAACTTCCCATTGCGGAATAACACGCTGTAATATTCAAGCACCCTTGCATTGCGATCAAACCTTACTTCCCAACCCATACCCACTCTGCCCCATTTGTTTAACCCATACCCACTCACTTGTCCTCGCATGGTAATCAGAAGGCCTTCAATTGTAATATTGTGTATTTAGAGGATATTTAGTGAGATCCAGTACTGAAACGGTTTTTACATTTCACCGATCTAGACCATTGACCGGCAGTCTTGTAACAGTTGTGTTGTATTCGTTTTTGCGCTCTTCGTTTTCTATCATTACATCACGTCCACCAGACTGTAAGCAGAACAGCTTGCGTGCTGACTGTCTACTACGGAAATTGCAGAATGCCGGCTCTTCTCTCATTCGCGGAAACCGAGTGGACAGCACTTATTCCCATCAACATCGAATCTTCCTTGAATCTCTTTGACCTCAGGCCACCGCCGCAACCCAACACTTCCTTGCCCCCTCCCCTCCCCTCCTCACATCACACACACCACCTCTTGTTCTGGTCGGGTCGGGTCCCGCTCGACTGGACCACCTCCTCCCGACCCCCGCCAGCCCCATTCCTCCCTTCCCTTCCCGTCCCACTCGTTCACCCATCTCGCGTTGCGTTGCGACGACAATACAACCCCAAAAATTTTGCGTGCGACACACCCGGCTGCCCGTTCGATCGAGCCGTTGCACCATTTCGCAACTGGTCGGGTTTGGGTTGGGTGGGGAGTGTGTCGTCACAGCAGCCAATCAGCGTCCCCGCTTCATCCCAAGTGGAATGATGTAACGACGACATGCCAGGCTGGTTTGCCTTGGTCCAGGGAAGTCACAGAACTCCAAGAAGATCGTTGTCATACGCATTGTGACCAATAAACGTTACTGTACGTGGGTGCCCTAGCGTCACGGCTCAAGTCCCAAATTAGATAAACACCACCCAGGAACATAAGGTTTTTGATATAATGAATCAGATACAATTAAAAATCCTGGAAACATACATTAGCATGGCAGAGCTCCTACAGCAGCACCTTGCTACACTCCCCACCATGCTGTTGCTAATTTCGTACAGACCCTCGCAGCTTCAGCTCCGGGGCATTCTATGGTTAGAATAGCACGAGCACATCTAAAGTGGATGCAAACACTTCTCTACAGAAGAGCAAGCCCCCCCGCAAGGGAGACACCACCATACGCATCTCAGGAGTAGGCGAATGTGACGTTATCAAGGGTGTGAGGTCGGTTTGCTAGTTGGTCGAGGTCACGAACAATCCGGAATACTGCGTCGGGTCGGGCTAATCGGTGAGCATTCGTTGCCATCCGCTTCAATTGATCCGCCTTGGGTCCAAACCAGTCGGCCACTATTTGGGCAATCTTTTGGGGATTCTCCTCAAACAACCCAGCCCCGTTCTTGACAACGAAAGGAACATTGCCAGCCTCCTGTAACAAAGAACAAGGAACAGAGAAGAGAGAAGGTGAGCAGGCTGTACAAAGAGGCAGCTAATCAAGCAGCAAATACATGCACAATGAATGAGGCACTGATGGAAAGAGGAATTTGAAGGTAAACTGACCTGGCCAGCAATGAAGCCATTCAAAATCATGGGTAGGCCTTTAATCATCGACTCTGCAATGGTGCCAGGACCGGCCTGTACAGAAAACAAGGGGAGAGATGGCAAATGGAGGGAGTGACAGGATGAGTTTAACGCTAGAAATAGATCAACACAGATGCTAACATGAGAGCAGAGTGAGCAAGAAGCATATTAGCAGCTCCAGTGTAACACTTTTACACACCTTGCTGATGACGCAGTCTGAAGCTGCCATGACTTCGGGAATGTTGGTAACCACACCCTTGATCTGCGTCGGCATGGGCCACGTCATGGCCTCTAAAGTCGCCTGGAGCTGCTTATTTCGCCCGCAAATAATAATCAGCTGCCCCTTCGCTCTCCCCCCTGGTGTTTCCGGCGCCAGTGTTTTCGCCAGGGCCCTCGCGGTCACCTCAACTGGCCCCATGCCTTCGCCTCCGCCAATCAGCAGCACAGCTGGCAGCTCCGGATCCATTCCCAACGATTGCCGAACTTCGGCCTGGGGCGCCGAAGGCTTGGCGAAGGCAGGGCGGATGGGGAGCCCGTGCACTCTGATTTGCGAGGGCTGGAGTCCGGCTTTAAGTGCTTGTTGCGCGACTTCCTTTGTCGGGCAGAAACAAACGCTGACTTTTCGGCTGAACCACGTCGGATGGCAGGTGGTGAGATCGGTGACAACAGTGATGAACGGGATGCGGTGTAGAAGGCCCCTCGATTTAAGCACACGCAGCGGAACGTGCTGCATCAACGGGTGCACGCTTACAATCACGTCCGGCTTGAATTTATCCAACCCCTTCGACATTGACCGCGCAACGAACGCAAACGTCGCCGCCATCTGCGGCTTGTGCACGAACTTGAGTTTCGTCCCATAGTAGGCCATTTTCCAGAGCGTCTCGTGTCGCACGAGGAAGTTATAGCTCTTGGGGAGTTGGTTAAACGGCCATGGCGTGTGATCCGTCCAAAAGTCGACGACGTTGACGTCATACTTATCGCCAAATTCCATCTCGAACGTTGATTTCAGGGCCTCCGCGCTCGCGCGATGGCCCCCGCCAGTGTCACTCATCAATATAAGCACGCGCTTTCGCCGTGCGGGGTCCTGCACCTTGCGCTTCCATTCCGCCATAGCCATCGCGCGCGCCGCGTGCTCCACGGCGGATTTCGCCGGGCGACCCCGCAGGCGACTGTGAAGAGGACCGCGACTGCCCTTGCGACGACCTGCGAAACCGGGGCGATACAAGGCAGAAGAGAAGTCTAATAAGGCTCTGCGACAGAAGTTGTAGGGCTGCGGGGAGTGGGTGCATGTATGGGGGGAAAGGTGTCGACAGAATTCAACCCTAGGATTGTTCGGCAGTCTCCCATGCCAACAGGCTTTCTGGCTTTCTTCACTGCACCCCCTCTTCCGCTTCCCCTCCCCTCACCTTTGAGCGAGGCGCCCTTTTTGCCCTCCGCATTGCACTTGGCGTAACCGTGGCTGCGCGGGTTGCGCCACAGAAACTGCTCCTTCACGGGCGCGGGGGGAGGGTGCGCATCTCCCGCCAGCACGGGCGGGAGCGGAATGAACGAGCTGGGGGAAGGGAAGGCGGAAGACGACGATGAATCCCCCTCTGCTTGCTCCTCCCCGTCTCCCGCCTCCATCTCCGCCTCCCTTTCCCCCTCCACCTCCCCCTCTCCCTCCGCCTCCGCCTCTCCCTCCCCCTCCCCCTGTGCCTCACTATAATCTCCTCCATCTCTCGTTTCCGCCAATCTCAACCCCTCACTCCCATCAACCTCGAGCATCACCCTTGCCGGAAGTTCTTCCGTAATATCCGCTCCCCTTCGACTCAATAGAATCTGTACTTCGGACGAGACTTCCTGGGGCTCTAGCTCTGCCGAACCTGAATTCCCAGACCTAGAACCTGCCGAGCCTGCGTCAGATCCCGACGTTGAACAGGGCCCCGATTGCGAATCTGCTGCGATGTTGTAACCCGACTCTGCGAAAATCGCCCTTGCGAACTCACTACCGAAGAACGACTTTGGCCCGCTTCGTTGCTCGATAGAGCTTGCTGGTTTAAGGCTGACGGTCTGGAAGGGAAACGGGAGGAGAATCGGAAAGCAGAACATTGAGACGCTTAAGCGAAGCTGCACAGATATATACCCAAACCAGCGACAATCAGGATCAATACAGAAAACAATCAGACCGACGCGGTAAATGGGAAGGGACGGGGCTGAGGGGGGGACAGATTCGATGTGAGCACCTCCGCGCACTTACATGGTGTGCAGACGGGATGGCGTTGAATGAAAAGGCGACCATGGTGAAGCCGATAACGATGAGAAACACGGACGCGCGGAAACTCAACAGCGCCACGCGCCGCCCTTCTTGCCATTTTCGCGAAAACCATTTACTCGCTTCTGGTATCGAACTCGGCGTTAGTAACCCCCGGGCTTTCCCCGATTGTAGCTTCCTCGCTTGCCGTTTACAGTCAGGTGTTACTGGGCTTTCGGGACATGGTAGTAGCGGCGTCAGGTTATCAGGAGATTTCGTCATCGGCCCGGGGCTCTGCCGACATGTCATAAAGAAAACGGCTTTTGGGGTGTCTCTGTCGCACGGTTTCGCACACGCGGGTAACTTTTCGTACGCGGGGAGTTCGGCGAGCGGCGAGCGTTCTGGAGTATGGTAGTGGCGATGAGTGAGGAAGGTAGGAGGAGACGCCTGCAAGTGTATGTTCACGGATGGGTGATCGACCATAACTCCGTGGCCGCTACGACGAGACTCGACAGTTAAGAACGCACGGGATGAATCGAGCTATGAAGGAGATAAGCGGCTGGCGGAATGCTGGGCGCGAGAAAAAAGAGGGGAAATGCAACTGGCGGGGCCGAGCTCTTTCGCGTCTTGATTGTTTCCCTTTTTCAACTTTAGTTTGCCTGAAGGAAGGCTGCTGCTGATAGTAGCTCTTGTGCGGTTCAATTCGGCTGTGACAGAAGCGGTGCTGATTTCCTAACGACACGGACCAATCTTATTCTACATCCATAGTCGAGCCAACCTCTGCAAACATTGGTCTATGTCCCTCCTGCCATCGATTCCAAGCGACAGTATCCCACCGAACTGCCGACGAGCAACTAACCAGACACAGACATGAAAGCTAGACAAAGCAGCCACCGCTCCAATCCCACGACAACTAGCTTTCCGCGTGAAAAATGGAAAAAGATCGGTCTGCTTCGCTTCCCTCTCCGCACCCTAGGCAGAAGTGCTGGCGGTCTTGTTTGTGTTCGTTTCCCAACTCTCGCACTCAGTCGCTCGTTCCTGCGCTTTCACTCGCAATCCGTCGCATGGTGTCGCAGGTGCCGGATGGGGTGGGGCGAAATGGAAAGCGCGTGGAGGGGAGGAACCCGGAGGTCCAGCCATCCACTAGGGACGTTCGCATCGATTTCTTTTGTTCTGTTCCGTACCGCTGCCCGCGCCAAGTTTCTCCCCTCGAGTCGCGTCGCCCAACCTCACACCCTACCGTGTACAGTAGCCCCGTTTTTTTCATGTTGCCCCTCCTCCAGGCCACGCCTGCCCTCAGCTCCGCCCGAAAGTAACCCCGCAACCCCCCGCACGCCTGTTTTGTGCGGAAACCAGCTGCGCCATGGGATCTAATGCGGAGAAACGAATTGATAGGTTGATGGATGTGTGGAGTCAACCTGGCGGACTTGCGGGCGGGGAAACCACAGTTTGACTGCATGACAGCGCTGCTGGTGGCGGAAGCACAAGCGGAGATTGCACTGTAGTGTAGCTCGACAACCGTACCTGTCACCGAATTTTGAACCTCGTACCGAACCGAGCTAGGCTGGTGGTGGTGACATGCCAAGGACGTGGGGGGGCTACGCGAGAACACTAGGGAGGCAAGACGATGCCGCCTTGAGACGGAGCACAAGTTTTACCGGGCCGCGTGGGGCGAGAAGGTTCGGGAGAGGCGAAGCAAACCACGGCCCAGCCGAAAATATTCCAAAGCTAGTGACAGGTTGTGCCCCATTGGATACGTAAACCAAACCTTAGAGCTACTGTTTACAAGTCGCTTTGCGGGGCTACTCACGATGGATGTGACACGGCCGCTCGCCGCTTCGTGGGTGTTTTGGGAGTCGCGGATTCTTGATGGGAATGGCGGGAACCAATAACAACCGTTTCGTGGCAATCAAACAACGGTAGGCTCTCCACCATGGCGTTTCCGACACCTATGCCCCACCGAACCTACGGCTTTGCCGTACATTCTGAAGTACCCGTTACTAGTCGGAGAATGCCATCAGCTTTCAACCAGTACTAGGAATAATGAGTATCGAATACGTGACTCACAAGGTTATACGCGATAATTTACACACCAGTACAGATCTAATTGATCACCGAGTTCCACTGGAAGAAAGCAACTGTTACAAACAATCTATTATGTCAGTAAGGTTAACCACCACTTGCACAATAACATTAGCCCTATTTTCGTTGCAGCTTTTTTTTTCTCTTCAAAACGACTACCTATCGTAGAAACAAAAAAATTTGTTGGCCTATGTTTTCTGGAATGATAATTTAGAGCGGTAAAATGGGCAGATTGACAAAACAATTATGAGTGTAGAAAACGCGTAACTGCTTTAGCTTTCTGACGGAAACCATATTACAAGATGAGCAGAAGACCCCATCGCGCAGCCGCCACGTGCCACAATCAGCGGCCAACTATTCCTCCATCGTGCAACGCTTCACTTGGCCAACCCTCGGCAGAACCCAACCGACCCAGCATGACTCTATGTTGACACGCAAGCACAACTCAGCCCACTAGCCCTGTAGTGCAGAATATGTGATTATGTGGGATGAATCCATTACGCTCTGCCCGGACATCAGGAAGGAATGCGAGAGAATGAGAGATTTACTTGAGCTGAGAATGAGAGATTTGCTTGAAGAGCTCAAGTAAATCTTTCTTGCTCAACCGTACGACGCGACGCCATTGATGAGTTGAGAATGAGAGATTTACTTGAGCTGTGAGATGCCGAGTATCTCAATTGCTTGGCGGAAGTGACTTGACCAAAAACATGAATCGCTTGCATCACTTACGTTCACGAGTCAAGCTGGAATTCGCTGTTGGCACCATCAATCCGCAGTGCAATTCTCACATCGCGCAAACGTGGCGCCTGCCATCCGTATGATGCATCTTCTTGCCGTAATGCTCTCTTTGGCGCGGCTCGAGTCGCCAAAGACGCGTCCAGGGAAATGGGCCGCGGCTGAGTCGATTCTTGGATCGTCGCGGAAAAAACAGCAAGATTGCGATTTTCGCTCCGTATGCCCAATCTTTAATATTCCTGCGACACGCGCTAGAAACAAGCAACCATTCAAGTTGAGGTTTCACATATGTACCTGAACACACATGCGTTGCCGCATCCTTCCCTTTTTCAGCGCCACGCACGAAAAAAATATTATCCGAAATTGCTTCCCATGGCTGCTTTTGAATCATTCTGGTTGAATTCCACACCCTGCACGCGCCTCCTCCTCCTCCTTTTCCTGTCTCTCCTCTTCCCTCCCTCAACGCTCTCTGCACGCCACCTCTTTCCTCAAGCCACCAGCGAGGTTCTTCCGCAAGTCGCCACCACCCTTCCGCAAGCCGACGCCACCCTTCCGCAAGCCGGCGCCACCATTCCGCAAGCTGGCGCCACCCTTCCGCAAGCCGCCAAGGTTCTCCCCCAAGCAACCGAGGTGGACGCCGTGCGCAGGTTCCTCCTAGCGGCGGGCGTCACCAACCCCGTCCCGGGCGCTCCGGCGAGCGCGTGCGGCGTCGCCGGCATCGGCTGCGACGCCAACGACTTCGTCACGTCGCTCAACTTCTCCCCGTGCTCCGCCTTTCCGATTCTCCTCACCGGCTCCATTTCGACCGACATCAGGAGTCTCGTGCACCTCACGCACGTCGACTTTTCGTGCAATGACCTGGGGGGGTCTCTGCCGACGGTTCTTGGACTGCTGACAAATTTGCGGCGGGTGAACATGAGCGAAAACCGGCAACTTTGGGGGAGCATTCCCGCCTCGATTTTTGCGCTAAAGTCGCTTTCGGTGATGGATTTTCGCGGAGCGGATTTGCAAGGCACTCTTCCGTCCGCGTCGAACGCGTTTTCAACGGCGCTTAGGCACGTGGACCTATCATACAACCGGCTGTACAACCCGATTCCATCGTCGATTTCTCGTTCGTTCCGTCTGGAGCGGCTGGATCTAAGCTTCAACAACCTCAACGGCTACATACCGAAGCAGCTGAGTAACCTCAACCGGCTCACTTATCTTAGTCTGCGCTGGAACAAGCTCACCGGAAATGTTCCGACGGAGATATCCAGGGCGGCGCGGCTGGAAAGGCTGCACTTGGAGGGAAATAGGCTGACGGGAACGCTTCCCTCCCAATTGAACCGGCTTTTGTATTTGGACCACCTGAGCCTTAGTTATAATTACTTGTCTGGTGGTGTCCACCCTGCGATTTTTCGCATGTCTGCTCTGCGGAGGTTGGATCTTCGTCGTAACTCCTTCAATGGGACGATCCCGATTTGGAGATCGGGTTACCAGATGAACTCGCTCGAGCATCTTGACCTCGCGAAGAATCGTTTCAATGGAACCGTTCCTCCTGGGCTTGATGGTGTTCTGAGCCTCACCCATCTGGATCTGAGCGAAAACAAGTTTTATGGCTCGATTCCGTCGCGTTTGGGCAGATTGACGGCCCTCCAGTTCCTGAATCTCGAACGGAACCAACTGACCGGAAAGCTTCCGGGGTATTTCAGTTCCCTTCGCAACCTTCGCTCACTTTCAGTCGCGCACAACAAACTGACTGGCGTCCGTCCCAACTTCCAGCTCAACGGACATGAGTCGCCTCGAAATGTTTTGGATCTGAGTTACAACAACTTGGGTGGATACCTGTTTCGTTACTCGTATCTGGCGAGGGTTGCGAATCTCGACCTTTCGCACAACCGATTGACGGGGGGCGTACCTGTCGGGTTTCTGACTGGATCGACGGTTCTCAAGCGAGTCAACATCAGCTGGAACTACATCCAAGGCACCCTATATCCGTTCACTCGCCTGACCAATCTCGCTTCCCTGGATGCGTCGCACAACAGACTACATGGGTCAATTCCGTCGGGGCTTGTATCGCTTGCTCATCTTTCACACCTCAATGTGCACGACAACGACATTGTTGACAAGCTGCCCGATGCCGCCTTTGGAAACACCGCTCTACGCTTCATCGACATCAGCTACAACGAGATCAACAGTGAGTACCTCCTATTACCTGTTCAGGCTTGTTATCCTTTGCTCATGTAAGTAACTTTAGAAGTTGAGGTGAGAGAAGTTGAGGCGAGGACCCCGGAGAATTTCACCATATTCTATAATTTCTTGTACCACCCCTCCCTCTTTCACATACTACCAGGTACCCTTCCAGAATTTGTGGAATGCCCACGATCGATCTACCTTGGTGGAAACCACCTCTCTGGCTCCATCCCAGCCTCTATATCCTCCTGTGGTGCCTCCCTTGTCAAACTTGACCTTGCTAATAATCGCATTGACGGAACACTTCCAGGCACAGCCCTTGGTGAACTCTCATATCTCAGTTACTTTAACCTTCCTAGAAACCGTTTCACGGGCAGCATACCTGAAGAATTGACTGGGTTGCGTGCTCTGACCTTTCTCAATCTGGCCTGGAACCGGCTCACGGGCAGCATTCCGGAATCCTTGGGAGATTCTGCCAATGGTGGTGCAAAACTTGAGATCGTTCGACTGGCGGGTAACGATTTGGAAGGCTCTGTTCCAGGCCAGCTTTCAGAGTTTCCTGTGTGGTCGTTTCTGCCTGGCAATCAAAATTTGTGTGGCCACCCTGTGGGCAGCTGCTGAAAGGCTTCATGTACTGGAAGCTGACAACACAAAAATAGCTAGAGTACACATGGTAGGGAGGAATGTGCGCATACTTCTAGGTTAATGGTCCACACATCAATCTGTAGAATGTCTATTAGCGGTTATATCCAGGGAATGGATATTAGGTGCATTTCTAGGATACACCCAGCTGGTTTGGCATCAGTTCCTTCATGTTGTATAGTAGACATGTGTGGTGGACGGGTACTGCATGCTGGGTGAATGGATGTATTGGTTTGGGCATAGTGAGTAGGAATAGTCGTACCAATGGGAGATAAACTTTGCTTGTGTATTTATAGTATGGAAATATTAGTGCCACCTCTAGAAGATGTATCAGATTGCAACATTCCTTCGTGTACATTTTTCATTCTCGTACCAACTTATGTGTGATACTCTATCATTGAACTGTGCCCGTTGATGTGTGAGGTTGGAAAACCTCCTCACTCCCTGTAGCCCTACTCTACCAAACTCTTGACAACATACGGTAATCCTTGTTGGAAAAGTCCTTTAGACACCATAGTTTCGGTCACAGCCCAATCAAGATGCTTTTATCTCTCAGTAAGTGAAAACAGCGGAATGAGTAGGATTGATAGGGTTGGGGTACACATGCCTAACCCTAACTGCTTGTACCCCATATAGCATGACCCACAACAGGGTATAACATTTGACACACCCCCATAGCCTAAGTGGGGAATGCCAAGCAACAAGAAACGCAACCTAAGGTCACAAGACCAGTCACAAACAAAAGACAAAACAAAGCTCAGGGTGGATCACAACGTCACCACACAGTCTGAGCGCAAACAGCGGCCACAAGGCCAGTTCAAGAGTGTATATGCAGATATATACTGTACAAGCAAAGACAAGAGACAAGCACTCACTACTGCAGTCTACTCGACCCAGTCTCAACGAGGCCCAACTGCAGACAGAACCGACGGTGGTCACAAGGCTGAAGAGCCTTGGTGAAGATGTCTGCAGTGTTGGCCTCGGAGGCCACGAAGTCCAGACGAGCCTGCCCGCGTCTCTGCAACTCTCGAAGGAGGAAGTACCTGACGTCGATGTGCTTCACTCTGCTCTCCAGTCGAGGCTCACGACACAGGAGAATCATCGCCCTGTTGTCAGCAAACAGGGTCGGTGCAGAGCTCGGCCGCTCACCAAGGTCAGTGAGCAAAAAGGTCAACCAGCGTAGCTCCTGAGCAGCAAGGGCCCCAGCGTAGATCTCGGCCTCTGCGGTAGAAGTCGCAACCGAGGAGGACCGAGTAGACCTCCACGAACAGCTCCAGAACCCAGGCTGAAACAGTAACCCTGCGTAGACCTCTGAGTCTCAACGTCGTCGGCGTAGGAGGAGTCGCAGTGACCGGTGAGTACAACTGGCTGTGTCCCTCCAAGTACAAGCCCCATGCCTGATGTCGCGCCAAGGTACTTCGCCACCCTCTTAGCCGCCGCCCAGTGAACAGGACGGTGTCTCCCAGTCGCAACAAAGCGAGACAGGATGCTAAGAGGGAAGGCGAGGTCCGGGCGAGTGCACGTCATCAGGTACATGAGGCAGCCCACCAGCTCTGCGTAGGGACCACTGGGCTCGAACGGCTCGTCAGGAAAAGGCCCAGTGAGTCTGTGGTCTACAGCAAGAGGAGTGGGTGTAGGAGAGGAGTCCTGAAGCCCGAACCGCTGAAGGACCTGCTGCACCATGTGTGACTGAGTCAGAGTGATGGTGCGAGCGGCTCTGTCCCTGGAGATCTGCAGGCCAAGGTAGCGGCGCAGTTCTCCAAGGTCAGTGCACGTGTGTCTCTTCTGCAGTTCGGACTTCACCTCCGCCAGTGCAGCTGTGTCGGCTGTGGCAAAAACCAAGTCGTCAACGTAGACCAGAACGAAGAAAGGTGTGCGCCTACGATGAACAAACAGCGACGGGTCGGCGGAAGACGGCTCAAACCCGAGGTCGGAGAGAGTAGAGCGAAGAGTGTCGTGCCACTCACGGGGTGCCTGGCGGAGACCGTAGACCGGTCGTCTGAGGCTCCACTGGGTCCCAGGCGGGAAAGTGCCAGTGAAGCCCGGAGGACGACGCAGCCAGATCTCCTCGTGTAGGCGGCCCTGGAGGAAGGCAGTGGAGAAGTCAAGAGAGTGTAGCTCGTAGTCTCTCTGCGCTGCTACGTGCAGTAACACCCGAAGAGTGGTCATCTTCGGGGTGGGCGCGAAGGTCTGAAAGAAGTCAACTCCCTCACGCTGACTGAACCCTCTAGCCACGTAGCGTGCCTTGAAGACTGGGGGAGATCCCGGCGGCCGCTTCACCTTGAAGATCCACATGCCGTCAACGATGTTCGCCCCTGGTGGGGGAACCTCGTCAACGTAAGTGCCTGTGGACCTGTAGGAGGCCATCTCTGCGTCCATGGCAGCTCTCCACTGAGAGGCCCAAGGCCCTGACACTGCCTCAGCGTAAGTGCGAGGAGTAGGTATGTCAGGAGCGTCGGGGTCTCCCTCAGGAGTGAGCAGCATGGCACAGAGATGAGGCGAAGCAGCTGCCAGGAACTCTAGCTCAAACTGTCTGTCCTCTAGGACGTCACAGCCAAGGGCAGACTCACCCCCGGCGGACAGAGGACGGACAGGAGGAGCGGCCACAACACGAGTAGCGTAGTCAAGGCGACGCGTAGCAGTAAAGTCAGTGACAGCGGCAGTGAGGACCGCGACGGAGGAAGGGGAGGCACGAGGGTCTGTAACAAGAGAGGCGAGAACACGAGAGAGAGTGGGGCGGTACGTGCGGTAGTAGTCAGTGACCGGAGTGGACAGGGAGGCAGTGAGGGAAGACTCAGGAGGACGAGGAAGGGCCGACGGAGGAGAACGAGGAGGACTAGGACGAAACAACACGGTACGGAGGTCAGTGACAGGGGACGAGGGACGAGCACGAGGAGGACGAGAGGCCCAAGTGTGGGCGAGAGGAGTGGGGGACGGAGGAGACAGAGAACGAGGGAAGACAGCCGGAGTGGAGTCCGGAGGAGGAAACGTAGGACCGAACACAGGAGGAGAGGAGGGGAGACCAAGGGCCCGAAGGCCAGAAACAGGGGGCGGAGGCTGCTGCGGCTGCTGCTGCTGCTGCGGCTGCTGCTGCTGCTGCTGCTGCTGCTGCTGCTGCTGCTGCTGCTGCTGCTCCCGCTGCAACTCCAACCTCTCACTCTCCACCCGCTGCTGAAGCTCCAACCTCTCACGCTCCAAACGCTGCTGCTCCTCGCGCTCAAGACGAAGACGGGCCTGGTGGCGAGTCGGGTAAGGGTGAGGAGGAGGAGTAGCGTGAGGAGACGACGAAGAAGAACGTGCTCCGCCGTCGACAGCACCCGGCTGAGCACCCCCAGAGCGAGTACCCCCCGCGGCAGCACGACCTGCACCTGCAGGAGGTGTACCCGCACCCCCAGGCGTGGTGCCCCCAGTAGCACCAGCACCAGCCCCAGACTCTCCAGCTCCAGAAACACCACCAGCTCCAGCACCACCACCAGCTCCAGTACCCTCGGAACGGGCAGCTGCGGCAGGTGCACGCTCAGCGCCAGTGCCAGCACCCACAAAACTGGCCGCTCCTGTAGGTGCACGAACAGCTCCAACGCCAGCACCCCCAGAGCGAGCACCACCAGAGCCCTCACCGCTAGCACCGACACCCTCAGTGTCCGCAGTGGCCGGTGAAGGAAGCGCCGACGGCTGCTGCGGAGGCGGTGAGGACGACTGTGGGGAAGGAGGAGAGACCTGGGGGGGTACCGAGGGAGGGGGAGTAGCGTGAGACACACCAGACGGAGCGGGAACAGGGGGGGGTACCGGAGGAGCAGGGGCGGGAGGAGGAGGAGCTGGAGCCAGGAAGAGGGGAGGGGGGGGAACCGGGAGACCTCGAGAGGGGTACCTGACGTAGTAGGGGACGGACTCGTCGAAACGGACGTCACGAGAGTCAAAGAACCGGTGGGAGGGTGGGTGGTAAAAGGTGAAGTCAGAGGAGCCCTCTGGGAAACCAAGGAAGACACAGGGGACTGCACGAGGCGAGATCTTGTCCGCAGAGGTGTCGCGGACAAGAGCCAAGCAGCCCCAGACACTAAACCTCGACGCAACACCAGGGGACCCTGTCCAAAGACTGGTCGGTGAAGCCCCTGGCCGAGAGACGCGAGGCCAGAGGTTCAGCTGGTGAGCGGCGTACCGAGCCGCGTAGGGCCACAGAAAATGGGGCGCGCGGGTGTGGATTATGGAGGTGCGGGCGATCTCCATGACCAGGCCTAAGCGGCGCTCAGCAACCCCATTCTGCTGTGGAGAGTCTGGAAGAGTCCAGGACTGGGTGATGCCCTGCTCAGCACAGAATCTGGCGAGAATGCCGGAGCGAAACTCACCCCCACGGTCGGAGTGGAGACAACTGACACGACGACCACGAGTGCCCTCGGTGGCGAGCAGCCACCGGATCAGCGTAGAAGTCACGTCGGACTTCTTCGCCAAAGGGAACACGGTGGTGTACCGAGAGAAATCGTCAACGACCACCAGAAAGAAACTCTCCCGCTCAGGGCCAAGGCGGGAGGCGGGGCCCCAGACGTCTAAGTGGAGTGTCTGGAAGGGCTCGGTGGCCGGACGAAGGGAGGAGGAGTGAGGGGTGGCGCGAAGCCGACCCTGGACACAAGGACCGCACGGAGGAGCTGGGGACGGCGGGAGTGGCGGGAGGACTCGGGGGAGGCCTAAGACAAGACGCTGACTGGACATGGCGCGCAGACGAGGAAGGGACGGGTGCCCCATCCGGTGGTGCCACAGAACGGTGGGGTGGGCAAGCGACCGACACGAGCACGACGCAGCAACTACACCTGACACAGCAACCTGACTGGACCCGGCTACCTGGTGGGACGGGGGAACCTGACGGGGGTCGGTGCGGAGGGTGTACAGACCAGAGCCCGGCTCCTGGCGGAAAGTGGCCAAGGGGGCGTACGTGTCACCGTCGACGCAGACTGCGGTGTCACCAGAAGGCTCAACCCAGACACCGACGTGCTGTCTCGCCAAGGTGCCCACACCAACCAGGTTCCTAGAGAACGTAGGAACGTGGAGGCCGGTCAGGGAACCAGAAGGAGCAGCTGGGCACGGGAGAGTAGTGGCGTGAGTCGCAATGACCGGTCCCGAGGAGGGATCGGCCAGTGCTACAGGGACAGGCGCCGGTAGCGGAGAGAGAGTCGTGCAGTCGCGGAAGAAGCAGTGCGACGCTCCTGAGTCCAGTGTGAAGGAGAGAGACGTGTCCGCCGAGGGAGTACCTGTACTAGTAGCTAAGCAAGATCCTACACTAGCACCTACTCTAGCAACAGGCAAAGATCCTAAGCTAGGTACAGGCAAGTACACAGATCCAGGAGCACTATAGTCAACATCAGCATACATGGCATAAGACCTAGCATCATCCATAGTCATATCAAAAACAGCAATACCACGAGCAAGCAGCGTCCCCCAGCGTGGCGGCGGGGGAGCGGAGGGGCCGTGGTGCAAGCGGTAGAGGTCGTCGAGACGACTGAAGCAGCGTGCAGCAGAGTGGTCGGGGCGGCCACAGTACGTGTCCCTACGAGGACCCGTAAGGATCCAGTACTCACAGGGACCAACGTCGCGGCCGGCCGCGCGAGGTCCCCGACTGGAGGGGGCGCCACCGCGCCCAGTGCTCGGGGGACCCGCAGACCTCCACTGCTGCGGAGGGCCCCACTGCTGCGGAGGGCCCCACTGCTGAGGCTGCTGCTGCGGTAGGCGCTGCTGCTGGCCCTGTCGCTGCTGCTGCTGCTGTCCCTGCGGTGGCAGCTGCTGAGGAGTCGGCTGCTGCTGCTGCTGGAACCCCTCACCACCAGTGAAAACTCCACCGTCGAAAGGAGGGCCGTCAGGTCCCGAGCCACCCCCACCACCACTCCCACCACCTGCTCCACCGCCACCGCCACTACCCGCACCACCTCCAGTACCTCCGCCGCCCTTCCCGCCCTTCTTGCCGGCCTTGCCACGTTTCTGTCCGCCAGAGACAGAAACAGCCGCCGTCTCCTCAGAGGCAGAAGACGTGGGAGTGGCAAGGGAGGCAGAGAAGGTGGGAAGCTGTGGTACCGCACACCCCTCAAAAAGACGAGGAGGAGGCGCGGAAGAGGCAGAGGCAACGGTGAGGAGGTTACTCTCGATCTTCGAGAGAGCGGTCTCAAGAAGATCGATTGTAAGCTCAGTGGGGTGCTTCAGAAGAAGCGCGTCGCGGGCTGTGGCTAGGCGGTCAGGGAGGCGAGTGACTAGCCAGTGAATAGTGAGCCACATAGGGGGCGGGGCAAGGGCAAGCTGGTCCTCAGTGCAAGCAGCGCGAAAGCGAGCGTCAAGGGAGCGCAGGTGAGTAGCGAGGTCAGAGACAGTCTCAAAGGAGGCGAGGTCAGGGTAGATAAAGGGTACGAGGAGGCGACTGAGCGACGCAGAGGAGGGAGTAGAGTAGCGAGCAACAATAGCCTTATACAGATCTGCAGCAGACTCGACCTGAGCGAAGTGGACTGCCTCTGTCGGCGGGAGAAGGTCGGTCAGGGCGAGGCAGGCAGCGGCGTCACGAGACTCCCACACGTCGCGAGCGAGGAGCTGGCGCTGGTACTCGGCCTCCTGCTCAGGAGTAGGCGGTGGGGTAGTGGGCAGCGGGCTAGGCTGCTGGGGAGCGGTCTGAGTACCGGATGCGTGTGCGAACAAGTGCACGCCATCCTGCCGCTGGCTCTTAAGGTGGCGCTGCGCCTGCGTAAGCCACGTGCTAAAATCTATAGGTCGCCCTTCAGGGTCGAAACGAAGTACTCGGGAGGTCGCCATAGAGGGCGAGACTGAGAGAGCGCGGCTGCTAGCCGCGGGAGGGGGGGGACAGTCAGTAGCGAGGATGTAAGCTCGCAGGCGTGCAGGCGAGGAGGAGGCGTAGCATGTGGACAGGAGGGCTGCTCAGCTAGTGGACTGGAGGGCGGCGCGGCGGGCTGGCCTATGGGCGGCGCGGTGTGCAGGCCTACGGGCTGGACGGCGGGTCGACGGACGGGCCTGCAGGCGGCGCGACGCGCAGGCCTACGGGCGACGCGACGCGCGGGCCTGCGGGCTGGACGGCGGCTCGACGGGGGGGGCCTGCAGGCGGCGCGACGCGCAGGCCTACGGGCGACGCGACGCGCGGGCCTGCGGGCTGGACGGCGGGGCGACGGGCAGGCCTACGGGAGGCGCGACGCGCGGGCCTACGGGCGACGCGACGCGCGGGCCTGCGGGCTGGACGGCGGGGCGACGGGCAGGCCTACGGGAGGCGCGAGCGACGGGCAGGCCTACGGGAGGGTACGCTGGCGTGGGCGTTGTCGTGGCGCGGGCTAAGGCGTTTTAGGTCAAGTGTCGATCCTAGGAGGCGACCTAAGTCTAGGAACGGCGCCAATTAGGTGAGGCCTAGGAACGGCGAACCTACTGCTGATACCATCTCAGTAAGTGAAAACAGCGGAATGAGTAGGATTGATAGGGTTGGGGTACACATACCTAAACCTAACTGCTTGTACCCCATATAGCATGACCCACAACAGGGTATAACATTTGACATTATCGTACATCAATGCACGTTATTTGATCACAATTTCCTCACAACTAGAATTCTTTGTTGGCGCCATTCGAACAAAAGCCTTTTCATTTTCCTGTCTTGTCTTCTTCAAGAAATTTCTTTTGGTACTTTAAGCAAACTGTCAAATATATCGTGAACGCAAAGTACCGTATTGCTCGGTTTTAGCTTTGTAACGAAAGGTCCAGCAGTGCAGCGGCCCTGTGGTCCCAATCAGCGACTGAATTTCCCCTTGGCGGGATGTGACGTTTCACCCAACCAATGACCTGCGGAAACGGTACTGACCCAGCAGAACTCTGGAGTCTGGACGTGTACACACGTAAAACTCAGCACAGCCAGGCAAAACAAGAGCATGCGACCCACAAGCACGTCACCCGTCTGACGCGGGATGACTGCACTACGTTCTGCCCGAACTATTGCAGGTCACGGGGGAATGTGGGTATTGGAAACCTTTCTTGTTCTATTGTGAGACGCCAACCTTTGTAATCGCCCTAGAGTTGAGAGATTTGTAGTCGACATTGAGCTGAGAAATGCCGAGTGTCTCAGTTGCTAGCTTGCCCAAAACATGGATTACTTGCATCCGTAGTAGTCTGTTCACGAGTCTGCGAGTCATAGCTGGAATTCTTTGTTGGCTCCACCTCCAATACGCAGTACGATTCTCACATCGCAAACGTGGCGCCTGCCATTTCCGTATGCTTCCAGCCGCAATGCTGTCTTTGGCGCGTCTCGAGCCGCCAAAGATGTGTCCTCCAGGAAAACGGGCCGCGGTTGAGCCAATTCTTGGCTCGTGGCCGCAAATCAGCAAGATTGTGATTTTCGCTCCGTACCTTGATCCTTTGATATTCCAGCAACACGCGGTGCAAGCAAATCAGCTATTTCGAGTTGAGGTTTCACATCTTCTGTGCCAGTTAGTCCTCCGCTCGGCTGGATATTCTTACGTTGACGCACATTCCCTTTCTCAACGCTACCCGCGAAACAGAATATTCGGATTTCCTTGCGGCCATGGCTGCTTTTAAATCATTCTGGTCGGATTCAATGCCCCGCACGCGGCTCCTCCTTCTCCTCCTCCTGTCTCTCCTCTTCCCCCCCTCAACCCTCTCTGCACGCCACCTCTTTCCCCAAGCCACCAGCGAAGTTCTTCCGCAAGCCAACACCGCCCTTCCGCAAGCTGCCGACACCGCGCGTCCACAAGCCGGCGCCACACTTCCGCAAGCCGCCAAGGTTCTCCCCCAAGCAACCGAGGTGGACGCCGTGCGCAGGTTCCTCTTAGCGGCGGGCGTCACCAACCCCGTTCCGGGCGCTCCCGCGACCGCATGCAGCGTGACCGGCATCGGCTGCGACGCCAACGACTTCGTCACGTCGCTCAACTTCTCGCCGTGCTCCGCTGTGGCGCCCTACCCGACTCTCCTCAGCGGCTCAATTTCTACCGACATACGGAGCCTCGTGCATCTCACTCATGTCGACTTCTCGTGCAACAATCTGGGGGGGTCCCTGCCGACAGTTCTCGGGATGCTGGCGGATCTGCGGCACGTGAACATGAGCGGGAATAGGCAACTTTGGGGGAGCATTCCCACCTCGATTTTTGCACTGGAGTCGCTATCGGTGATGGATTTTCGCGGGGCGGATTTGCAAGGCACTCTTCCGTCCGGGTCGAACGCGTTTTCAACGGCGCTTAGGCACCTGGACCTGTCATACAACCGGCTGTACAATCCAATTCCGTCAGCGCTTTCTCGTGCGACGCGCCTGGAGCGCTTGGATTTAAGCTTCAACAATCTCAACGGCTACATACCGAAGCAGCTGAGTAACCTCAACCGGCTCACTTATCTTAATCTGCGCTGGAACAGGCTCACGGGAAGTATTCCCACGGAAATATCCGGAGCAAGACGGCTGGAACGGCTGCACTTGGAGGGAAATAGGCTGACGGGAAAGCTTCCCTATCAATTGAACCAGCTTCCGTATCTGGAGCACCTGGGCTTGAGTTATAACTACTTGTCTGGTGGTGTCCACGCTGCGATTTTTCGTTTGCCTGCTCTGCGGAGGTTGGATCTTCGTCGCAACTGGTTGAACGGGACGATTCCGAGCTCGAAATCGGGTTACCAGATAGACACGCTCGAGCATCTTGACCTCGCGAAGAATCGGTTTGACGGAAACCTGCCTGCTGCGCTTGGCGTTGTCACTGCGCTCACCCATCTCGATTTGAGCGAAAACAAGTTCTACGGTAACATTCCGTCACAGTTGGGCAATTTGACTGGCCTCCAGTTCCTGAATCTCGCACGGAACCAGCTGAGTGGTTCGCTTCCAGGGTATTTCAGTCACCTTCGCAGGCTTCGCTCGCTTTCCGTCGCACACAACAGACTCACTGGAGTGACTTCCAACTTTCAAAACAACGGAGACGAGTCGCCGCGAGTCGTTCTGGATTTGAGTTACAACCAGATTGGTGGAAGTCTGGTGCCCTTCCAGCATCTGGCGAGGGTTGCAAATCTCGACCTTTCGCACAACCGACTGACGGGGAGCATACCTGTCGGGTTTCTGACTGGATCGACGGTTCTCAAGCGAGTCAACATCAGTTCGAACTACATCAACAGCACTCTGTTTCCGTTGACCAGCCTGACGAACCTCGTTTCCCTGGATGCGTCGCACAACCGACTGCGCGGCTCAATTCCTTCGGCGCTGGTATCGCTGGCTCAGCTTTCGCTCCTCGATTTGCACGACAACGACATCGTAGACCATATTGCTGACGCCACATTCGAGAACTCCGCTTTACGCTACCTCGACATCAGCTACAACGAGATCGACAGTGAGTGCATGAGCTCAGCTCCCTATGACCTGTCCGAGCTTGTTCTGGTTTATCTTAGTTGAAAGAATCGGACTAGAATGAACGGATTTTTGACAACACCACTGTCCAGTGATGTTTATTAGCTGTCTACTTATGTCCCTCCCCTTCTTTTGCAACTCCCACCAGGTCACCTTCCTGAATTTGTGGAATGCCCAAGAGTCATCAACCTTGCTGGGAACCACCTTTCAGGCACCATCCCAGCTTCCATATCCTCCTGTAGTTCTTCTCTGGTCAAACTCGACCTCGCTAATAACCGCATCGGCGGAACACTCCCAGGTGCAGCCCTTGCTGACCTTTCCTACCTCAGCTACTTGAACCTTCCTAGAAACCGCTTCACGGGCAGCATACCTGAAGAATTAACTGGGCTGCGTGCCCTGACCTCACTCAATCTGGCCTGGAATCGGCTCACGGGAAGCATTCCGGAAGCGTTGGGAGATGCTGCTAATGGTGGTGCGAAACTCGAGATACTTCGACTGGCGGGTAACGATTTGGAGGGAACTGTTCCGCAGCAGCTTTCGGAATTTCCGGTGTGGTCGTTTCTGCCAGGAAATCAGAACTTGTGTGGTCATCCTGTGGGCAGCTGCTGAAGGGGTCATGTACTGGAGGCTGATTTGGGAAGCTGGTTTACAAATTACAACACTCTCTACGGCTAGAGTGTACAGGGTAAGGGGCAATGGTTCTCTTTTGGATTCAAAAGCAGTAAAGCACATGCTAAATAATTGCCGGCGTATACATTTTTTAGGATACACCCAGCCGGCTTGATGTACAGGTGTGGTAGATGGTTAGTTTTTTCATGTTGGGTATACACTTTACGAGCAATGAAAGTAGGATCATGTTGTACCAGTGGCTTATATTTATGTTTAGGCATTTACTAGTCTGATAGTTTTTAGGAATGTTCTATTGTATTGTCAGAATGAAGAATGGATGGTGCATTGATGTTGGTTGGGGTACATATAGCTAACCCTAAGTTTTGTACCCCCTAAGACAAACCTCACTATAGGCTACAACATTTGACACACCCCCATAGCCTAAGTGAGGGGTGTCTAGCAGAACCAAACGAGTACGGTCACAAGACCAGTCCAAGAAACAAAGCTCAGGGTGGATCACAACGTCACCACACAGTCTGAGCACAAACAACAGTGGCCACAAGGCCAGTCCAAGAAGTAACAGAGATATATAGAAAGCAAAGTAAACAGTACACTCAAGTCTAAGCAACACGAGAACCAGTGTCAACAAGGCCTAACTGCACACAGCACCTCTGGTGGTCACAAGGCGGAAGCGCCTTGGTGAAGATGTCTGCAGTGTTGGCCTCGGACTCCACAAACTCAAAGCGAGCCTGTCCACGCCTCTGCAACTCTCGCAGAAGAAAGTACCTGACGTGAATGTGCTTCACTCTGCTCTCCAGTCGTGGCTCTCGACAAAGGAGAATAGACGCCTTGTTGTCAGTGAACAAGGTCGGTGCAGAGCTCGGCCGCTCACCAAGGTCGGTGAGCAAGAAGGTCAACCAACGCAGCTCCTGTGCCGCCATGGCACCAGCGTAGATCTCAGCCTCAGCTGTAGAGGTCGAGACCGAAGAGGAGCGCGTGGACCGCCAGGAAACAGCTCCAGAACCCAGGCTGAAACAGTACCCCTGAGTAGACCTGTGAGTCTCAGCGTCGTCAGCGTAAGAGGAGTCACAGTGACCAGTAAGTACGACAGACTGCTGCCCTCCAAGAACTAGCCCCACGCCTGACGTCGTCGCTAGGTACTTCGCCACCCTCACAGCTGCTGTCCAGTGAACAGGACGGTGTCTCCCTGGCGCAACAAAGCGCGCAAGAACGCTGAGAGGGAAGGCGAGGTCCGGGCGAGTACAAGTCATCAGGTACATGAGGCAACCCACAAGCTCTGCGTAGGGACCACTAGGCTCGAACGGCTCGTCAGGAAAGGGTCCAGTGAGTCTGTGGTCAACAGCAAGAGGTGTGCGCTGTACTGTGGAGTGCTGAAGCCCGAACCGCTGAAGGACCTGCTGCACCATGTGCGACTGTGAAAGTGTAATGGTGCGAGCAGCTCTGTCCCTGGTGATCTGCAGGCCAAGGTAGTGGCGCAGCTCACCAAGATCAGTGCAGGTATGTCTCTTCTGCAGTTCGGACTTCACGTGTGCCAAAGCAACCCTGTCAGGGGTGGCGAAAACAAGGTCGTCAACGTAGACCAGAACAAAGAAAGGTGTGGGGCCACGACGAACGAACAGCGACGGGTCAGCAGAAGACGGCTGGAACCCAAGGTCAGACAGGGTAGAACGCAGGGTGTCGTGCCACTCACGAGGAGCCTGACGAAGACCGTAAACCGGTCGCCTCAGCCTCCACTGGGTCCCAGGAGGGAAAGAGCCAGTGAAGGCAGAGGGACGACGCAACCAGACCTCCTCGTGAAGACTGCCCTGAAGGAAAGCAGTAGAGAAGTCGAGAGAGTGTAACTCGTAGTCTCTCTGTGCTGCTACGTGTAGTAACACCCGAAGAGTGGTCATCTTCGGGGTGGGCGCGAAGGTCTGAAAGAAGTCAACTCCCTCGCGCTGACTGAAACCTCTAGCCACGTAGCGCGCCTTGAAGACCGGAGGAGATCCCGGTGGCCGCTTCACCCTGTAGATCCACATGCCGTCGACTACGTTCGCCCCCGGAGGGGGAACCTCATCGACGTAGGTGCCTGTGGATCTGTAGGAGGCCATCTCTGCGTCCATGGCAGCTCTCCACTGAGAGGCCCAAGGCCCTGACACTGCCTCAGCGTAAGTGCGAGGAGTCGGAATGTCAAGGGCGTCGGGGTCACCCTCAGGGGCGAGGAGCATGGCACAGAGATGAGGGGAAGCGGCGGCCAGGAACTCTAGCTCAAACTGCCTGTCCTCTAGGGCGTCACAGCCAAGGGCAGACACACCCCCGACGGCCAGAGGACTGGAAGGAGGAGCAGCCACAAGAGCGGTGGCGAAGTCAAGGCGGCGGGTAGAGGCAAACTCAGTGACTGCGGCAGTAAGAGCGGACACAGAGGACAGAGAGGCACGAGGGTGGGTAACAAGAGAGGCGAGAACACGAGAGAGAACAGGACGGTACGTGCGGTAGTAGTCAGTGACAGGAGAAGGAAGCGACACAGTGAGGGCCGACTCAGGAGGAGACGGAAGCACAGACGGAGACGGACGAGGTGGACGAGAACAAAGGAAGGCTGTACGAAGGTCAGTGAAGGGAACAGGAGACGAGGGACGAGCACGAGGGGAGCGACGAGAGGCCCAAGTCTGAGAAGGAGGAGGAGACAACGAAGACTGAGAACGAGGGAAAACAGCGGGAGAGGGGTCAGGAGGAGGAAGCGGAGGACCAGAGACGGGAGGAGAGGGGGAGGAGGAAGGAGAGGGAGACGGGAGACCAAGGGTCCGAAGACCCGAGACAGGAGGAGGAGACGGCAGCAGCTGCTGCTGCTGCTGCTGCGGCTGCTGCTGCTCCAGCGGCTGCTGCCCCTGCTGCTGCTCCTGCTGCTGCTCCTGCTGCTGTCGCTCCTGCTCCTCGAGCCGCTGCAACTCTCTCTCCTCTCTCTCCAACTCCAGCTGCTCCTCACGAGCACGACGAACACGAGCCTGGAACCTGGTCGGGTAGGGGTGGGGGGAAGGAGTAGTGTCCGGGGCAGCGGCAGCCCCAGAGTCGACCTCCGAAGCACCAAGCACACCACCCCCAGAGGCAGCACCAACACCAGCTCCAGACCCAGGCCCTCCAGAAACCGAAGGGACACCCTCACCCCCAGACGCAGCACCCCCAGACTCCGCACGACCAGTACCAGCCCCCGGAAGACAAGAGTCCTCTGCAACCCGCGGCTCAGCTCCAACTCCAGCACCCCCAGAACCAGAGACCTGTACAGGGACAGTCGCCGGACCAACCTCTCGAGAGGGAGCACCTGCAGGAGGCGGCGAGGAAGACTGTGGGGAGGGAGGCTGTACAGGGGGGGCTACCGAAGGGGGAGGGCTAGCCTGAGACACACCAGACGGGGCTGGACCAGGGGGGGGAGGCTGTACCGGGGGAGCAGGCGGGGGAGCGGCTGTCAGGAAGAGGGGGGGAGGAGGAACCGGGAGACCTCGACTGGGGTACCTGACGTAGTAGGGGGTGGACTCCTCGAAACGGACGTCACGGGAGTCAAAGAACCGGTGAGAGGGAGGGTGGTAAAAGGTGAAGTCAGAGGAGTCCTCAGGGAAACCAAGGAAGACACAAGGAACGGCGCGAGGCGAGAGCTTGTCCGCGGAGGTGTCGCGGACAAGAGCCAAGCACCCCCAGACACGAAACCTCGACGCGACACCAGGGGACCCTGTCCAAAGACTGGTCGGTGAAGCCTCCGGCCGAGAGACGCGTGGCCAGAGGTTCAGCTCGTGTGCGGCGTACCTGACTGCGTATGGCCACAGGAAATGGGGGGCACGGGCGTGAGTCAAGGAGGTGCGGGCAATCTCCATGACCAGGCCTATGCGACGCTCAGCAACCCCATTCTGCTGTGGGGACTCCGGAAGCGTCCAGGACTGACGAATGCCCTGTTCGCGACAGAATCCAGCGAGAATGCCGGAGCGAAACTCGCCCCCGCGGTCGGAGTGGAGACAGCTGACACGACGACCACGAGTGTCCTGGGTGGTAAGCAACCACCTGATCAGCGTAGAAGTCACCTCAGACTTCCTCGCCAGGGGGAACACTGTGGTGTAGCGGGAGTAGTCGTCAACGACCACCAAAAAGAAACGCTCACGCTCAGGGCCAGGGCGAGGAGAGGGGCCCCAGACGTCCAAGTGCAGCGTCTCAAAAGGCTCGGTGGCCGGACGAAGGGAGGAGGAGTGAGGGGTGGCACGCAGCCTACCCTCGACGCAAGGACCGCACGGTGGTGCAAGAGACGGCGGCAGCGACGGCAAGACACGCGGGAGACCTAAGACCAGACGCTGACTAGACATAGCACGCAGACGTGGAAGAGAAGGGTGTCCCAGCCGGTGGTGCCACAGAACGGTGGGGTGGGCAAGCGACCGACAGGAGCAAGACGCAGCGACTGGACTGGACGCGACAACCTGAGGGGACGGAACCACCTGGTGAGACGCAGGGAGGAGACTAGGGGGAGGGACAGGAACTGGGAGGAGTGGCTGCTGCGACGGCGGCCGCTGTGGCTGCGGCTGCGGCTGCTGCCGCTGCTGCTGCTGCGGCTGCTGCTGCTGCTGCTGCTGCTGCGGCTGCTGCTGCTGCTGCAGTCGCTGCTGAGCGCGCGGGCCAGTGTGAAGAGTGTAGAGACCGGAGCCCGGCTCAGCAGCAAAAGTGGCGAGGGGCTGGTAAGAGTCCCCGTCAACACACACCGCAGTCTCTCCAGAAGGCTCAAACCACACACCCACGTGCTGACTCACGAGGGGTCGCACGCCCACCAAGTTCCGGGAGAACGAGGGGACGTGAAACCCAGTGAGAGACCCAGAAGGAGCAGCCGGACACGGCAAGGTGGTAGTGTGACGCGCAGTGACTGGTCCCGAAGTGGGATCAGCCAGCGCCACAGAAACAGGCGCAGGAAGAGGCGTAAGTGTCGTGCTGTCACGAAAGAAGCAGTGAGAGGCTCCAGAGTCCAGCGTGAA